ATCGCGGATGCCCGACCTCAAAAATGGGCTGTATTCTGCGACTCCAAGGCATCCCTTCAGAGCTTGCAATCAGCTTTACGACAGAGGGAGCATCAACAACTAGTGAATGAAAGAAGAGAAGTGATTCACGAAGTTTTATCAAAAGGACATGGCTTGGTGTTCCAGTGGTTACCGGGACATTGTGGTATTGTCGGTAATGACCTTGCTGATAATGCTGCCCGATAACGAACAAGAATAACGAACAAGAGCCATCATTCAACAGTGGTCCTACGACAGGTGACATTGTCGCTACTCAACGAAAAATACGGCCAGAGGACCCACATTTACAACGATGGATCGGTCTCGGCTGACAGCTCCACAGGTGCTGTTGTCATCCCGGCGTACCAGGTCACTATAAAGCTCAAACTGTTGCATAGGACAACATCCACAGCAGCGGAGCTTGCCGCCTTACGTGCTGCTATACTTTATATCGCGGAAGCCCGACCTCAAAAATGGGCTGTATTCTGCGACTCCAAGGCATCCCTTCAGAGCTTGCAATCAGCTTTACGACAGAGGGAGCATCAACAACTGGTGAATGAAACAAGAGAAGTGATTCACGAAGTTTTATCAAAAGGACATGACTTGGTGTTCCAGTGGTTACCGGGACATCGTGGTATTGTCGGTAATGACCTTGCTGATAATGCTGTCCGATCCGCCCACGCGGACGCCCAGACAACCCCAATTCTATTGTCGAGAACCGACGCTGCAAGGGGCCTTCACTCGTTCGCTAACACCATGTCGGAAACTTGGCTGAGTGACCCCAGTGTCAGGAACCGCCGCCTACACAAATTGGACCCATCGAGAAAGCTTAAAGTTCTATCGGACCTCTCCCGCCAGGATGCAACTTTACTGTGCCACCTGTGGTTAGGAGTAGCTTTTACAAAGGCGTACTCTTTTCGCATATGAATGGCGGATAGCTCCCGATGTGAATCGTGCGACACTGACGAGACAATAGAACATCTACTGGGTTCATGCGAACGTTTTGCGAGCGAACGCAACTTGCTACGCGAAACGTTAGAGACGCCAGACCGTAGACCTTTTTCCGAAGAGAAGATACTTGGCTCATGGCTCTACGCGTCGCTGGCCAGCAAAGCGACGCGGGCATTGCTAAGTTTTCTAAAGACGACCGGACTACGCGACCGCTTATAAGCGTGCAATGGACAAGGTCACATCTACACACACGTTGCCTTTCACTTCTCTCTTCTCCTTTAATCCCCTCACTCCTTCCCCCAGTGCAGGGTAGCAAACCGGACGTGCGTCTGGTTGCCCTCCCTGCCTTTCATTTCTTCCCTTCCTCCTCCTCCTCCATGTACTTATATGGAGTACATTTTTGTGTCCAGACAGACCACCAGCCTCTGAGTTATATCCAACAGGCAAAACAGCTGAACGCTCGAGTACTTCGATGGAGTTTACTACTCCAAGAGTACCAGTTCACCATTACGCATATTAAGGGTAGCGAAAACGTGGGAGCCGATTACTTGAGCCGGATATAGTTCTTGAGGTCTGGGGAGCTTGTTATTTTTTTATTCATTCCTTTCGTCGTTTGTTTTCTGTTTGTATGTGCGTATTTCATTGTATAAGAAGTGTATTTTGAGTTATTTTCTTTTTGCTTGGTGCATTGGTTGTTTTACATGTTGTAATGCACATTGAAGGATTTCACTACAGTAGAGGAGCGCACCTGTTCAGTTTTGTTTCGTAGTATACATTCGTGCAGTGTATTCTGTATTGATGGCTGCCGTACACGGCTATTTCTTTTTCTTGTTTGTATGGCGCATTGATATTGTTGCGTGTAACTGAAGCTGGTACTCTAACAATTGTTTTTTCCCTTTTGTTGTTACTTTGATGCACTCTGCCTATTTATGTTGTGTATGAGAAGGACAGTCCTCATGTCTCCCTTGTTGGTGGTGTTTTGTTCCTTGTTGTCGAAAAATTCCCCTCCGTGTGAGCAAATGTTATGAATAACATTCTGAAAGTGGGGGGCAATGTCACGGACTGCCATTTTTGCGACCCGACGTCACGGCAATTAACGGGCGCCGTACTCTTCCGCTGACCGTGGGAACAGCGGGCGCATGAAAGAAAGCCGGGAAGTGCAGAATTGGGTGCTCTTCTTCGAACGTCGCCGCCGACGTTTGATCCTTTGTACCTGCGGAGGCGTCTGCAGTGTCGTGGAAGGCCGCGATGTACCCCGAACAAGGATTAGACTACGGGACGCACCAGCCGAGAGCCAAACAATCTGACCGTTCCCACGGGAAAACCGTGGGAAAACCTCTGGTGGCCAAGCCGTATGACAGCCCCCCAACAGGTGGTCACTCTTGCTAGTTGAGGGCCCTCTCCTAATTAAAAAGGGGTGGGGTCAATATATTTTGGGGCGGAGTTTTTATTAATGAAACGCGCATGATTGGGCCCATGTAGCGGTCTCTTGTCCCCAAGGAAGAGAGCGAGGGGACACGAGGGGGATTTAAGCGCAGGATTTTGCCCTGCTAGGCAGTCTAGTCGCTGACCAACATGGTTTAAAAACATATCAACAAGTATCTCTTCTAGAAGTTTTTAGTGTGGCTCTGTATCGGCTGGCCACCTAAATTGAGCCGTTCGTCTAGTTGTGACGCGATATTAACGTCTGCAACGTAGACATCGGGACTTCGCCTCGAGTTAGCTCAACCTGCTCGAAGTCACCTGCAAGCACTAGCCTCCCGGAGCCACCAGCGTTGCAACACCGCCGACATCGCAGTCGTGCCAGAACTCTCTTCGACTTCTCGCATCCGATCGTCGGGGACGCAACGCTGCCGGTCATCACACGTATGCCTCCACCTGTTTATATCTTCGAACTTTCTACTCCGTAGTTCTATTGTTGTTAGTTTGTGTAGCTTGTAATAGTTCTCTCTCGTAAGCTGGTTTATTGTTTTGGTTTTATATATTTTTTAGTTGTATCAAGTGTTGATGTATTTTGTTAGTTGTATTGAAGTGTTGTACTAGATCCCGTGTGCTGCAATATCACTAGAGTGAAGTTTTTGTTTTCTCACGTCTCTGATCTCTTCACTGTCTCTGCTTGCGAGCGGAACGAACTAACCTGCTGTCATTCCCGTCGCCGACTTCGCGCTGGCGACGCTAGAGTGGCAGCTTGTAACAGTATGTCTGTAAGCTAGTTTCGGTGAGGCAGTCTATCTAAAAGGGGAGGGGCCACTAAAGTTCTCGGCTATAACGAGCCTCTACGGCGTAGAGCGCACAGAAGAATATGCGCGACATGGGTAAGACTATAGGTTTACTTCCCTGATCAAAAAAGCTCTAGGAGTCGATTTCATTCAAATACGACCATACCATGGGATATCTGAATTTACGAGTTTTACCAAGGATACAGGGTTACTCATGGGCTTAATTTTGTGCTCGAAAAAGCCTTAGGAGTCGATTTCATTCAAATACGACTATACCATGGGAAATCGTGAATTACGATTTTTCTAAAGACTATAGACTTCATGATTGAAAAAAGGCATAGGAGTCAATTTCATTCAAATACGACCACACAATGGGATATCTAAAATTACAAGTTTTGCAAAGGCTATACGTCTACTTTCCGTATTGGAAAAGCTTAGGAGCCTATTTCATTCAAATACGATCGCACTATGGGAAATTGTGCACTACGATTTTTCCAAAAGCTCTAGATTTATCTTCCTGATTGGAGAAGCCCTAGATGTTAAAGAATGTCAGATGGCCCCGCGTTTGCCGTTCTTGAGTATGCGGCACCTCACGCACCGTAACGGTCAGTACCGCATCAAAGTGTAAGCTACGCGGTTCAGTGTCTGTCACCCAACGTCACCCCTATAGCTGCTTCGCATGCATATCAGGGTTCCTTTACAGAGAGATGAGTGTAATTTTTTTTATTTCATCGGACAAAGCACATCATTGTTGAACTAGAGCGATCCACAAGGGCTATTTCTGAGAACGGAAGTGACATTTCAATACGTGGGAGTGACGACATGGTCGGTGCGTTTTGACTTGTCTGACTCAACATTTCGCATGTATTCTAGCCTCTCCGCAGACAAACTAAATGAAGCGTGATAAACCTGCAATGAACGATTTCATGCTGTCAAGTGTTAAATGTGCGCTGACAGGTTAAAAGAAGCCCCCCCAAAATAACGGTGAACAACACAGGGATGGTGCTGCTTAAACTCACAACTTGTTTGATTTCGAACAGTCAAGATCCTCGGCACAAGTAAGCATAAAAATAAAAAGATAAAATAATGAACAATCTATTACGATATAGACATAGTCATATAAAAAATATTTGCCTCCGAGTATCAGAAATAAATTATCCGTAAGCATATTTTTTTTGGCGAAATGAAGCCAGGAAATCAATCTTGTAAGACTGCTAGCAAATTTTAAGAAATTGACAGTGAAGGTTTGCAACGACCTTACTATTTTGATGCATTGCAGATAAATCAATTTTTTTTATACCTGGGGTTCAACATCCCAAAACCATCATATGAGTATGAGAGACGCCGTAGCGGAGTGCGCCGAAATTTTCGACCACCTGAGGTCCTTCAACGTGCACCCAAATCGGAGCATGCAGGCCTACAACATTTTCACCTCCATCGAAAATACAGCTGCTACAGCTGGGATTCAATCCCGCGACCTGCAGGTCAGCAGCCGAGTACACCTTAGCCACTACACCAACGTGGTGGCGCTGCCAAGTAAGAGAAATGATCGAAAAAGGCGCCCGTTTTATAAATACAGGCGATGCCATACATGTACAACGAAAACCCTTTGGCGCCTGCTAAGTGATGCCACACATGTATGGCCACACATGTATGGCAAAAGCCCCCGCCCCCAAGGGGTTAATTTACGTACCAAGCAGGGGCACAGCGAGTATGCAAAAACTGGATGAAATACTCCACCTACAGTGCTCAGCTCAACTTGCTTGAGCAGTGGTGCAGTCCCTTTGGGCTTGCATTAGATAAAGCACGCTATCCAAATGCTGATACATCTTTATTGTATTTTACAGAAGCAAGTAAAAGGTATGCCCCACCTCAGAGGCTGGGTGTTTCTTCCAGACAAAAACAATTTTTTTCCACCATCAAAAGACTGTTTCTTAAACCATGTTAATGATTCTTCACAATTAAAAATAAGTAATTTTCCCATGAAAATTTATCAATGTCACACAAGCAATACACTATCTGCTCAGTGCATTGAACTTCGATAACACAATACGAGGGTGCAACCTTATAAATAATTGCTGTATATCAAACATACTTGTACATAATCTTCGTTATTGTTTTTTCTTTAAAGAAATGTTATTAAATAAATTTAAAAATATGACTGTTATTAAAGAGCGAACTCACATAAAGACAAGTGTGAAGGAGTCATGCACATTATAACAGCAACAATACAAACAAGTACAGTGTCAACAAAATATAGGCACCAGAGTCCTGATGCATGTTTGGTCATGGTATATTGCTTTCAAACACACGTCAGCAGAGCATCGGGACGATGCTATATTATCTTATTTTAGCAGCAAAATAGGTGAACACTGCATATATTAACAAGCACAGGTAAAAGATATCACAACTCACAGGCTGAATGGGTGGCGATTGTATGGGCAGCTTTAAATATAGATACAATACAGCAGTCCACTAGAACAACAGCCCTCGAGACAGTGCAAGCTTAAGTGCCCACTTCCAAAGCAAGCTTATATATTTTGGAATGAGGGACTTGGAACATAATATTGCTCTGCAAAACTGGCAGGCATCTGTGACTTGCGCACTTAAATGTTTTCACAAAACATAAAATTCCAACTAAAGCTGTCAACATCAAGCAATTATAAAAATATGTTGCATGAATGAACGGCTATTTAGCCTAAATAAGCAATTCCAGATGGCAGTCATTTTCACCAGAAACTCTCAAGCAAGCAAAACCGTCCCACGAAAGTTGTCGCAGCAAGCTCTACTGTATGCACTCATCCCGTAACCTGAAACGCAGAGCAAACACTTGGACACTGTGGCATCTAAAAAAATGCTCTGAATGCATGATGGTAGGGTTTCCAGAAATTTTCTTGGCAAGAACCCTGTTTATCACAAAGGCCGTCATGGGAATCTCGGTGTGGTGTCTCCCAGCAATACAAGAGAGAGGCACTGTTGAATCTCGGTGCAGAGGAACACGACAAAAGCCACGATCAGTATATGCCAGGATGCAATTTCCAAAAATTTCTTAGACATAGATAAAATATTTGAACCCTCAGGTTGCAGAATTAGAATCTCGGGTTGCTAATGTGATCACACACTCTGTGGAGATATTTCCATCCAAGTGGGATTTCTCTATACAGCACACCCAAATGATTTCATGAAATGAAGGCTCTGTGGCCTGTCAGCCCCTTTTGTACACCTTCTATACATCTTTGTATGCCTTTTTAACATTTAAGCTGTTTGAGCTCCTTAACTTTAGGTGTACACTAACCTAAAACACCGTGGTGACTACCTTTTAGACATAGAATTTACACCTTTTGGGATGTTAACATGATTACACTCTCTTATTGGTGCTTACTGACACAAGGACTACTTATAACCAAAGAATGCCAGATTGAATCTTCTAGAGAACAGAGAACTTTCTGGAGACCTTTATGGGAAAATGCTCCATGCATGTCAGAGAAGGAAAACAGCCACATCAATGATAAGTGTTATGGGGCAAAGTTGTATCTGCAAATGGTGCAATATCAGCAAAAGTGAACGGTCAGGGCTTTTAACATCTGGCTTTTAATTAGGTTGTTATTTTAAAGCAGTTGAATTGCGGTGTGCATACACACCTCATTATTTCATATGTGAGGGCTACAGTACTGCTTTTACAGCTTAGAATGCTGGTGCTTAGATAAACCATTACCCACTCAGAGCAACTAAATACAAACTGATTATTAGCAGAGTGACTTATAACTCCTTCAAACTATTTATATCCTAACTGAAGAACTGGACTAAGTTTTTATAAGTGAAGTTCTATAAAAACCTCCAGACTGTGCATCTTAGCATAGTAACAATAACTATGTTTTCTAAACTGTCTTCTCCATGTCTCATCCTCTGGCCTCATCTAAAGTAGCTACCCTGGTGACTTTTTGTTTAGAGACACACACACACACACTGATGTGAATTCTGCACTATCTAGCCTTCTTCAAGCTCTCAAGTGTTCCCTTTGAGCCAAAGGATGGCATTGATTGTTATGTAGGTGAGCTGGCACTGTAATAAAAGATTCCCATAAAAAGAGGGACTAAAGAGTGGAAAATAATATGAGCTTCAATGTACACACAAACACGTCTATATACTACACTAAACATTACAACAATATGACGAAACCCACTAAATAGCTACACAAAGTTAAAGACATTCCAGCAGCGGATGATTATTACAGATGTTTGTGCAATATGGGCTTGAGAAAAACATAAAACGTCAGCTCAGCGATGTTGTGTGCCGAACACTCGGTAGTCTTCTCAGCGTTGTGGCCCCAGCAAGGTAGATGTTCAATGCACACAACAAACCCAACACCACTAATCCCAAAATAAAAATCAAGCTTCTGGCATAGACTTGCAACGAGTAAGCCGCAGCTCAGTGCTCAGGCCCATTAAGTTATAGCTACCTGGCTAGCTGCCATTGCAATTAAGCGTGTTTGGTGTATTGCATGCCATTTATTTATATGTGCAAAACTGTTCCTTGTACATGTGAATGCGATCTTGAGCATTTTGCAGGTGCCGATTTTTAGCACTCCAACCCCACAACATGCAGGTATGCACAGTTTGTGCCAGTAACATCAAGCTAGTGCAATTTTAAGGAACACTAAACAGAAATATCGACTGAAAATTTCTAATTCCTGTGCACCTGTTTTGTCGCAATGAACACATTACCTCAAATATATGGTAAGGGCGTGCAAATCCTAACCAGTCGTGTATGATATACGCACTGGCATATACAAGAAACAACCGGCGATCTATCGTGCTGATGTGCTTTACAATGATAATTGGTTCAATTCTCACTCCCAGGTGAAGTTTCACCAAACCATGTGACACCTCAGCACAGCGAGCTTGTCTGTTCTTCATATATTGGTCCAATATGAAGTTTCTTCTAGATTAGTGAGGTTTTTTCTAGTAGCCTCAGTTTACAGCGATGCGTTTTTTAATGTAAACAGTTTCTGTACAAAACATCAGTTTCTGTACAATCAGTTTAAGCGGGAGCCTCATAAATGCGTCGATAGTCAAACAACCTGTATAACGAATGCAAACAAATGTGAACAGATGTGGCAAGACGCTCAGGCTGTCTCATCAATTTTCACCTTTAAGTTTTCATTCGACCAACACACCCATTCATACATTCCGTCCTGTACGATGCCTCTCTTTCAAATGATAGCAATTAGTTTGCACACGTGCATCGTGAATGAGTTTCTGCACACTGTTATGGAACACTACAGAAAAACAGTAGCTGCGTACCACCATGTTTCAGAAATGTTGGCAGGTGTGTGTCACATATTTTTATGCCCCTTCACTACTCATGAAGTAGTGAATTTCATTGAAAGTGAAAGGCTGAAGATACCTTTGCACCTTTATTAAGATGCCATTGGGGCAGCCCACCAATAAGCACCAATATCTAACTGGTTGCAAAATATGTACAGGACTAGTGCAGTTTGTTAAGGATACGCAGGCTTCGAAAATAGTCGCCCTCTACATACAAACTACAAAGAAATCTAAAATATGACTACGTGAATGATTGCTATAATGGTGAAAAGAGCACCGGAGCTAGCAGCTAATGTCCAACCGTCACGTTGGCTAAGAGAACATGCTCAACAAAGTGCTTGAGATGATCTAAAACTGACTGTTAATTGAACATGCTGTACGTCAGAGTTTGCGTCATTACGTTTCAGCGCATGATATACTCAACGCAACATCAGTAAGGTTAGGTTGCTGACTTGCAGCGGCCCTTACAATATGAGAAGGTATGATACTAGATGAACGGCAACACAGTGTGTTTCATAAATATGCACCTTCTTCAGTTACCTCTACTAAGTACTTTCGTGTCTGTGCCACTTGTTGTGTTTGTTCACACTGTTAGTACACAGAACAGTGCACACCTCGAAGGGACCCTGAACCATTTTCCCAAGTTATCATCGAATGGCCTCAGTATTGGAGCTTACTGCCTCACAAATCGATCGCTGCAAAATTTCCTCAAATCCGTCAATAGCAAGCGAAGTTATGTAGATTTGTTGAATGCCTTGAGAGCTTTTTCTCATTCAGACAAGTGCACTACACGCTAGGCAGGGAGGGATTGCGTGGACAAAAGAAGTTACATTAGTGCGCATAATGACCTTGAGCACGTGTGGTGAAACACAATTGCTCTCTCCAGCTGCGATTCCTGCAGGCGCTAGTGGAGCTACTGTGTAATGTTAGCAGACTATGGACTACAGCACCAAAACTAGGTGGCAATAAGCACATTTGATGCAAACGCTGCTGTTTATTTATGTCGGTTATTTGCCAAGAGCATGCTATCTGTTTTAGGAGCTTGCTCGGCAAGCTTATTACACTCGCACCTTGTCCAGTGGTCGCCAGCGTCTACACCAGCGTTGCCAGCGTACACTTCTCCCATTGCCACTTCGGTAGCCACTCCTGTGATTCCAAGAATGCTCACTAGATGATGCACCACAAACCAAGGCGTCAGTTTTCGATGACCCAGGTGCTCGCCTCCTCGCGACCACGTCCACTTGGTTTTCGTCGTTTTGCAGCATGTGACAAGTTCCTACAATGAGTGTTATGCACGGGCACCGATATCCTCTCAAGCCCCCTAACCTGCCCACTTTCAACCCCGTTAAAAAACGCCTGATAGCTTCACACCTGCTATATAAGAGTGTTAGGCATTTGGCTCACGGCAGCGACCAGTATGGCATAAAGAGACAAGTGGTTAACGTGCCGATCAATGTGGCCAACACTGTGCAGTGCCAGCCACGAAATTTGGCCGAAAACGCTTTCTTCGACGTACACATCATGCACCAACTCATTAAGAAGCCTTCCTACCGAAATGGTCTCACCAAAAAATGTCCCGTGCACTTCCGAGCAAGCTCCTCTTACATCATTCGCTTTGTGAATATAGCGGTGGTAATTTCCAATATGAAACCGCAGGCATCGGCAGCTCCAAATAAAGTGAGCACAGGCCTTCGTATGAGAAAGATGGTGCCTCAGAAAATGGCCGATTCACACTTCGCCTGTAAACTCTCCTTTCCGCACAAATCTGGATGATTTGACCAAGTTGTTCATAGCAGTGTCTGCTTTCCACAGGTTGCGTTTTTTACCAAGTATGAGGGGTGGTTCAGGACCCCTTTAAAGTTAACGGCATACGACGTTTCTCACTGAGCTTGTGAATAGTCACGAGAAAAATTTGGTATGCTAACTAACCTGAAAAAAGCACTCACGTCTCAAGTAAATGCAACGGTGGAAAATGTTGCGCTTCAATATTTAACAACTCCTAAACCAACAGCCAAGCCTACAAGATTTCAATTTGTTCTCGCATTTGTAAGGGACACTGCTTTAAGTCTCGCGGCATTATCACAACCCAGCAATTCCATGCACGCTGCTATCAAAAAAGAACAAACAATGCTCAACTGACCAACCAGCATGTCCGTCTCGCCTGTCCGTCTCGCCTGTCCGATCAAACATCACCAGACAGAAGTTCTCGCAAGAAAAACTGTGCGGACAAGAGTGTTACACCAACGAGACACGATGGCAGCTCACAATAAAATAATCAATTACAACGGGTTAACAACATCACCACAAAAGTGGGCTCGTAAATCACGTGCACAATCAAGACGATTTCATGAAAGGTCATGAGACATTATTAAATATAGAGAGTTTGTAGGCGTCCATTACGGCTTACCTAGTAGCCGGGTTTAGGTTATGCCTGCAGTCGGTCCAAAGAAAAAAAGCAGAGAGGTGCGTAACTGCCTACCCGTCCATAATGGAACGAAGACTGGACGTGCAGACCAGAAAGATCAGACTACGCTCAGGAAGTTGAGAATCTTTGGCAGGAGGTTCGGCAGAAGGGCGAAAGATGGCGGGCCGCCGAGGCAAGCTCAACTGGTGGAAGACTTGTGTTCTTGCAACTGGTGCGCTTCTGATCGCTGCTTGACATCCTCTTTCGAAGAGAGGAACAACAGCGGGAACATGCCCAGAATGCAGCCCAGGAAGACGCCAACAGCCCTTCCCTGTGAAGGTGAATTGGCCAGTGTGGGCACTTTACTTTCTTTTCATAAACTCATGTGCCATTTTTAGATATGGTCAACTCTGTACCGACTTGCCCAGATTTCTTGGTAACCTGGTGATGTAGGTGTTCAAGGTTTTTTTATTGTTGTTGCTAGGTTGTAATTGTCACTACAGCTCGTTTTCCTGGCATGGGCACAACACAAGATTGCAGACATTTACAGTTGGCTAAGATATCAGAACCCCCTAAGACATTAAAGCTGTCTGAGACAACGCTGCGGCTCTAGCTGTAGCCACTAATCGCAGCGAGGCGGCAGACACAGACGACTGCCCAACTCCGGTGATTTTTTTAGGTCAACGAATCTCAGCGAAATTCCCGTGCTGCGTAGCCAACGCTTCGATGGTATGACGTGCCGACTTCAGTTCATTGTGGGCTTGCGTGCAAAGTGTGGTAAGTGGTGTTGAGCTTTGGTTGCACACTATAATTACCTGAACAGTCACAAAACACTCTGAGCTTTTTGTCTCAATATTAGTGTTTTAGCTGGCAGTACTGGTTTACTTCACGGAATTTGTGGTAACACCATACTGGCTGAAGAATGCCCATGCGTGAAAATTACGGTAATGTGCTAAGCGTGCACATTTCAGTTACCATACAGAAACACTTTTTGTAACATATGAAGGGCGCAGAGTCACCAGGCCTAGCATGTATTGTATTATTTATTACATTATTACTATTATGTTATTACTAACGTATATTTGTTATATCTTCTAGCATGGAGTGAGTGCGACTCATCAGACTATTAATAAACTATACAAAAACACGATTCTTCCAGTTGTCCAAAAGGAAACTTTACGAAATTTGTACCAAAAATTGCTGTTTACAAGAATGAATCGGGCCTAAATACTTGCAGCGCTTTGTGAATTTCATTCACAATTTTCTACAACGAAGGCATATTTTTGCCAGCCCTGCAAGTATTGCATAGACTTGTGCAATGAATATTTTGATGAACTGATGCTTTTTTGTTATAGCAAGCATTATCTTTCGGCTTGGTACCACAACCACTGCATATAATACAGACTTTTTCAAAGCTTTTAGACATGTGTTACATTTATCAACTTTCTAATTTTTGTTTTTTACTTTTTTTGTTACAGATCACCTATTTATTCCTATAAAATGTCAGCAGCGCTGAATACGGCGTGCACAGAAAGCTCCATCATATTGTATCTAATGTGGTTACAAAGGACTACTGCTGGGTCGCTGAGAACAATTTTTCATTTGAAAGCCTGCAAATTTGCTGCTGGTTCTGCTTTGTGAGCATTGACGAAAAACAAATAAATTTGTTTCTTGCTTTGGCTTTTATAGGCATCATTCTCATGACTTTTTTGTTATGTAGACTTCACCATACTGCGATATTTTGGTTGCCGTTCTTTAGAAAATGTTTCACTAGTACCAGGATATTGCACATACTGCATCACGGATGTTTGTTTGGAAACTTGACCTTCTCATACAATTTTTTTTTTTCAGTTTATACTATATGCTGCCTCCTTGAAAAAAGTCCACTTTTGCCATCTAGAGCAAGATTGAGCATTGAAACAGTTTCACTGCCACCATATGTTCGCCACTTCAATGTTATATAATCTTATTTTCTGTTCTATCAGCTTGCCAATTTCTGGGAGCTGAGAACCAGAACACATGACTAATTTCATCGTTTAACAGTCAGCTTCATGGCTAAACAGCAGGACTGCCAATAATGAGCATTGAAATAAAATAAAGCATTGACAACAGCAGTTACACGAGAAAAATAACCTTCGTAAATAAAGGTGCATTGACTACCTCAGTAACGTTTATGAATATAAAGGTACATACATACATACAAGAAAAATACAAGGACACTAAATAGTGCTTCTGCACCAATGATGCTTCCATTGTACTGTCAGAAAAAAATTACCTTTTTTCATTTGAGAGAATATATGTTCTGGAAAAGGGTGCAAGGATGGATGGATTTTTAGGGGCGAAGCTCCTTAGGGCGTGGGCTGTGCGTCCCCTGTAGCCTGTATGTAGCCACCTCTAGTTTAGTTCTTGCAGTGTTCACTAGATGGCGGTACCGTCCCCTGTATGTAGCCACCTCTAGTTTAGTTCTTGCAGTGTTCACTAGATGGCGGTACCGTCTCCTGTATGTAGCCACCTCTCGTTTAGTTCTTGTAGTGTTTACTAGATGGTGGTACTTGTAGCTGATGATGAAAAGATGCAAGATGTTATAAACTAGAAAGCGGTACTTGTAGTTGATGAAAGACGCGAGATCTTATAAAATAGGAATGATGTCACATATGGCGCGTGTCATTGGTTGAAGGCAATCGTTCGATTTAGTGCAGCAACGTACGCTAGGGGGAGCGTTGTAATAAAATCCGTTCGCTGTTGGCGCGCGCTCGGAGTCGCCGGATGGATAAGGCTGCACAGCGGAGAGAGCGCAAGGCGGCAGCAGCGCGCGCTCGCAGACAGAATCCCGATGTGCGAGCGCGCATACAGGAACCGCTCTCCCTTCATTTCACAGACCATAAAGCCGTCATAATGAAGGGACATCGCAAGCCATCCATCGTCTAAGAACAAATAAAAGTTGATTTGTGTATATACACACACAGCGTTTCTCACGTCTTTACATGGTGATCGACTGGGCGAATTACACGGAAGATTCACAGTTTACCGATGAATCCCTCTGGAGCTTCGCCCATTCATCATCATTCACCCCGTGAATATGCCGTAATTTTTTTTTAAACTTGTTTTTCTTCATTTCTTTTGTATTGATGGAGTTCTCGCATGACTATGCACGCTACTTCAGTAACAAAAATGCATCATGCAGTTCAATAACACTTCCTATCTGTGCAGGTGCTGTCAATCTCATAATCAAGCATAACCAGTTAGCTTCCCAACAAATGTTCCTGCTGTGTGCTTTGCTAAAAATTGGTGAGAGCGATTGCTTAAGAGACGGCCTAATAAAGAAAAGGACCTCGAGTTTTTTCTCTTATTTTGCAGATGAGACATACCCTGTTTAACAAAACTGACATAGCTGTTTCAGATGTAACAAAAGGATGGCTCATGTTTGCTTCAGATCAAGAGGGTGCACCTATGCGAAGAAGGCTGCCACTATGATAGACGACTCCGAAAGGAGCCCAAGCAACGCTTCAGAATCGCAAGAGTTCAGGAAAGAATGAAAAAAAAATGGTATATGTCTTGTATAATGAGTTAAATAAACCTGAAGCACCAGAAATATTTGCCTTGTTACTTTCCGAGTGGGGGGGGGGGGTAGGCAAAAATCTAGAATAAGGTAACTGAGCATGAAATAGTAGCCAAGACAAAAAACTAAAATAAATGTGCCAGAAATTGCATAGCCTAATCTGCTTGCCTCCCATGCCAAGAACATGGTTGGCTATTGCATGGTATTCCAGCACAGTGCCAACCATGGTAAGGGGTGTTTACAATAATTTTCCAAGCATGGCCTTCCTTTGCTTGGCCAATGATAGGCTTGTCACACTTCCCAAACACATACTTCCCTTGACCAATAACTTTCCAAGCATGGACAGCTTGGCCACTGATGATTTGTCATGCTCGGCCCAAGCAAATTTTGCTGGTAGGGGTGTGGCTGTTGAGACGGGGTCATCTTTCCCCTGAGCATCTGCTTTTCACCGCTTTCGCAGCTTTCATACTCTGCGCTGGCTGCGGGACCGACATGCCTTGCACGGTTTCTGGTTTCTGCTGCTTACGTCACACGAAAACAGGACTGCTCGGTTGGGTTTCGGTTTTCAAGTTGTGCTTTTTGCTTATTTAAAACTATCGTCAATTTGAGTATTTCTATCAGGACCATGACAGGGGTGTCTCAGCACCATTAATAATAGCACCATTACTTTGACATTGCCAAAATATTGCCAGAGTTGGCCTTAAAAGCATGTAATGGATTTTACTGAGCTTTCAACTACATAACTAGTATGCTTATTGATGTCAAATCATGGGTTGTGCAAAAAATCCCAGAAGAAAAAAGCCAGGACAACAAACTGTTTGTATTATCATGACCTTGTTTGTGCTACCCAACTTCTATATTGTGTACGTGTTTGAACACCATATGCTTATTATTGTTAAAATAATCTCTGCCAACTAGCTCAGCATGCTCTTATTCAAAACACTTAATGATTTCTTTGATTCTCATATGGCAAGAACACCACTAGCAAGGAGTTCTGAACTAATGTAGACAATCTCAGCCATTTATGGATTTCTATCTCAGTACTTCCGAGGTTATAGCTCACGGATTTGCTGAGGTTCCTTGAGAGAACCTAATCGCATTCACGAGTTAAGCTGCACATAGTTGCCACTGATGAGCTTTGCCTCTTAAAAGAGCTGCAACTTTTAGTGAGACATCTGTAATGCAACTGCACTTGGACTCCTATTTAGCTCCTATAGTTGCTAGCCTCCTGGTTAGGTGAGATAGCAATGCAATCTTTTTGAAAAAGTTCTAGTCCCAGGTTTAAACACTGGACTAAAGCAACCTTTTCAACAACTAGAAAGTTTTGCAGGCATGGGAAAAAGAAGTTTGAGGCAGCATGCCTGGCATCTACAAGCAAATCTCCTCTGAAGCTGCTACATCATCAGGCCAAGATCCGAATTCCCAGCACGCTGCTCTTTCATTTTTGATAGCTGACCTTCAAAAATGTCACGCAACGCTCTCTTCTAGTTTTTTTTTTTTTTCTAGCATGCTTCCGAAAAATCCTTTCATATTTCCTTTGTAGTTTCAAAATAAATGGATGACAGTCTCTTTTTTTTTCCCCTTTTATATTCAAAAGTGTGAACGTGAGGATCACTTTCACAGTGCACACTGATTCATGCACTGGAGTATACTGGTGGCACTGGTACGGCACCACAGCATACTGGCGTCGGTGCGTCATTACTCACAATGTTGGAACTCCATCGAGTGGCAGCCATCTCTAGTTGAGCAGGGCTCAAGTTTGGAGCCTGGAGACCAATCCTGACTGCCAGCTTCTCCACATACCAAGCAGACCTGAAAGGGTGAAGAACAACATCTTCCGTTTATTAACAATGCAACATGCGCAGCTCCCCACTTAGAAAGCTTTACCTGATTCACCGTAACCACAAGTGAGAATAAACACAAATTGCTTTTGCATTACCTCCTGAGCATAAGTTTACTGTTTAAGAATTACTCCCACGTAAACCTGGTGACGAAAGTGACAAAAGTCAACTGAACACAAACTCCACTGAAAATACGCCCGTCTGCTCTGTTGATTCAAGACACTTCTGGGTGAGTCGGCATATCTTTCAATTACAGGCTTATGTTCTATGAAGAAATCCAGTTTTCTCACAGGAACCTGAACGCTACATTTTAGTGGATCAGTGTACATGTCTACTCGGAGCAGTTTTCGCTTATTTGGGCCGCTTGGCACGTGTCTATAGAAAAAGAGAAAAAGCGCGAATTACAGGACAGAGACAGACAGCTTAGTCGGTCTCAGTTCTGTTGTGCTGTGGTTCACATTGTTTTCTGTTTCCTATAGACACGTATTCGCATGCACCTGCAACCACATGTGAGGCATTTATTTTGTTACACAGAATATTTTAAAATCACCTTAGACAAATAGCTGAGTTATAGGTAGAGTCCTTGAGCTGGATTGCTCAAAGAGGAAAACATGACATGAAAGAAAAAGTGAAGCTGCACAACCAAATAACCAAGAAGATCGAAATAATTAAACGTCTAAACGGTCACATTTCAGCATATACTAGTAGTTGTCAAGTGTAGTCCAATAGCTAATAAGGCATGTTCATTTGGAACGGTTCTTGACGAAGCAGATAAATGTCACAAGATTCTCATCATTTCAGTTGTTCAGATATGGCACCAAGACAAAGATATCTATGAAGAACTGCATAACAGACTTACCCAATTCCAGCAGCATCTGATATGGCATTGCCCAGGCCAGCAGCTGTAATGAAAGTTTTACTGTTCAGTGAAGCGACCAAGCTGCAAATGTACAAAATGCTGAAAAGCCTGTACTTAACTGATTGTAACATATAACTGAGAAGGATTTCCCACATCCTTGCCGGTTGTTAAGCGATAACATCATCCGAAAGCCGCACATTTAGCTACACTGTCTAGAAACATTAAGATGGATCTATAGTATACCCAGCTGAGTCGTCTCTTGCGCACTTGTTAAGGTATGGTCACGCTAGCAGCCGGAAATGGGCACTGTCATGCTGCACATTGGCCCCTACCCACAAACACAAGCTTGACAAAAGCGTCATTGCATGGCAGCGTGATAAAATTTCGCACACTCTCGTAATGCGCGAGTGACACCGAGAGCGAGTGTCATCTTCTGTTTGTGAGCCATGCTTTTGTTGAACTCTGAGATGCCTACATTGAAATCTCGGCACAAAGAGATGTTGGAAGCCTATTCGCAATGGCTGCAAAGCCACCACGACCAGGGTTGTTAAATTTCGATGAAACCGTCAGCTTCATCTGATGTGAAATGCAACTTAATACAGGCAATGTCCACTCACTCTTTTGTTTAGCAATTAACAATGGCTATTGGAAAATAGTGCAAAATTGTGGTGGCCTCATTAAAGCGGTCTACACGGATGCAGCACTACTTCAACTCAAGCCAAATGATGACACTTAATTATCCACTGCCTGTAATAATAATGATAAAGAAAGCAGGCAGACATCAGTACCTGCCATTGTTGAGATGCCAAGTCCAATGCCAATGGTGGTGTCAATGTAGTCACCCTGCATAAAGACGAAAAAAAAAAAAAGTGCCTGTGTTAGAATCACACGAAGCCATAACACACACACACATAGAAGAGTCTGATAAATGCACTCATAGTAGCGCATGAAGAAGGGTCGACATCGACCAACTTAGGCCTCTTTAGTGTTTTGCAGACAGCAGCATTGTCTACATAAGTGGAATCTTATAATTTTTTTTCAGGAATCGAAAAATAAAATGTACAACGCAAAAATCATATTAATCAAAGAGTTTAAACAGAAAAGAAACACATACATACTCGACCAGCAACTAACTTCAATGAAGCAAGATTGAAGCAGCTGGCCGATTCGCACCCTGCACTAGCTGTCTTCTTTTCAAATACCAGGAGTAAATTTCTCTAAAAAGTAAAAAAAAAGCTGCAGTTTGCTCACTCAGCTCCATTTTCGCGACAAAGTGTTCAATGGTCCACACGACGATGTCCAAGTGTTCGAATGCAAAGCTTGGTGTTCACGGTGATATTTTTCACTGCAAAAACAAACCTACTGCATCTTCAGAGGCTCTGCAAAGTGCCGACTGAGGTTTGTTGGAACACAGTGTGGGCTAATATGCCAAATAAGTGCCGGATTTCTAGATATATTGGTTATGATTCACCTCTATGGTCAAATTATCCAATTTTGGGCAAAAATATGACTGTATTAAATACATAAAAATGTGTTATTTCGAAAAGTGTTGGCCGGGAATAAAAAGGAAATCATATAATGCGAAAAAACACTTTATGCAGAATCGTGTCAGCAAGATTTCACTGCACTAGCTTAAAATATACATGCTCATTTACATATGCCTACTAATGAATGGATCAACTGCACCATAATCCTATGTGTTTTGAAATAGGACTCAAGTATCGGATTGCACTTTCATTAACATATTTGCCACTCAATCAAAACAAGGTAAAACAGTTGGCCCCGTATCTGCATGCTTCACAGCAAAGGACGTCGAAAGATGATGGTCTTCTGTCTGGAAACGCTGCGTGAGATATGGGCACCATCCGGTAGTAATGCCAAGAAACGAAAATTTTCTAGAATGCAGAGCACCTTACCGTTTTAGCAAAGCGTAAGAAACACCCGCTCTTTCAGTCATCCGGCTCTTTTTGTGGTCTGAACCCACCTCACTATAATATAAGAGCTCCAACCATCATCGATGACAGCAGACTCACGACAGGGACCATACAATAGCTTCTAATGAATGGCTAGGTAGGAGTTGGGTGAAAGCAAAGAATAACAGCTACCACCAGTGGTACCTGTCTCCCAGGTTGACTCCATTGCTTGTTATTGTAATAGCAATAAGTATTTATGCATTTTAAAACTAAAGTACAACTCACTACATAGTACTCGTGTGTGACGTTGCACCCAGATATGCATAATATTTGCTTTTTGATTGACAATGTTCACTAGTATGAACGCAACCGGGAGATCAAGATGGATAGTTGCTCAGCAAAAGGGGTTAACCTTTCACTCTGGTGGCTGAATCGAGCGACAGAAAGAAAGACAGACACAAACACAGACCAACATTTCTGTGTCGAAGTATCCCAAGAAAGACTATCGTCTTTAGTAAAAATGGGGCACTTTGTAGACAATGCGGCGGTACCTACCGCCACGATCATGATGAAGTTGTCGAGAAACCCAAAGCCCACGAACGGCAACGCATTGTGGATGGCCATTAACCGCAGCTGTTCACCAGTGGGCGTCGTTGCTTGCCCATCTGTGATCCAGCACGAAGTGACAAAATAGCAGTCAGTCACAGCGGAGCACCACGCACTTGTAGTATAAGAAAGAGTGTCGGGCCTCTGTAAATAAAGCGCTCAACTAATTCTCGTGCTGTCCTTCCTCAACCTTTGGATATACACCGATCTCTCCATTTCTCGGAATGGGTACTGGTCCATCGCACCTCTCTTTGCAATTGATAAAGCAGCAGTCACACATTCTGCACTGTACTGTTTTTGCAGTGCTGCTAGCGAAAGTTGCATGACACATAGAATACAGTACAGAAAAGCTACGGTGTTTTCTACGACGAGGCTTTTCCATCATGCTCAAGTGCAGACCACATTATTCCAAACATAAAGAAAGGCACATGAATATTCCTGAATAGAGTTGATATACTGTGCGAAAAATAGATGTACCAATTGCAAGTTGTCAACACCTAATTAATCTTTGTGAACACTAACGAGTTAAACACAATGTAGATAACAAACTCTAAGTAAACGAAAAGTAGAAATTTGGGATTGGCTGCTTTATTACGGGTGCGTTGGAAAAGACACGTCGCCCCAGATCTGACTGCAGTTCCAAGACACCGTGCGTGTTACTGTATATAGATCCAAGAAAAGCAACCAACTTGCGCGTAACGCCATAAATAAGCAACATAAAGCCCTCTGATGATGTGATAAGGAACCCGTGGTAGGGCCACATCATCATCTGCCAATCTTTCGAGTCGGAATCGCCGGCTGTGTCCGCGGTTATCTGAGATTCAATAAAACGCCGATAAGCATTCACACGCTTCATGCCAATATACATAACTATCACTCGGCTCGCCATAAAAACTCAATGCCCGAGAAAAACTGCTTGAAGTCGCGTTAACTCGGGTGAATTGCAGAGAAAACTAGCTACCCGAAAGCAGAGTGTACTACCGAAATAGAACTTGATACAATACGATTTCCTTTGGCCGCTTTACTTCCTATCCCCGTCATTGTGTAGCGTGTTCCTTAAGTTATACCAACTTCGCGTACAGTAGCGGTCGAAGACAAACAATTAAAAATGGCAACGAAGTAACAGCATAAAGTTTCGTATCGCGTGCAAGCAACTGAGTCGCGCGCAGGCGAACGCGGTAATCGAAACCGCCCGTCAGTTTCACGGTCACGACCTGGAGCAACAATTTAGGGTTGCACGACACGCTACAATATTCCCACTACATCCATATACGAACACCAAGGCCGAAAGAGTTCTCGAGAAACAACCAAAAGCAACAACGCACGTCGATACGAACAATTCGCCAGAGAACACCTGTTGCGAGGCGTTTTATTTTCTCCGCGCGTTCCCCTAGGCGTGCGCATACAAGTAGACACGCAGCACAAGACCTTGCGCTTACACAAAAACTTGCCTTTTTCGGTTTTATCGACGTGCGCCGTCAGCTCTTCCATGAGAATCTTCCTCTCCTCGGGCTTGAGCCTCACGATCAAGTCCTGGGCGCGCTGCTTTGTGAGGATGATTTCGTGCGTTCCCGTGTGTTTTCCGACGCCCTTGCTGTACGCGGACACGCAGAACGATCGCAGCAGTGACAGGTGTACGTTTCTGGGCAGGTGAAGGCGCTTGAACGCGCCCGAAAATTGCAACCCTGCCAGCCTGCGAGCCATCGCAGACGCTGTAGCAGCTGACGGAAGCAGGCTGGTAGCCATGATTGTCAGCGAGGCGACGCCTGTCGCGGCGCCCAGGGTGAACCGAAACTTAACGCCGCGAGCCTAAAATTGCGACTGCGGTAAATTAAAATACGAAATTACGGTGTTTCACGAATCAAAACCACAATACAATCAAGAGGCATGCTTGTACTCTGGAAAGGGAGCCTGCGTCGAGGCTCAAAACCCGTGCTTGAATTCACACCTCCCGACACGTTCCCAGCAAATAAGAGACACATTCCCAACAAATGGGACTCCTGTAACTCTTCGCTAGAATGACAGACTGGGCGTGTTGGTTTAGCATATTCAAAGTGTAAAACACGAGGACGACAAGCGGATGTCTTTCCGATAACTGTATGCAGCCCTCGCATTCCACAGCAACACTTACAAGGTCACGTACTTAGCGTCACAACACACGAGGTCTTACGTGCCAAAAGCACGGTACGATTACGAGGCATGTGGTGTTCTTTAACGTGCAAGCACATTGCATACCTCGAGAACAACTTTATTACGAGTCGGGGACAAATATCCCCGAAATTCACAAAAATCGTCTCGAATTGGATTAGATTGGTCTAGGAGGAGGCCTAAAGTACTATGTATCGGCATTTTCAACAGCTACGGCATAGTCTAACCTGCAAAATAATTTTATAGCAACGACCTAAATAAATTTTTTGGACATTTTGTCTGAAAGGGTGCCCACGCGACCCCACCAATTATTCGTTCAATGTTTTATAGAGAAGCGCCAAAATGGCATGTCTGGGAGTGGTGACCATCAGTTTTATTTAAATACCGCAGACTGCAAAAGCCCTAAAATGACTGATCTCGCACTGCTACACAAGTTTACAGTTCAATTCCGGAACTCCAGCTGTTTCCTTTACCTGGTGCTGATGCATGAAGACAGAAAAGCTTGTGCAAATAATACAAGATTCAATTTCTTTATTTACCTTTTCATTCACAACACGAGGTAGACGGCTCCATGAAATGGCAGTGGCGGCACCATTTTTCCCTGACCACTGTTCCAGCAGCATTTGAACATTATCAATGACATTGGCTCAGTAACTTTGTGGCAGTGTTTAAACCTCGAAACGGTCACAAAAAGAACGCCGCACATGCGAATAACCTTTTGGCCCTTCCGATCCCAGCTCTTGTGAGGTACTCGGAACGTGGTTTACTGTCGGGCACCAGTACAACACCATTTGGCGCTGCATTAGAATTGCCGAACACCTTAGACACGGACTGGGAGGCTTTGCGCACAATGAAAGAAAGGCAGTCTCTGGGTGCGAGTTTTTAAATCAGCCTTAACGGAACTGCACTAGTCAGTGATAATGCTTAGTAATGGTAATGCCTCCCTTCTCTCGACACAACTAAGTGTTCTCAAAGAAGTGAATGTCACACCGGCGAACATCGGGGGCGAAAAGCCCAAAAAAGAAATCTTTAAATCAGAAAAGCCCAGTGGACAGCCTTGAGACTGTGCGATTTCCCACACCACCTTAAAAAAAAGTTACAGTAATGTTCTCACACAAACTGTCAATCCTATCACAAAGCCTGCTACACGTGGCTGTTGTAGCAGCAAATCTGTAGCTATTCAGAACAGCAACATTAAAAACTTGCATTTATTTTTCTTTGGCGTGGACACGAAATGCCTGACCAAGAGCAATCAATTAAAACAAGAAAAAGAAAGCAATGTGGAAGAACGAATAACTTGCTTCACTCTGAACACAGATTATTCAAAACATGTTGCATCAACTGAACCATGGAATTCAAACCAGAGATGTTGAAAGTTGCAAAAAATAAAGCAGTTGAAAACACACGACACAGTCCACATTTCACACGGGCATTTTACAGTCACTAACAGACCTACAAATTGATGTCCTGCAGCCTGACAACCAAAATGAGGAATACATTCAACTCGTATCGGACACTAAATAATCATACATACAGAAAAAAATATTCTCGTCCAACAGTAACAGAAATCTAAGCGAGTGTGCCACTTTTAAATGTGAAAGTGCAGGACAACAATAATGTAAACTAATACAGATAACATGCATGCCGAGACAAAAAGTGCACTGTAAACTTGGCTTGCGCCGCTGTAAATGCTGCCGAGCCAGACTATTGCTGATGCACAGCATCACATGTATTTCACAGCATGCATACTGTTAATTCATTTAATTATCTAAATGCATGTCATAACCCCCTTACAGACACAAACGGTTCCGTCAGAGTCATTAACCTAAACAACTGTCACATGAAACACAGTGGTTGAGTAGAGCTAATCACCCAGTAAAAACATTCATGAAGTCCAGCTCGTGCGTCTCCTGTCAAAAATTTGTCAGTTCCCCATATGTCAGGCACCAAACTTGCTTGAATGCAGTAGGTGAGACTCCGATTTCACACCTTTTGGGTCGTTTCTAGTAAGCTTTTGATTTGACAAGCATACACTCATCACAAATAGAAGGACAATACTATGTTTCCCGACACTTCCTCTTGCTTGACTGAATTCCCCACTTGAAGTATACGTGACAAATTTGCACTATGAAAGGTGTGATTTGTAACCGAGAGCAGAGTCTGCCGAGAGTATACAAGAAATTTGAACTCAATTATTAAGGGTGCAAAATTCATAGCCAAAATGTACACAATAAATTTACACCACTAAGGGTGTGATTTGTAATCAAGAGTATACAAGAAATTTGAAAATAATTATTAAGGATGCAAAATTCATAGTATGAGTGTTAGAGAAATCTGCACCAATAAGGGTGCAGAATTCATAACTATCCCATTCACAACAAATCTACAGCACTAAGAGTGCAGAATTTATAGCCAAGTGTGCAAAGAAACTTGCACAATTAAGGGTGTAGGCTTTCCAGCTAAAATGTAGAAATTTACACCATTAAGGGTGAATACTTCACTAAGGAGAAAAGAAGCACCTTAAGACAGTGTTATAAGGGCTTTTTGGTATTTTTATTCTTTCAGACTGCTCCTGACTGGATAACACTTCTACTACTAATGTAAAATTTTCCACTATGTATGCATGCCACATAATGTGAACATCACAGAACCAAACAAGTTTTATGAAGTTGACCCCACCTCTCACTGAAAAAGTTTGGTCAAACAGTATTGAAAAACCTTCACAGATGATGCATGCATTGGAACAGGCCATTTCCACAGCCCTGACATCAAGTACAACACCAGTGCACGGAACTCTCTTGAACGCCAAAAAAACAAACAGGCCCACCCGAGTAGCCACTTCTCAGAGTTGAGTGAACCCTAGCATTTGATGACAATGCTGGTTCAGTTGCGAATCTCCTTCCAAAGTTTCAACCAAGACAGTGATAATTTCAGATAAAAGGCATCTATGTAGTGTGTACTATATCAAGAAACGATATGATATTGAGCAAAACAGCATGTTTCATCAACAGACGAGAACATGTTGCATGAGGAGAGATAATCATGCTCCTGCTATGACCTGCAAACAGTTCAGTGTGCACTGAAAACGCCCCGTTGTCAAGACCCAAATCGCGGCTGCGGTTCCTCTTTAGGGCATCGATTACAGTATCAATCATTATAGCAAACCTCTTTGGCCGATTGGTCAAGTTTCGTGTAGGGAACACATGACAGTGCCAACATGATCACACAGAGATAAGTTATCAATAGCACCATTAACCCAGGTCACACCAATGCATACTTCAACAAATTTCGATGTGGCACTCTGCATGGGACACAAGACACAGATGTAAAGTGAGAAACACTTCCGAGATAGAAATGCAGGACCTACATTTGCTAAGCCTTAATGATAGGCCTAAATGCTAAGCCTGCTTTTCTCGTCTCGTACTTGCTACTAAGCTGGCCAACTTTTTGATGCCTGTGACGGACCAAAAAATAATACTCCTAACCCTGATCCTTGTTCTCTCCAGCTTGAATCCCACACAGGATGTCATAACGATTAAATGCGCTTTTTGCGATAAAGAAACTGGTTTGAGATATCAATAGCACAGCAGAGATGATTGACACACCGGCATTACGGCTGCAATGAGAGAGTAGCCTATGCCTCATCTATGTCAGAACGTAGACAGCAGAACCCCGGTACACACGACTTATCTGTCCCCAATAAAGGAACTCGACCACTCTCAACTTCCCTCAAGTTGTCGAGAGTTAAGCCCTGCTTAAAGTCACAGCACAAACATAAGGGTAAAAAAGAAAGAACATTGAAAACGCCTACACACGGTCACAACACACATGGCACGCACAGCAGAAGAAATAGGCTGCCAGTGCCACAATCATACACACACGTACCCACAGCGATAGCAGAAAAAAAAAAGAAGAAAAGCTGCAGCAGCCTAATTATTTATTACAGTCCATTCGCATTGTACCAGAGAGACGCTGGATGATTCTCGACAGCGAAGCAGTGTGCTAAGAAAGGCATCAGCTCAGGGGAAACGATGTGGTCTTGAACGGCTGGAACGGAAGTCACGCATCTTGCTGCACGTTTGTCTGCTTGACGATCGGCGCACGTGGACCCGTTCTTTTGGCAGTGCTGCGGTGGTAGTGGTAGGCTGCCTGTAGCTCTGCCACGACAGGCTGGTGCTACGGCAGTCCCTCCCCTCTTTCTTGCGCCAGTTGGCATTAAATATTACAGGCTGGCAGTGAGAACCCTTGAGCCAATGCTATGTCCGTGTTTGAGGACTTAATAGGCTCTTGAAGGAGTCCAGTTGCTGGGCCATTTCCTGCAAGAAAACAGACCATGGCAATTACAGCTGAACCTCATTATAACGAACACTGATAGCAAGTTATCGTTTATAGTGCACAAAATGTTTCTTTTTGGTTGACCAACGCCTCATTTCTGTAACATTTGTTCTTTTACAATGATACCAAAGATGTAAATCAATCGCAATATAGGCTGTAACAAAGAAATATTTCGTATGGCATAATTCAAAACTTCAAAGGTATATTAGAGAAATAAATACAGTAGACTCGTTAATTCAAACTCGAAGAGACCTCTGAATTTTCTTTGAATTTTAAAGAAGTTTAAATTTTCAGAAGTTCTCAGATATACGACTGTGGGTGAGGTGACACCATACATCATAATTAGGCATTGATTTTAACAGATAAAAAAATTTTAAAAATGTTTCTAACCTCTAACTGCACACAATGAACAGATAGAGATGTAAGGGCCACAAGTTTATTGGCTATTTACTGCTGATCAGACCTTTTAAAAAAAATCATCAATTGCCAACTGTTTCTTTGCCATATATGCCTTCAGCACAAAGCTCTTTATACCGGTTTACCATGCGTGCACTTCGTTACAAAAATTTGCTTTTTACTAGCAAAGCCTTTTTCCTTGAAGCACTTATTTTTTCATTTTTAGGCTGTTAAGATTATTTAAGTGCACAAGTTTTTAAATAGTAGTGGGAAAGCAGCAGATATTTTCTGGCATGAGATAGCAACAAGCATGCATTGACTGAATGATGGAGTTTGAATTAAGAGGCTTTTAAATACATTGAAAGAATAGAGGGCCAACCAAAAAATTGAATTTCATTAGAATTAACCAAAAGTATGAATTACCAGAGTTTGTATTATCACGAGTCTACCGTATACTCAAAGATCATTATAAAGTTGCATCTTACGCGAAAATAAGTTGGCTATATCCAAAAATTAGTTATAAAGCTATATTCGTAGCACTAAGTCTATTGCAAAAGTAGTGCATTACAACCAATATTTCGTTATATCCGGATTTTTTATATTGATGTCTGAGTGTACTGAAAGAGAATTCACAACCAAAGGCCTGTTTCATCAAACGAACTTTGTTCTGCAGTAACTACACCTTTTCATGTTCCGGTCTACTTAGTTTGAAACACCACAAGGAGACAGATAAATATCACTTTATTTAAAATCGGTTTGAAACCTTACATAAGAGTTTTTATGCAAGCAAGATAGCGAATTGGTAAGACTATATATGTAATGTTGCAAATAATATAGGACACGATGAAATAATTTACATTCTCAATTCTTCTTCATTATAACATTGTTTGTCTACACGTTTAAGAAGTCAACACTGTCAACTATCAAGGACGAAAATGAACACACTTTGTTGGGTCTATCTAAAACTTTGATACAAGTTCAGCATCTACAATTCAAGAAATTCAATTAGAAAAAGAAAAAGTGATCTCCATAAGCAGTTCTTTTTGAAAATTACGAAGGTGAGATAATGAGTAAGATAGATTCAACTACAGCCATAAACAGCATGTACAAAATATTAAGGTCAAATATAGCCTAGTACATATTTAAAACCAACTTTAAAGTGCATGCAGCGAGGTGCAGAGCCCCTCGTGACCCCGACGTCAACACGGCGAGAGTGTAAACAAATCTACAATCTAACTCCGCTACAATGAACACCGCTTCAACGAAACTTCCACCACAATGAAAAATTCACAATTCCCCGTCAGCAGTCCATAGGAATCAACGCATAAATATTGTCGTCACAACGAACACCTTTTCTTCGATTGTTCCGTTTCAACCAAATTTTACAATGCAATTTCAGGCTCAGATACTTATTGTTATTGCAGTAAACCCTATCTTGAACATTTTGATGCATTTTCAGAGCCTGAAAACGTGTCAACGAAGTCTAAAACACGCGTTGGCACCACCAGAAACCGCCACTATACCGCCGCTGTTCAACAAGCGTGAGTGCCGCCATTGCTCGATAGCGATGGCAATGAGACTGCTATGGCCCTGCTTTTGTCGCTGGCTTGCTTTTGAGCCACAGACGATTCAAAGCTGAAGCTCAGTCGCTCAGTTTATGGTTTCCTTCACGCAGCTGCTGGGTGCAATCGCGGAACGATGCCTTTTCCGATTCCGATGGTTATTATTATGTTCGCGCTTGGTCAGTGTGGTAACTAATCAGAGTGGCTGTTCGTCTGCATTATAAACAACATCAGCTATCTGCGAGAGATGGATGATAAAAATGGCTTAAAATAATGCAAAAAAGTCACCGCTCCACGATACCCTGTCTCCATCCAGCGTTGTCGGATACTTTTCACGGCGGACAGCTGCTGATGCTAACGTGTTAATGCAACTGTTTGGTTTGCTCATGAAGGCTGTTTTAGGAGTTGTTTTAGCGTGCTTTTCACCATGGCCTCGCTATGCATGAGTAAGAATGACGTCGCGACGCTGCTGGGAAAGAATAAGAAGCAGCGGACATTTTCTGATATTTTGAGAATAAACGTTCTTTTGTTTTGCTAGCGCAGATCAGCTATATTTGTTTCAATTTCACTACAACGAAATTTTCACTTCAACGAAATTTTTCAGTGCCCCGTCAGTTTCGTAATACAGTCGAACCCCGCTACAACGAAACTGACGGGGCGCGAAAAAAACTATTAAAGCAAAAATTTCGTTCTAGTGAAATAGAAAAAATACAACTGATCTGAGCTAGCAAAACAAAGCAACGTTTATTCTCAAAATTCAAAAAATGTCCGCTGCTTCCTATTCTTTCCCAGCAGCATCATGACGCGATTCTCACCCATACATAGCGAGGCCATGGTGAAAAGCACGCTGAAACAAGGCCTACAACCGCTTTCGTTGATTGATATGTGGGGTTCAACGTCCCAAAACCACCATTAGATTATGAGAGACGCCGTAGTGGAGGTCTCCAGAAATTTCGACCACCTGGTGTTCTTTAACATGCACCCAAATCTGAGCACACGGGCCTACAATGTTTCCGCCTCTATCGGAAATGTAGCCGCAGCAGCCGGGATTCGATCCCGCGACCTGCGGGTCAGCAGCCGAGTACCTTAGCCACTAGACCACCGCGGTGGGGCTACAGCCGCTTTTGTGAATGAACCAAACAGCTGCAGCTGTCCGCCATTAAATGACATCCGACACTTTAGTGTCATAGTCCTTTAATGCTGAAGCCATAGTGCGTACGAAGAATAAGGGCACAGGGAAGTTAAGCAGGCACCAAGGTTTCAATACATCGTGGTTACCAACTCCCCAAACTTGGAACTTGGACACTTCCATAAATTTCAAATCTGCCAACAATTTCAAAAGGGGTAATTTACAGCGATGCTAATGCCGTCAGTTTTCTTTTTCTTCTTCTTGCTCAACCATCCTTTGTTCAAGACAATTAGGCTGTGGATGCAGCGCATTAACACCAAGAGACTTGGTACACCCATGAAAAGTAATGCAGGACTTCAGTATTAAGTGACTTTTTCTGTGACCTGCTTCTCAACCAAATTTTCTCAATGCGAGCCGAATTCCTTTGAATGAATGGTTTGTGGACTAACAAGCAAGCAGAGCAGGAGTGCTTTTGTCTGGGCAAGTTGGTGTGACATCTGCAAGGTTCAAAAGCACAACGGACAACAACGAAGGACACATCAATGACAGGACCAGTGCTGAAAACAAGTGCTGATCAGCACACGCCCCGTAGCTCATGTGTCTCTCTTCTTCGTCTGTTGTGTTGCCTGCACCTTGCAAGCAGTACAGAACTGTCTTTTCTCATAAGGCGAACCCATACTTGCGAACTTTCGAGAAAATTCTGGCCTATAGGCGTGTCTGAATGAGCAAACTGTGCATCTTTTACAACTTCGACAGAGCAATGGCGCCAGTCTAAGAATGCATAACGTTTTCTACACTTTTTTAAGCAGACATAAACAGGCAATCTTACAGAAAACAGCTAAAATAGCTTGTCAAAGCATCAACAACAAAAAAAATATTGAGTAGTGAAGAGCGAGTGCTTCGGCCACATACCAGGAGCATGACGTTTCGGTCCCAAGAGCGACGGTGATGCCGAGCAACATTGAGCAAAGCGCAGTACAGTCGTTCGAGCTGCTCCACGGTCGCACCTTCTGTCTCGTTCACCGTCCTGTCCTCAAGCTCTTCCAGCCATCCGCGGTTCAACTGCAACACCTGTTCTGCTGCAGCGGACACTGGTGGGGCAGCGTACGATTGAGGAAAAAGAGAACTATTAGAACAAGTTTTTAAATGCTAGTTCCAAAATATGAGTAAATAAATGAAATGCCTGTTGACTACAGCTACATATGTGCTCAGAAGTCTCGCACGCTCCTACTTTGCCTTCTATGCCGTGCACTCGGACAGTTTGCACCCCCTCGGTTAAGCGTCCCAAATATGCTCCTTCGGGGCCTGTGTTCATGATCAAATTTGGTGAAGACTGTCGCTTTGCGCGACTTACTCTCTCGCACATTTCATGAGAGAAGAGACCACTTTCATTTAATTTAGCAAATTAGCAATTTAGCAAAATAATTTCATTTAGCAATAATTATCTCTTTAAGTGTGAAGAGCATTAATTAGTATAATTATCCTTGTAACTCAAAAAGTACAAAAGGTATTTGAAAACGGTTTTCATATTTGGAATCCTCACAATCATCCACATACACACACCAAATTTCATCACAAACAGTACATTAATAAAAAAATTAGTTTTACTTGCCACGTCCCCCCTTAACTGCCTTTCCTCAGCCAGCCAATCTGAGCACACTGAAAGCAATTATTACTGCGACATCTGCGACTTAGAATAGGAACCCATAATAAAGTCCGCTCCACATTTATTCTCTGCCGACCTGGTGCTGCATCTCTTCAACCACACCGCAACATAAAAACATACACAGTTCATGGAATTTATTCCAGCTTTTTTGACATTGGGCATTACTTAGCTCGATAAAGCACCATTTGATGATTGATATGTGGGGTTTAACGTCCCAAAACCACCATATGATTATGAGAGACGCCGTAGTGGAGGGCTCCGGAAATTTCGACCACCTGGGGTTCTTTAACGTGCGCCCAAATCTGAGCACACGGGCCTACACCATTTCCGCCTCCATCGGAAATGCAGCCGGGATATAATAAAGCACCATTTTTCGCTGGTCATTTTTCAATTAAATTAAGGCCCAAAAGCTCTAAACACTGTGACTAGAATTTGTTCATTTATTTACTGTAATAATAATGAAGTCACATTGACACGAAAGCAGTCTGATTTGTAATAGCCGGACAATGTTTAGTATACTTTCATACCTGATAATTCAGGCATATCTGAGCAAGTTACATCAAGGTACATACCAGTGTCAGTTTCAATAAACAAGATATAGAGAAGTCTAGATGCCACAGTAATGTTAGTGGTACAAAGTGTGGCATCTTGAGACCAATATTACTACGTTTCCCAACTGCCCCCCTTGTTAAGCCTATCACTTTTTAAGTGAAAGAACAGGGGGTCAAAGGCTGGTACAGCTTCAAAAACAACTATGAGTACTTATAGAAACGCTGAGCGATTCTGGACTATGCAACTACAATCGAACTCAGATATATCAATCCAAAGGGTATCACAAAGCTTTATATATTAGGTCGTTTGATATAAGTCGGATCCCTTTATAAAGGATGCTGACATAACAGACAAAAGGGTGTTGGAGACAGCAGTGTGCCTACAGTAAAATACAGATGATAAGAAAATGCATACGAGGTATCCTGCTTTCAAGAAAGACAAGTCATATAAAAGACAAGAATTGCTGCCTGGAGCAGGCCTTTTAACAAGGGGTTAACTGCATACAACATTTATTTACAGAAAATATATTATATCAAGAGGATTTTACAACTATTAAATATCAATTATGGAAGGCACTCTACTTCTTAGAGCATACTTTGGAGCAGGAAAAGGTACTGCTTTGGAGCAGCCATAAGTGTTTTGGGAGCTGAAAAAAAATGCTAGTTTAGACCAGCTACTGGTGTTTTAGGAGAAGATATTAAATCTGCAATATGTTAAGGCGTTTATTAGTCGGCAACCAGCGAGCATACAAAATGGCGACAGTCACGGCCAAGCACGGACTCTCAGCGCGAGCGGCGTCCTTGTTGGGTAGCCCACTAGGAGGTACTCAAGAGTTCGACCCATTTCAGAGTTCGGAGGCTTCGCTACAAATACATTAATCAAAGTTCAGAGCATTGTTCAAGCATCTTGTGTGCTGTGAAAATGTGCTCCGAAATATGAGCTACAATTTAAAATACCAGTATTTGTGGCAGGAATCAAATCAAACCGGCAAAAGCTGAGCGCCACATTTTTAGAAATAACCACAGCCCATATAACTGTTGCCAAATATGCAGTAGATGATTGGTATGAAATAAAAGCAATCCTGCTCATTTTCACATTTCACCACACTAGCCTGCATGTCTAGCTTAAAAAAAAGAAAACCTAAAAAAACCACCCGGATGAGCTATAAGCTTAATATGCCAGTTCTTGTTGCATAAATGAGATCAGAGCCAAAAACGCTTCACACTAGTGGAAATACTGGGATGATAGTACACAAACTCTTTTCAGTTTCTTCAGGACTTACGAGCTGGTCAAACAGTAAAAGTTGATCATTCTCCTTATCTCAGTGTCATTTCGGAGCTGGTTTGGAGCAACCACTAACAAAAAGTGCTGTTTGGAGCAGCATTTCTCTTTTGGTGCAGTTTAGTGCAGTTCGAGCAGCTCTTCCATCACTGCAATATCCATAATACTTCATTATATAGGAGCTTGACTGTATACTAAATTTCAGAAAGCTCAGTACTGAGCACCGTCTCTACAAAATTTGATGTTTGACATTTGATGTTTGACATTTTGCATCAAATGAACTTTCGAGAGAGACCTTTTTTTCCTGAGAGAAAAAAAAAAAACAGCTGCTAGCCTTTCCAGAGCACTAAGAACCAACCTCTTTCACTTTATCACTAAAATGAGGAAGGAACATCTTTAAAAGTAAATGAAGACAGTAATATGATACTCACAGGCACACAGCAGCTTAACACTTCCATCCTTAGATACCACCTTAAAGGGACACTAAAGTCAACTATTAAGTCGACATTGATTGCTGAAATGGTGGTCCAGAAGCCTCGTGTAGTGTTATTTTTGTGCAAAAGAAAGGCCTATTTTGAAATAAAATCACGGTTTACTGCTCCGCATCGGGTTAACAGCACTTCAAATTACCCGCCTCAAGAAGTGGACTGATTGGTCCATCTCACGTCACTATTGCCATGCACAACGTTGCCCTGCTTCACTGCCCTAGTAGCAGCAGACTGAAAGCAGCGGGAGCCACAGCAGCAACAACAGCCATTAATCAATTTCCAGCCATTGGCTTCGAGATCGCAGACACTTTTTGGTTCAACTGCACCCCGCTAGATGGCACCACCTGTTCCGCGTAACCACGCAGAAATTGAATTTTTGAATCCCTCGCACCATTTCCCATAGTAACATCCGGCGATTCTTATTTCCATGAATCAAACAGAAACGAACAAGCAGCATTTTATTGCATCTCTTAATACATGGAACGTTTTTTATTCAGTGCAGTTAGATTGATTACTAGTGATTAATTGTAGGCGGTCCGTCTTATGTCATCGCGATCATTTTGAAAATGTCCTACTGTGGCGCTTGTGTTCCTGTGCATTTATTTAATTTTTCAGTAAGTAGGGCACTGTTGATAATATTGTCATTTTAGATTGTCATACATTGAGCTTGCACTCTAACGTAAATTGTTGTTTGACTTTAGTGTCCCTTTAAAGGTCCCACAGATGAAATGCTCACCTTCAACAGAAGAGGCATTCTCCATTGCTTCCCCAGCTTGACTTCCCTCCGCTTGTGCCACCTAGAACAAGAAACGAAAATAATGAATATATTCTACAGTGCAGATGCTGATGCACAAATCAGTTACAATGACGCAGTGCGATGAGTTAAGTTCTGCATAGGACTTGTGAACGAACGGCACCTAAAACTGGGGCTCAACAGTAGCACGGGGCAGAACATTCTTGTTTTACTGCACACAGTACTCATTTTAGATTATTGTCATATGCTCATTTGCTATGCCATTCTCACACTCTAACAGAAGATCTAGCTATTAACCAGCCACATTACACCTTAAAAATTTTAAAAGCAGCATACTGAAAAATATTTGCAAATTTGGAACTGGAAAGCAGAACTACTTTGTGTTAGTAGCGGCGCAGTGTAATGATGTTTCTCATTGCGTTTCTTTGAGAACGCAACTCAACCCCGTACTTCTCCCATTACAGTAGCAGCACACATTTTTGTCATCAAGCACCGATAACGTGAAAGCCCTCCACCCACCTTCACTTGTTGTGCTTTGCTGCTTGACTCCTGCAGTGCCGGGACTAGCTTCCTTCAACCGTGCAGAAGCGGCTACTTGCCGGGTTTCTGTCGACGACAACCTGTCCTTCGCCACAACCTTGGCGGCTGGTAGTGCTGAATCGCTGTTCTTTCCCGCTCCATCCGACGACGACCGTCGCCGCTTCGCCAAACTTCTAGATGTGACTTTATCTGCACAGAGTTCAAAGGTGTTACATCCCACTGTATTGTTAGTACACGATGCACTGTGCCTTGCTAAAGTATCGGCCCAAACATAAATGCTGACAGACCTATGAAAATTACTTTAGAGCACTTTAGCTTTCACTGCACCTGACGACACAAGTTGCAAACTAGAAATATATCGATTTGAACAAGTACAAGAAAAAAATGTTACTAATTTTAACATTCGTGCAGGTATTTCTAAACATTCATGTGGGAAGACAGTTTCAAAACTGAATAACCTGGGTGCCACCAAAAATGATGGCAAAGGATTGAAACTGACAAAATGTGCCGTGAAGCACGTAGTCTGAGTAAAATGCTGGCAATGTTGACTGTCCAGCTTTTACAGTAGCTACATGCGAGCGATGGCCACACTTGTGGTAGCAAGCAACAACAAAGTCCCTTCACAACAGGCATTTACACCCTTTTCATAGAACCATACAATTTATGCATATTCAGGAGTGGAACAGGGTACATGGGTTTGCGAGCAGTCCTAGAAGCAAGCAAAAGTGCTTGTAGCACGCTTGGAGCAGCCGGAAAGGCCTTTTTGAGCAATTTTGTAGAAGTCAGAGATCGGGAACGTTCACAGAAGACACAGCACTCGTGAAGCATCATTTGTATAACGCTGTATTTCGCAAACAATTGAGCAATAGCCCCATTATTGGGGTACCAGACACTCTCAACGGATTTTTGCCATTGCCGTCATGTTCCATATAAAGACCATATTGATAACATGCTCCCACGCAGGGGTGGCGAATCCGACTCAAGCAGAGATCAAATGAGCCGGCCCTTCTCTGTAACTCGGACGGCACATGTGATGACATAACCCTACTCGGGAGGCCTGCTGTCGCAGCAGAGAGGAAATGCGCCACCAATTTGAACGAGGTGAAGAGACGAGAGCGGTGGGGGGAAGGGGAGGTGTCAAGGGAGGTGTTGCTTGAGCAGCAACTGTGAACTTTGCTTCTAACGGCACAGTCGCGATCGCTGGCGTGGGCGCTAGCTTGGACTGCAAAAACTGTTGCTCAATCTGGAGCGACCATGCTCTCTTACACTAGCATTTACTAGAGTTATGTGAGATGTCACCTTAAATTCATTGCTATTGCATTGCTCTTGCAATCGCTTTTGCGAGTAAGCTGTGACTTTTTAGCTATATACAACCGCCCATTTGCTAAACCTAAACAAGAAAGCAAGGACACTACAAAATAAAATTGTACTTAGCAGACATAAAGTTCTACTTTCACTCACAGAAATGTGTAACAAAGTTTTTTTCACTTTCTCATGCTTAAAAAGCCATAGTATCAAGCTTTAACGGTTGATTTGATTGATATGCAGAGTTTAACGTCTCAAAACCACCATATAATTATGAAAGATGCCATAGTGGAGGGCTCCGGAAATTTCGACCACCTGGGGTTTTTTAACCTGTACCAAAATCTAAGCACACGGGCCTACAGCATTTTTGCCTCCATCAAAAATGCAGCTGCCCAGCCGGGATTCAATCCCGCGACCTGCAGGTCCGTAGCCGAGTACCTTAGCCACCAGACCACTGCGGCTGGGCAAGCTTTAGCGGCTTGATTTCATTCAAACAGCACATTGCTATACCCAATGAGAAGTTCGGTATGCCAATACAAAACTATGCACAATATCCATATAATTTTGCCAAGTATATATAAAAAATATATACATATTCTGTTAAAAATCCCATAACAATCCTATGGACAACATATAGGGTGACTCGAATTCATTCTACAATAAGGATATTCAATAGTTATACAGAATAAAATGAACTAGCAAGTGAGCACCTAGTCTGACAGAAACACCACCACAACCATGTGTTCCGCGCCTGTTATGGCCAGTTTTCATTACTTGGCATAGTTTTACTACTGGTTAGATTACCGTTTCTGAATGAGGAAAAAAAATACAGTAACCAGAGAGCTAAGCCAGTTGGTACAGTACAGTCTACCGTTAAAGGGCACACACAAATGCATATTGTCCGCATTACTGGCCCTCTAACAGGCAGGGTATAAGGAAACAATCATCATGCACACCACTAGTCTGTCGAGAGAAGTCCATTGTTAACCACCTGTAACCTTGTGCAGACCTAAACTACCATTCTTCTACTTGATACAAGATAGGCATTGCCCGCTATCTAAATCAACCAGTGTGACACCTAGTATGACAGAAAACAAGCATCTGTCCCCAAAAACAGTCCCCCTTACGTGACCACCATTTGGAAAAGACACCAAATTTCACATCATTCCTCACAGCACGCAAACACAGGCCAAAAGGCATAAGAGAAATCAGGAAGGCGAGGGTTCTGGGGAGGGGGGGAGACCCCTACCGATCACAGCGGGCGTCTTTCTGCGGCCAGGCAGAGCAGCAGCAGCGGAGGCGGCATGCCGCAGCACATGGCGACGGTGGCTGCCAAACCAGGGTGACTTGCGACGGCGCACCACAGGGTATGCCCGCCGTTCACCGCCGGACGCCTCCCCTCCTGGGCACCACCCGCAACACTACACGTGTCACAACACCGCTGCCGCAGTTGAACATCAAGTGTGCCAACGCTCTCGCCAGAGGATGCTCGCCAAAGCCAAAACACCTCGCAGTTGAGGCATGGCGGCTAAGCAACAGATCCGCAAAGTGGTCTGGCGAAAGCCTCTATGCTAGAGCTGGCGAAACAAGTGCAATAAGGCTCACTGGGGGCCTCAAGGTGTCTAGCAAATCCATTTTTTCCGACGAGATGAGTTTTCCAGACTGTTCCAGACAATATGAGCGAAGTTTCACTTTGGCAAAATCATAAATAACTTATGTTTCACATATAGCAGACAAAGCTGCAAAAGCTAGGCAAGGAGTGTAGCCATTGAGTCCTTAACTAATATATGTAAATTTATGGAAGATAGGCCAAAGAGCACCCGTGGCCATAGAAGTCTTCACTCAAGGAGACTGAAGGGAAAGAATCGCTAAGATGCAGAGAGGTTATCCAGGACTAAGTCCGTTCGGCTACTGCACAATGGAAAAGAAGGTTGATAGAAGTAGAGAAAATTTATTATTGGTGCCTCTGTAACAATACTGCAACGTGCGTTTGTTGTTTCGATTTTAATGCATTTGGTTTATGGCTACAGAGACTGTCAGCACTGCTTGACACAGGCCGCGCCTCAATGTTTGAGAAGCTTCACAGTTGTAGATCATTTTGTTTAGATTGCGCGCAAAATGCAAACACTCAAGTTTATTTCAGAGCTTGCGCGACAACCAGTGATAAGACTAAAAAGTTTGAAGTGTGATGTATAAAAGACGCCAGCGCGTCCCAATGATTATCGACAACCGCCGCTCTGAGCACAGATATCCGTGTACAGCGGGCATTGCTTGCTGTATTTGAGTTTCCATTTCACAGCCACAAGTTTGGCCAAATAAAGAGTTCGACCTTGAAGATGCCGACTGCTCTCTTTGCGCATGTCACAACTACACGACAATATTGAACCCTGTGTAACAGACATCAATTCAGTGTCTTCCCAAAAATTCAGCAGCACTTTTGCAGCCTTTTGAGGCTATTGTCGTGTAAATAACATACCCGAGCCCTATGCCAAGAACTCCACATTTATTCGACTGCTCGTGATTCCCTTTTTCCTTCTTCTCCTCCATTTCTCCCTCTGGTCGATGCGCGTTCGCAATCATCAGCAACAGCTATGACGTGAGACCACTATCTAAAGACCTTGTTCAAGTTGAAAGTTATTCACATTTAGCTTGACGGCAGTTACGCAGAGCTGTGTTCCTTCCTTTTCGATAAACAGGCACTCAACGCACCTCACTATGCCGTTTTTCTGCGTCTGCAATCTCTTATACAAGGAACTACGTAGATATATTAACCCCTCACACACAACACTCTTTTCATCAAATCACACCTTGAAACTGTGCAAGTTTAAACCTTCAATGAGAATTTCAGTGATTCATCATTTTATGACATCCCAGATATTGCTGGAGAACTGTCAACCATTCTACAAGAGCTTGTACTGAGGTCTGTTGGAAAAGTATAGAAAACGTTTGGCCGAAGAAAAAGAAAGCTGGCATAACTGAAGCGTTGGAATCCTATTACACTCTAAGTAGTCAATCTCCACACATTTCCACAGTCAGAAGCGCCTATCTGATGGCGAAAGTGTGTGCAGTCTTCTTGGGACTCCACCCACTTCTCACAGCGGTGCTGCCATTGTTGGAGGGAAAGCCTTTTTTCCAAATGAAGTTTAGCTCGGCTGTTGTTGCAGTCGTGATGTCCTCTCCTGTCTGAAATCACGCTCCTTTCAATGGCCTCTTGATTTAGGGAAACACCAAGAAGTCGCAAGGAGCCACATCAGGAGATTAAGTAGCCTGTTTAACTACAGGAGTTTGGTTTTTCAACAAAGAAGTCTTAATCATTGGCGAGGAATGTGCAAAAAACATTGTCGTGATGGATGCGCCAATTCACTGTTGACCAAAACTTTGGTCTCTTGTGCTGCATAGCATTATGTTGGTGATGGAGGACATTCCTGTAGCACTCTTTGATGATTGACCCTGTGGTGCGTCAAAGAAAGCAGTCAGCAGCACTTAAGACAATGCTGCGCACTTGGCAGGTCTTCTTTGGCCTCGGTGACACGGAATGCTTCCACTGCGGTGACTGGTATTTGATTTCCGAGTCATACCCATGCACCCAAGACCCATCACCAATGATTATGGTGCTCATGAAGTCGAGGGTCACTGTTCATGGAATCCAGCATGTCCTGTGAGCCTTTAACACAGTTGCTTTTGCTCCACCATGAGCAGCCTTGGCACGAATTTCGTGCCACTCTTCATGGACTCTTCATGAACTCTCTTCATGGACAAATCTTTAGTCATAATAGAATGTGCAGAAAAGGTGCTCATGCCTAACACCCTGGGATAGCGACACCACAGCATTCACCTGGCCATTTTGGCATGTCGATTGCCGACCAGAGCGTGGCTCGCTCTCCACCGATGTGCGGCAGTGTTTAATGGTGCCACCAACAAAGGCACTGTTACGAGTGGAAGAAGGCCCCTACACATCTGACTGCAGTCAGTGGACAGGACAAGTGGGTCGGGAATGAAAATTCTATTCGGCCAAACGTTTCTTTCAGGAGTCTTGGCCACTTCAGAAGTCAATGACAATGTTCAGAAAAACAATGTTTTTCAAACAGCTTTCGTTTAAACGAAAAGCACAAGAATCGAAAAAAAAAAAAAGGACTGTACCACCACTTAATAGCATGCTGGGATGGCTTTGAGTGGTTACACAGTTTTTGCAAACACACCAGTTGACATTTGCCAATGTAGAAACTTCCCTATGAGTTCCCTACCCACCCAAGTCCTGTTTGCTAGACACCCTGAATGTTGTTTGTAATGGGCACTGAACAGCATAGACAATCTAAATGGCATAGCTGACAAACAACCAGTTGCACAAAAGAAAAAAAAAATGTGCACACACTCACACAGCAGAGCACAACAAAGTGGCCAGAAAAGTCACTGGCGCTACTAAGTGCAGCAACTCCACATATCATATGAAGACAGACAGTACGTAGCATTTGAAAAAATTTAGCTTACCATAATTAAACGTTCCTTTGTACAGAGATCAATAAAGGTAAACTTTGTTTTACTAGAGCCAATTAAAATTTTAGTTTTTAAATATAAGGAGAAAGCAAACCACCCAACCAAAACATGGCCAAGGACCTTTTTCGAGAAATATTTTCCTGAAATCATTTTCTAGCCACTCGTTGCCACAAGCAGCCAATACGGTGCATCGTACGCCAACGACGACCAGCGCAAAATTTTAAAAGCCAATTCATTGTCAAGACTGGCTTCAGTAATCACCCCTAGTACTCTATGAAAATCAAGCCCAGACTATCACGTTGCGACACAAAAGTTGCTGTGCACGTACCGAAGCGTTCTCAAAAATGTCGTCTCATGGCAAGAAACTGTAGAGCATCAAAACCCTGACTTCCTATACACGGCAGAATGGCCCATTGTCAATTGGCCGACCGGACCATTGTCACTTGCCAAATCATTCTGTTGCCCAGCATTTCCTCGTGTAGCATTTGCCACATAAGTTATGGAAATGCCTGCCAAGGTGTTATGGTGGGCGAGTTACGTTTCAAGAAAAATAAGATAAAATACAGTTGTTGCAAAAACAAGAAAGCAGACACAAGAGCCTTATTACTTCCCCTTCTAATTCTTGACCACTATTCTTCCTCAATGCACAACTTCCTTGGAAACATTGATACAATTCTAGCTCAAGCCCATTCCTGAATGCTTGCTTGGCTGACAGGGTTATTGCAACGCCTCTGAACCTGTCGACTTGGTATGCATCGTACGCAATGCACAGGTCAATACAGCATCATCTACCTTCCCGATGCAATAATGTGTTCTTCTTTAAAACGAGGGAAATATGATTAACACCATTGTGATTTGCCTCAATCGCATTGAAGCCAGTAACAGAAACTGCATGCTTCACTGCAACAAGTTCTGTGAAACAAGCGAGAGTGCATACTTCAACGAGGATAAAGCATTCCCTGGATATCATAAGCCTTAGCAAGTGCTGGTCACCAAATTAACGTTAAAATGTGATCTAATGAGTAACTCTTTTCCAAGCTGAGAAGAAGTGCCTATGACCCCTTTGTTTCTTTTTGTTGCCCTAAAGGTGAATCCCAGTGGCAGATTATGAGCACTTCCAGTAGCAGTTTTTCTGCTCTTCGCTGAGCTAGTCTATTCCAGTGGTTAAGTGAGTGCCTGTCTCACTTGCAGATTTACTTTTATTGCCCTCTGCCGAAGCGGTGTGCTCTGGCACAGATTTTGTCGGCCACTCCAAATCTGTCACGAGAATTCACCATAAGCTGATGCCCCTATCCCTGCAATCCTGGACTCCCACGTCGCACACGTACCAAAGAGAACCGACACGTGCTACAGAGGGTGCTTACCCTTGCTGGACGACGAAGGCTTGGACGACGACTGGCTGTCCAGTGTTGATGTGTCGGGCATGTCTTCCGCGGCGTCCTCGGTTACCTCGGTCGCACCGTTTTCTGTTGTGTCCTCTTCGTCGCTAGCAACCACCAATCCCCGAAGCCTTCGGCTGTACCTCTTCGAGCCTCCCTCTTCGTTCGACGCCTGGACGTGCGGCAGATCAGGTACTGGGGCGTCTGTGGCCACTGGCGCTGGTCGCGGAGCGACGTGGTAGTTCTTCGGTACGTAAGGCACTGACTCCTCCCCTGAAGAATGCAAGAAGCGATGATGATTAGCTTCCTCTAATTCTTCAACACAAAGACAGCATTGTTGAATAGTGCTGATATTTCAAATGGTTATTAAATGCAAATATGAAACATAACCTGCAATAATAAATTACCATGTTATAGCAAATAAGCCTCCTTAGAAGCACAGCAATGTGGGATAAAATTCATGAAAGGGAACAGTAGACTCGACCTCTAGGGCCAGGAAAATATGTTCCATTAAGCAAGGGCTTCAATTACTAGGATAATTGGAGGTGTAGAAATCAAGTACAAAACCAATCATATTTAAGGCAGTTGATCCACTTAAGCAACAATTGTGTTTTGGAGACTTCCATTTGCCGAGAGTACTGTAATTGTCACGCAGAAATTTGTAGAACGAAGCTAGAAAGGAAATCCACGAAAAGCTGTCCTAGTAGATGAAATATTTGTCCCAGTTCGAGATTGTGTCCACAAACGCCTCCTTGCAACACTGGCTTAGAGTGATACCGTGCTCGGGACGAGGTTGCTGAGCACTGCAAGACACACTGCAGAGCTACTTGCCTCTTTCCTTGCGAGCCTGGACGATGTCCTGGCAGATCTTCTCAAAGCCCCAGTCGAGCTCGGTGTCGACGAGCGCATTGGCTGCGTCCTGAAGGGCGCAGGCTCGATGTCGAATGTTCTTGTCTGTCAGGAAAGGGAGAGGTCGTGAGATGGAGATATATGAATCTAGCAGGCAACGTGCAAGTGGAAAACAAACAACTGATGTAACCAAGCAGCTATCATGCACAGAACATGTCACGAAAAATTTGCTGCCAACGAAAACGCATTCGAGTGCCAGTTGATACGAACATGTGACAAAAAAGTTGCCGATATAAAACGTCCCGTACAACAAAGGGTGTTATGAGACAATGGTGCACGAAGCTTTAACAATTGCAATGCGAAGTTCTGCAGAATCCCACAAGGCGGTGAAGGACTTGTGAATTGTATGATTAACAACAAACCGCGCAGCTGCACAAAGCCACAATCCAAGTCTATTGCGGCTCCACACGAAACAATATCTATATGGATCCACATAAAATCCACATGGATTTTCATGTGGCTTTGTGCTACAAAAGGGTGGTTGTCATTTATATGTTTCAAAACGGCTATAACAAAGGAATCTTAAAGGAACTTGGTCTAAACGATATTATCTTCGTTTTCATACTTGTCGCATTGTTACAGCAGTGAAACATTCAGCAATTTAAGTAAGGTACAGCCAACCAGACTTTAATTACATTAGAATGTCAGTGACACAAATTCGAAGGAAGCATGCAAAATAATCATATCATCTCGAATTCGTATGAACCAAAAACAAGTTAAAGTTGATCATGAAGATGAACAAGAACTTTATTGGGGTCAACTACCTGCTGAAAAAAAATGTCCATGATGTTCTTTTGAACTTTCCTGCTTTCACCGCCTCTCAATAAAGTGCTGCGATTTCCTCACTGATGATCGTTCACTCTTGGCATCAGAGGGAGTGAAAGTGGCTCATTGGAAATTCACTCGCTTCGTTGCTTCAGCGGCCAGGAAAACGTGGCTACGCTGTCGACACGAAAAAATTCAGTCCTGGATAATTCACACTGGAGAATTCAAGCGAATACTCCAGAGCGGCTGCAAAACCACATTAGTGCCTCCTCGTATACAAGCCGTCGTCGTCGCTTGAGAATTCATTCCTGAGCAACAAAATCCATACCGAGTTTTAGTTATGCATGCAAAGCACTGAAAAGAAACAGTTTAGATCTTTACAAACATTATTTTGGGAGATACACCTGAAGAAATGACGAGCAGATGCACAGGCAGTGCCGGCTACAGAGTCAGGAGGCAGCGTAAAACGATACGCGTTAGGGCACGCTGACTCGCTGCTGCTGCACCGTCTTCTACTTCTGGTGTTTGCGGGAAACTGTAATTCAAACCAGGCTCTCGATGGATGCGCTCTTTCCAAGGCCGTGAGCTTTGTCATGCTGCGCTCGTAAGTTCGCGATTACATTGACGCGAGCATTTGCCGCCATGTTGGATGTATGGCTCATTGTTTACATCACATGGTTCGAGTGCTAGCGCAGCCGGTGTAGCCAAAGCCGTAGCAGAAAGGCAATCCGCTATCAGTCTCGGACCAACATTTTGGCGTCGGCCTTGTGGCAAGGTTTCTCAGCCACTTCTCCGGCAGCGAAGAGAGAATTCCAGAAAGTTCGGCCGCATTCGCTCCCTTCGAGGCTAAGTATGAACAAGCCGTCCTCCCGCAGACAAGTCGCGTTGTGCCGCTTGCATGCAGCGGTCAATCGCGCCTTCGTATCAAGTGCAATGGCAGTGGAAACCATTCGTATAACACCGAATCACAGCGTATTTTATATAATGTAGTCTATTCGAAGCAACCTTAAAATTCCTATCGCGAAATTTGTATGAACCATAATGGTATCATGGAGATTCTACTGCACTTCCATTACACAGTGGAAAACATATGTACTAAAGAGCTCACCCTTCTCGAGATACAATTATACAAGTCACATCCCTTCACCACAACACTCTCGATAAAAACAGAATGTATGGAGTATCGATATACAGGTCTATCTATTAAAAGGCCACCAGACTTGGAAACGATACATATAATTCATTACATCAATAATCAATATAAAGTTTCGAACATAGAAGGAAAACATTTTAGAAATCGCTGAAACAGCCACCGCAGGTGATTCTTGTTTTCTACAGATTACGTTTTTGGCAGACATTTATATTAAAATGTTGCTCCAAGCATCTTGCAAGGTCGACAAAACATATATGAACCAGGAAATTTGAATAGCGAGCATTAATCTAACATACTGCAGCTTCGAAAGAGGTACAATTGTAGGTGCACTCAAATGAAAAGATATGAAGGGTAGAGGGAATGAATTTAAAGAAATAAAATCTTCATGGTGAATCAGGAAGTGCTTCTGAAGTGGCCAAAAGCAATCCCCAACTGTTTGTTAAGACGACTGTTATAGCACGAGAACGAAACGATGACAAAGAGACAAGAAGACGACGACTTTGTCGTCCTACTCTCGTGCTATAACAATCGTCATGTCATACTAACTAGCCCAAACCACTACGCTTCTAAATGTTTGTTATGGATGCACAATTAGTTACAGTGCTTGTTCAGTAAAAGCTCGTTAACCCGGATCTCACGGGACCGGTGAAAATGTCGGAGTTAAGCGAATTTCAATTATTGAATGAACCATCAAAACAAAAGGAAAATGTACTCGGCACAGACAAACCTTTATTTCATGACAGACTGCGTCAACTTAGCCTGCCTCTTCATCGGAATTAGTGCTAGAACGATCTTCTTCAACCCCATGTGGTGGTGTGTACGCTCGCTGTCGCGAGAACTGAAGCAGAACTCCGCGAGGACAGCGAGGGCTTCGGCGACCTCCTGCACGGTGCGATGTCGCGTCGGCTCATCTTAAATGTCATCATCAAAACAATGATTCTGATGCTATTCAAGCACTTCCGATAATAGGGAGGTTTAGAATAACATTCGCAGGTGTTGCGGGCATTGCTTTAGTTAAAGTGCCATGCGAGTTTTAGAATAGCGTTTGCTCCCCCCAGGGAAAAGTCTAGGGACTTTCGCCCCGACCGCAAACCCAAATTCACGGAAGCCACACACAGCACTTCGTGAGCCGCGATCGCCTCACACTATTTTAGATTTCCTGCGGGCGGGCCGCGAATGCGAACGATGGCTTGCGTTACAACACATGCACAGTGGCAGCAACCACACCGCAAGGGTTCGCGGTGCGCTATTCATCAGTCAGCAGACCAGCAATGGCCACACCATCATCAACGCACACAAACACAGCCCGACAACGTAACGACGATTTCTATGTCAAAGCGCCAACTCGCCCAACAGTCAACTCGTTTGATGTATACGAGCTGCACACGCTATGCGCGAAGTCACAACGCAAAGAAATCAGCAGCGTAGGCGTCGTGGGCAACTGGGGCAGCGGCGACTGAGCGAACTGTCCCGTCTTCCGCACATGCGGCGCAATGCGCGACGCATTTCGCAGACGCTGGATGCACAGGCGACCCAAGTGCTTCTACTGGGCGGTGACTAGCACCACCTGGCCACTTCCTCCCCCTCATTCACTATCATCATAATATTCTGCTGCTGTTCATTCGGTTTCGGTTTCTCCAAAACTTCGGTTCCACCGTCAGTAATGGCAGCGATGCCGGCGCTCCATGCTTTCAGTAACCGTAATCAGTTACTCAAAGCATGAAGCCCCGATAGCCTTCTCTAGAATCGCCTGAGTTAACTGGTGCGTCTAAATCCCTCCGAATTAACGAGCATTTGACACCATTGAAATATACACAGTTCTGCCGGGACCGCGCCGCATGTCCGAGTTAACCGAATTTCCGAGTTAACGAGAACCAGATACAATGGAATCGCGATGATACAATCACGGCTGATACAAAATTCAGGGTGATACGAATTTTTCTGTGATCCCGGCCAAGGCCCACTAATTTACTATGTGCTAGAAAACCGTTGTTAAGAACTGATTTTTTTACCCGAGTCGTTTGATACGAATAAACGCCACCCCACCAGCGGCCGCAAGAGCAAGCAGCGTGCACGCACGAGCTGAAATGCATGCTGCGCCTCAGGTTTGGCACATTGTCAGCGCTGCCTGCGAGCGGCGGGCGACAGACTCGTAGATCTGCGCGATCTCGGACGCCGGAGTGTGCCTTTTGTTTTCTCTTGAAGGCTCCAGATGACGCTGGCCACGATGGAGACACAAATCCAATCCAATCTTTGTGTTGCTTGCTGGTGGGTGCTCTTCGGTGCGGACACGTAATTACTGTAGTGCGGAGGCTGTCGACATTGTCTTGCCCAGTCAAGCACACGTATTTGCTTTGTTGTGCCTTTTTGTGTAGTCGCAGTAAGCCATGTCCCGCAAGCGGAAGGCTCTCTCCTATAAGGAGAAACTGGACATTCTTCGAAAGGTCGATGGGGATCCGAAAAGAAAATGGCGGAGTTGGCTAAGGAGCTAGGCCTCGCTACAACGACATTGAGCATAATTGTTGAACAGCGGGACACAATAATGAAAGCTGTGCTTTCGTTTAGCGTCAATGCGAAGACAGCCCAACACGTGAAACTTGAAGAATCCTTATTGATCTGGTTCAAAAAGGTTACTGCAGCCAGTGTGAACATCGATGGCAAAGTATTGCGTGAAAAAGCCGACGAGATCACACCTGCTCTGCACATCGACGGATTCCATGCCTCGGGTGGGTGGCTGCACGGTTTCAAGACGAGACACGGTCTCGTGTACAAAAGCGTCTGCAGGGAAGCCAAGAAGGCCGACGAGACCGTTGTTAGCGACTGGCTCGCGAAGCTGAAGTTTCTTATCTCAGGGTATGAGCCTGGTGATGTTTTTAATGCAGATGAGGCAGGCCCATTTTTCAATCTTCAACCCGAGAAGAGCCTTTGCTTAAAAGGTGAAGCGTGCCAAGGAGGCAAAAGAAGCAAAGAAAGAATAACGGTTTTTCTGTGCTGTAACGCCGATGGGTCGGAAAAACTTAAGTTGACCATAGTTGGAAAATTTCAGAAGCCTCGGTGTTTCAAATGCGAGAGGCATTTGCCATGCGTCTATTGTGCAAAAAAAAAAAAAAGGCGTGGAATGCCCCGCCGCGGTGGTCTAGTGGCTAAGGTACTCGGCTGCTGACCCGCAGGTCGCGGGATCGAATCCCGGCTGTGGCGGCTGCATTTCCGACGGAGGCGGAAATGTTGTAGGCCCGTGTGCTCAGATTTGGGCGCACGTTAAAGAAGCCTAGGTGGTCGAAATTTCCGGAGCCCTTCACTACGGCGTCTCTCATAATCATAGCGTGGTTTTGGGACGTTAAACCCCACAAATCAATCAAAAGGCGTGGAAGACGGCGGCCTTGTTCGAAGAATTTCTGTCTTCTTGACAGAAAAATGGCCTGCAAGAATCGGAAAATTGTTCTGATTCTTGACCAGTGCGCCGCCCACCCGAAGCAAGTGACGCTTCAAAACGTCAAGCTGGTTTTTTTTTGCCCGCAAGCACGACGATGCACTTGCAACCGCTTGACGCTGGCATAATAAAAAAAAAGTCAAGCATCATTTCAAGAGCCTTCTTGAGCGCCGCCTACTTGCCAAAATAGATAGAAAAGACGAAGGTGGCCAGGGAATAAGCCTTTTGGACACCATCCATTTTATCTCAATGACTTGGGTAGAGTAACGCCGACTACTATTGCGAACTGCTTTGGTAAATGCGGCTTCTTTAGGATTGCCAAAGAGGTGCCAGAAGGCCCTTTCAGAGTTGGAAGAGCCCATTGAGGGTTGGGAATGCCTTGATGCCGGGTGTTCGGCTGACAACTTTTGCACGGCTGATGACAATCTTGCCACTTGTGGTGCGCACATGGTGGAAGATATTGTCAACGAGGCCACATGTGAAGTTGCCGATTCCAGCGACGATGACGAGGAAACAGACGAGTGCGACGGCAAAGGAGCACCACTGGCGGCTCAAACTCTGCACACGCTCGACGTCCTGAGGCGTGCTATGGCTGCTGAAGAAATCAGCAACGACACATGCACGCGTTTTTCACGGATTCCTGAAAGAAATGCTGAGTGACTTGACAAAAAAAAAAAAAAGCAGAAAGACATCAGAAATTTTTCTCCAACAAATTTTTTTTCGAGTGTCGAAAATAAGTTTGCCTCCAACTCGTTAATTTAGCTAGTTTTGCACGTGTTTCAATGATACGAATTTTGGCTATTACGAATATTTTTTGTGACTCCGCGAGATTCGTATCATCGAGATTCTACTGTAAACGAGCTTTTACTGTACTTACTTTTCACCTGCTGAGCAGGTGAGATTTCTGAAAGCCATGGAAATGCAGAATAGTAACTTCAAGAAACCTCAGCACTGAATTTAAAGTGTTATGACATCTGTTTGCATGACAACATGTATGCAATATAGTCTACCAGCTTCAAGCTGCCCCATTAAAAAAACAGTAAAACCTTTGCATGGTCAAACTTGTTCCTGTAATAAATGTAACAGGCAGAACTGCAACAGCCTGCCCTGCAACACTGCTAACTAGGCAATACAGATATTCTGTAAATAAAAATAAATAACAGCAGAAAGACTTACCCATGGGGTTTCGGTCAGGATTGTATTCGAGCGCGTTGGAGCAGATGAGCTCAATGTCCTGCAGGAACTGCGCCACAGTTTGGTACTTGTGTAAGTCGATCTTGACCATCATGGTCTCCAGGTCCATGGGTTGCTGGATCACCTCCAGGTAGTCGGGCACCTCCGACGCATCCACGGGCTTGGCAAACATGGTGTACCGCCGGTCACGCATCAGCTTCGTCAGGATGTCACGCAAGAACAGGCGCAACTCCCGGAGCCTGCATAAACAATGATTATAACTATTACCAAAAATTATTTGATAATATTAGGAGAAATCCTTAGAACTTTCTAATAAAACGAAGGCGAAAGCCTGGTTTGACCAGTAGTAATAAGGAATAAAGCTCTGAGCCCACGCGGCGACGTACAGTGAAACCCTATTAATACAGTTGAACCTCGATAATTCGAACTCGAAGGGGCCCGAAAATTTGTTCGAAATAAAAGAAGTTCAAATTAATGAAAGCTAAATGAACGGAGGGCTCACCATGCAGTGGCATATGTGCATTGAGCTAACACGAGGGGGGAAGTTTCAGAAGACAGACATTTATGCACAAGTCACAGGACATCTGTCATTAATTAAAGTAATCGGTGATGCGCATCTGCACACGTTTGCCTTGCAGCGAGTCAATCAATTTCACATGCAGCTAGCAAAGCATTTCTACTTTGGCATTTTGCTGGCAAGTGGAGTTGGTTGCGGCAATGTCCAGCGCCGACACTCTCTAAAGACGACATCAATGACTGCGTCTCCGCTGCTACCTTCTGCACCGTGGCCAGCACTTGAGGAGAAAGGAGGAGAGTCTCCACCCTCCACAGCAGCTTTTTTTTTTTCTTTTCGCTCTCTTCGCATGCGTCAACGCATTGTTGAAAGAAGAAGGGTCTATGTGGCAGGAACAGGAAGGAGGGGGCAAACATGGCACCAGCGACTACTCTGCGTCAGCTTTTTTAATTTTTTTCCCACTTTTCTTCGTACGCGGCGTTGAAAGGGGAAGGGTCTTTACGTGGGAAGGACGGAAAAGGGAGAAGCGTGGCACAGGCACGTCACAGATCGGCATTTGAGAGAGAGCAAACGTTCCACCGCAGCCTTTTCTTTCCTTTTCTTTTTTTCGCGCCCAGCGCTATGGTGTCGGAGGTGCCGCCGTAAGATTGGGAGTGGTGCTGAGAACATTTGGGGAGCGCGCCATGTTCGAATAACCCTCGCAAGTGCTTGCGCGTTCGAATTACAGGGCATTTTCGCCAATTGGAATACACGTAGCTTTGACGGGACCTCAGCGTGAGTTCGAATTAGCCGGAAGTTTGAATTAATGAGATTTGACTGTACGTACCTGCCGGGGACTGTGGCATAGGCATGCACTAACTGTACTACGCATTAACCCCCGGCTAAAACCTTTCTTGACATGCGCCATTGCCCCCAACAAAGGAAGAAACTCAGTGCCACGGGAAATATTGCCTAAAGTGCCCACCGCAAAGCAATTTATTTCTTTTTGCCAAAGTACATAAAAATTTCTGACTCGCAAAACTGCCTGATAGCACGCGGTGGTGACGATGATGAGCATTTCAAAACTACAGTGGGATCCGGGATACGCAGCATGGTACAGTGACAGAACAAACACAGTCGACTGTCCGTAATACAGTTGTTGCACGGTATGCTTCCAAGCGAAAACTGACGCAGTTTTCTTTTTAAAAAGCAGTACAGTCGCAAAGTGCCAAATCGTTAACTGCATGACTACTTCAGTGCAGCACTTCGCTCACTCTGTGCACACCGTGACTGCGGATCCGCTTGCCATAGAGTACACCCACTCTGCTTCAGGCTACGCAAAGATTCGGCGAGTAGCCTGCTGCGCTAACGCGGCAACGAAGAGCTTTCCGAAAGCAATGTCTCCTCTCCGCGATGCTCTAGCAGTCCTGGCAGCGGACGGAGGTGCATTTGGGCTGTCGCTAAATAAAAGCGTGCAGCATGGTAACAACAGCACCACGCTCGATCACTGTACGGTGCACGTGTTGGCATAATACAGCAAGGTTTCTCGGTGCACGCGACCTGCAATGCTAAACTCCGCGACAGCGAGCTGCTTGCGTTTCTGTAAAGCGGTGCGCGCTAGAACACTGTCCCGCAAAACGAAGCGGCAGCGCGTTCAGGTAACCTACTAAAAGCGTGCAGTAGGCCTAAAGTGACGCTACGCCCCACGCGTGCCTAAGCAGATAACCAGGGATGCTTCTTAGTTTGATAAGGCTTTTCGCTGGCAATAACTCATACCAGCGCATTTGTCGGTGATCGCCACCTTGCCTTCGTTTTTTTCTCAATGATTACTCGCAATGTCATTGCCACAATCGCGCGCAAGTTGAAATAACTTATCGGCTGATCTCCACACTTATATAGATGATGAGAAAACATTCACGGCACATTGTGGTGTCTGCAAGTTCAGCATAGCAGTAAAATTTTGTCGCACAAAATGTAATTGCAGTACACATTTAGTAAGCACTAACCGGTAGGCATAAGCCGAACACTACGGCTTAAGCGGTCCGCAAATGCATTAGCCTCCATGAGACTCGGTCGGGGATCCGTCGCAACTACGTTTTAACCGTTGGTACGCTTAAAGCGGGTACGCACTAAGGAGGTTTGACTGTATAGGAAACTGTTAAGGCTTGTTTTGAAATGCGGCAGCCATGCAGAAACCCTCAACTCAATCAGAAGCAGCCAAGTTGGACCCAGCGCCGTTGAAGAGTGAATGCATCTCACCTCCGCTTTATATTGTGTCCCTCATAACACAATGCAAACAATTTTTACTGACAATGAATGCGCAAACCTTGAAGACACCGTAAAAACCTATGACCTCACAGGGTGCTGGTGTGGAAACGTTAAGGTGATGTCGCGACATGCATTTTCTTGCTTACCAAGTGTTGTCTCATAACAACAGTGGTGCTTTTTATTTTTTCAAATTGTAATTCGCTGCTGTGAAAAAAAATCCTTTTTCTCTTTAGTTTACTCAACATTGATATAACAAACCCAAATATAATTAAATATCAGTTGTAATAAAGTAAATAAAGAATAGCTTTGCATAGATGTAGTGTTGAAATATACCTTTATAACTAATCTGCAAACATTACAAATTTACTTTCGTGTAAGATGCAGCTTCGTTACAAGTCGTTATTTAAAATTTGAGTGCGCATTTTTTAAAAACTACGCTGATTCGCAATGTTCCACGATGCTATTACGTTGCTTCCTCCTGCTGTCGGAGGCGTTCCAGCTCGGTCGGCGTGAGCTTTCGGGGCTCTGGCGGGGGTGCTGCCGGTAAGGAGGGCATCTGTTCGGGAGGCGTTCGCCTGGGCCTCGGCGGCATAGCAGCCTTGGCAAACACTGGCGCGAAAAACTTGCGCCGCTCCACTTCCGTCGGGGGAACCAGCTCCAGCACCTCAGATGGTCCAAACAATTGCTGCACCTGTAGAAAACGTGGCAAAGAAGACATTTAGCAGCTTTATTTCTCTTTTATATAATGTATAACTGTCGCGCTTTAATGTTGACTGTATTAGAATATCACACAGAGTATAGTGTGTTTTAGCATGCAGCTGAATGGTGCTAAAAGGGGTGAGGTTTGCTCGAGCTTCGTTTGCACGGTTTTCCATCATGCACCTCCACTTACTGCTATCTTTTACAAATTTCTATAAACGGAAATCAGTATATCAAATCACATCAATTCAAACATGGTACTAACATGAGCTTACTGGTAGCATGTTCAAGTATGTGCTTCAAACCACTCTGACAATGCTGCGACGGTGACCAACAACAAATCTTGCAGCTGTCATATGAGAATTACCGTAATTACTCGAATCTAACGCGCACCTTTTTTCCGGTTAAGCGAGTTCATAAATCACATGCGCGTTAGAATCGAGTACGAAACAAAAAAAAAAATGAATACGGTCATTCTATTGCCATCGACACGTCAAAAATGGCCGCCCCCTATGTGCGTCGGCATGGCCCACGCCTTCTCTAAGAAAATGCCTGCCGCATGAGAAAAAAAAAACAGTTGCCACGCCCTTTCTCTCCTTCATTTTGAAAATGTTCTCGGTCGCTAGCGTCACCTGTGGCGGACGGTGCAACAACGCAACACTTTGCATAGCCTCCAAAACAGTGGTGCACAGTTGCAGGTCTCGAACAACTCTCGACTAACGCGCCCCTATGGGCCGCAGATGAGAAACGCTTGGGCTAGTATAGCCCGTCGCCGTGATGATAGTGTCGGTCGCGAGCGCCACCGCGCGGAGCTTGTTTAAAACTGAAGGCAGCCCAACTCTGCTGGAAGCGCGAGGCATTCCTCGGGCATTTTTCTAGAGGAGGCGTTGGCATGGCGCGTCGGCCATTTCTGCCAATGTGTTTACCATGTGCGGCACTCCGTACGTCTGCTGAGGAGTTCGTCGTATCGTAGTGCATTTACATCGACGGCATGGAAGGGCCGACTCCGAAGACTAGACGAGTGCACCACGATGCTGGCTTTTAAAAGAAAAGTAATCGCGTGTGCAGAAACGGACGGAAATCGGGCCGCATCGCGGTCGTTCGGAGTTCCTGAAACGTGCGTGCGGGACTGGCGGAAACAGAAGCAGAAGATTGTCGACTGCAAGGCTTCACGTAAAGGCTTCAGTGGACCGCAGCAGGGTCGGTTCCCGAAAATTGAAGAGCTGCTCGCCGAGTATGTGCTTGAACAGCGAGCGGCACAGCGGCCCGTGACGACAGAACTGCTTCAAGTGCGGGCTATGCAGTTAGCCTTGGAAAAAGGGCTAACGCGGAGCCAGTTCAAAGCGAGCAGGTGCTGGCTAAGTAACTTTATGAAAAGGAAAGGATTTTCCCTCCGAAGGCGAACGGGCATATGACAAAAGTTGCCGGAAGAGTACGAAGAAAAGCTTCTCAGTTTTCAGAGGTTCATCCTCAACTTGCGGCACAACAATGGCTACCTGCTTGGGCAAATCGGGAATGCCGATCAGACGCCTCTGCACTTCGACATGCCTGGCACCACAACCGTCGAGAAGAAGGGGGCGAAACAAGTTCGCGTGCTGACATCGGGCCACAAAAAAACTAGGGTGACGGCAATGCTCTGTTGCATGTCAGATGGTTACAAGCTTCCCCCGTACCTGATATTTAAGCGGAAAACTCTCCCGAAAGGAGTCGTTTTCCCGAGTGGTGTGATCGTGCGAGCCAACGAGAAAGGTTGGATGACGACGGACCTGGTCGCCGATTGGATCCATCACATCTGGCGGAAGCGGCCTGGCGCCAGTTTGGGCCTGCGAGCGATGCTCGTGCTCGACGCGTTCAGGTGCCATCTCGACGAGCGGATCAAGAACAAGCTCGCTGCGTGCAATACGGACCTTGTAGTCATACCTGGCGGCATGACGTCCCAACTTCAACCGCTGAATGTCTGCCTGAACAAGCCGTTGAAGGACAAGATGCGGGCGCTTTACACCGACTGGCTGATCAATGAACGACATGATTTCACGCCAGGCAACAGGATGAAGCGCGCCTCTCTGCAAGACTTCGCTGCGTGGGTGAAGGACGCGTGGTGTGCAATACCATCAGCCATGGTGATCAAGGCATTCAAGAAATGTGGCATCTCGAATGCCATGGACGGTACCGAGGATGAGATGCTTTGGGCTGTTGACAGTGATAAGGAGTTGTCTGACAGCGACGAAGACTGACCTATTACGCAACTCGTAACACCACCGTAGTGGTCTCAATTTTAGCTACAGGGCTGGCTGTTTGTGTTTTATCTTTTGAAACTTCAGTGCATTAAAACCCAAATACTTGTTCTCAACGTGCAAAAGTTGACTCCTACGGACTTTTTTTCTCTCTCCCGTCGCAGAAAATGGGTGCGCGTTACAATTGATGTCCTACTTTTTTTTTTTTTCGTCGCGGAATTCGGGTGCGCGTTACAATCGAGGGCGCGGTAGAATAGAGTAAATACGGTATTTAAGGGGGGACATGGGTCTTAGGGCTCTCATTAATTTTATGAACCAAATGTGACAAAAGTGGGCATGCTTACTTAGTTTGTTCTCCAGATTCTAAAAATGTTGCGATATTTTCTGTAGCTTCATTAAATAATCAAGATAACAATTTCTATTGTTCTTACCACAATGGAAAAAATAACCACCCGTCAAAAAATTATAAATGACAGAGATTGACAGTAGAAAGCATAAGACATACAACATACGAAGCACTTTTTTGATTGGGGCATTATTTCTTACTTTACAGTACACTAAACTTCACAGCTCTGAATGTGGCCATTGTGTGGTCACACAAAAGACTAGTTTAAAAAACTTGCATCAAGATAAATCAAAATCTGCTTCCGATGTTGTGTGCTCCAAACATATAGCTTTATGCTGCAAAAAAAAAAATGTATTCTGCTATATGTAATAGTTTCCGATATATTGCAGTAATTTTCATGCAGGGTGTGCAAAATTGTCATTTTGAGAAAATGAAGAAAACATAGAATTCCAACATTTTTAACTGTAAAAATGTATGTACTTAGAATTACATGGCCATTGACAGATAAATGAATGCTAGAAAGCCTAAGGAGTGCAACGCTGCAAGCTGATCGAAAATTGAACGAGTGTTTCTCGAATTACAGCACAGTTCATTGCATGTAAACAAATGCAAAAAATTTTATATTAAAATAAAAAATGAAGCTGCCCATTAAAAATAGGCTTCCACATTGTTCTTTGGGTACATTTAGCTACATTGCGCAAAAACAATTACAGCTCTAGCTGTCCTAGGTCCACTTTTACCGAACAAGCAAAAGAAAGTGGTCAAAATCTGTGCTTCAAGAATAATGCTATTAAAACTTTATGTCGCCGTTCCGAGGGAAAAAATATCATGGCACACATACTTTTAGTCAGTTAATATGCACCGGGAATGTAATAGGACTGATTGTTTGCACGAGCGTGTAGTTTCTTCTAGTCCTGTAGCAAGTTGCCCCCGTGTGCTCGTCTGCCGCGAGGCCGCTTATCAGTTCGGTAACTGTAGTGATGGCGACGTGCGACAAATGTGCGTGCGTCATCTGCGATACGTCGAATAACACGGCGGTGTTTTCCGGCTTGTACAGAATGAGTTACCCGTAAATGTCGCGAACCAAAGTTGCTCCCTCGCTCATCAATTTCGAGGCTACGCGAGTGCCGAGGTGCTAGTTTCCTTTTCACGTAAGACTGCCACATTTTCGAGCGGAGATCGCGACAACGTTGCGAACACGTCGTTAAAAGCAGTCTACCAGTTGCCAGTAGCCTCTATTGCGGGGGCAGCGAGCATGTTCACTGCGAACGGATTGACTTCCTGTTGTTCGTCGACGCGCGGCGTACTCCACTCTGACAACCCGTCGCGCAGTTCAAGGTTCTTTCGTCAAGCGGGGGGAACCGCGGCATCGGCGCGTTTATCGATAAGACTGCGCTTCTGTTCCGTCACTACAAAGATTGATATCTCTTCTAGCTTCACTTCTGCTTTTTACTTGCCGTTTTCTAACTGATGAGGCTGCAAAACACAGCCGTTCTCAGTAACGTCGGCAACCAACGGGCTCGTACGTGAGTTAGGCCTACATCGGTGACTGTCGTTGACCACGTCGAGTTCGTTATCCTCGTTGTCCTGAGCCATAGTGGGGATCTTTCTGAAGTTCACAGCGAACAAACGAACGACCGCCAGATCCGCTTCAGAAATTACTATAGCGCGGAACTTCTTTACTGCTGCAGGCAGCCAGTAGCACCATGACAAAATGGCACATGTCCGTGTGCGTCACGATGGTGAAGCAGACGCCGAAAGCGCCCCTTGGCCAATCGGATGCCTAGGTTTTGTCACGTGCCCCAAGCAGCCTATTGAATCTAGCGCTAGTGCTTCTCGATGACGCGTTTTTGCTAAAGAACCAATGAGCAAGGCGAGCCAGCAGTGGCAGAAAATTGAAGATGAAGAACGACCCTTCCAAACGAGACCAAGATGAACACGATAGCTCGTGTGTAACGGCAACAGTTCTGCGCAGAAAAAGCGCAATTTTAGCGTCAGTTTGCACTCACATTCATCTCATAGGGATGTTATAAATTGATTTTGTGCCAGAAATAATGACGCGAGAAGCTAGAAATTTCTCAGATAGGTGCAAAAATAGGTACAGTTTCCGAAAATGTCAGCTTTAAGAAGTCGATTTTTTTTTTGCGATTTTTGGCCTTCTATGACCCGTGTCCTCCCTTAAATATAAAGTGGAGATCCTGAATCCTTGTCATTAGTCGCGCGCTCTCACGCCGTGGATAAAGTGCTTTTTCATCATTTTACACGGCCTTTTGTAGAAAAACTCAGGGCGCAACCAAATGACCACCAAATGCCTTAATTATTCATCACTATCAGAGACATGATAAAGAATTCCATTTAATTCTAGCAAGCTCCTTGCTTTTATCACCCAGCACAACTCACTGGGACCAACCCCGGCTGTTTTTTTCCAATCCCATGAAATGTATTACATCCCCCTTACTGGCCAATGATTGTCTCCGAAGATGACACCTCCAACTAAACAGCATCAAAAAAAAAGAACAAAAAGCTCACATTAGAAGAAGCTTAAATTACTTGTTATGTCCACACTTGCAAAGTGAAAAGCTGGACTGCATCCTCAAACACAAGCTTGAGTAACCATCCATCTAAGCAAGGCTTACACCCACCTGAGGAGGCAGCTCCCTAAAAGGCACGTCGGCTGTGGCCAGCCAGAGCACGGGCGTCAGAGGCTCCAAGTCTCCTAGGAGGGTCAGGAACGTAGCCCGGACTGCTTCGCCCAGCGTCTCCCACCACTGGCACAAGTGTGGAAGGTACAGCACACCGGGCAGCACACGCTGTGCTTCCTGGAGCACCTGTATAAAAAAAAAATTTCTTTTTTAAAATTCAAGCTAGCTCCATGCCCCAAGAACCAGTGGAAGACAGTAAAGCTGTTGGTCTACTGTAAGGCATTCCATCTTCTTTCTAAGTTAAGGCAATGTTCACTCAAACATGACAAACAGCACCGACGATAGAACCACCAAACAAAAAGAAAAGAGGCACTAAACATCTGTCAAATACGTGCGGCACTTCTCTCTGTCAATAGTGTTTACCCCAATGAAAGCAACTAGCCCAGCGTTGCAAGTGATCATCGCACATGAGACACACGATTCAAGAATGACAGAGCAGATATGCCTCATTTTCCCCGATGTTACAACGCACGACACTGACTCAACAGAACATAGGTGGCACATAGTTTATTCCCGGTCAGCCAGAGCTTCAGCGAACTCGAGCTCCCGTGCAGCGCGAGCGTCACAAAGAACAGCGAGCCGCGCTTCTTGCTGGTGGTGATGATGTTAGCCTCCGATGCCACAGCTTCTCCCCTTCTTACAAGTTTAAACGATCCGGTGCGTGGCACTTTCGTGTTGAGCGCCGGCAAAGGTTGAGTCGCCAGAATTGGCGAATCTTCTGCACTTTCACCCGAAAGTTCTTGACAGCCGATAGCATGTCGGTGTCGCACGATTCGTCAACTGAAACATCCCTCCGTCGCACTTGGTCAGAATGGCGCCGTTCCGTTCCCTCAGTCGTGTCCACTGTGACCATGCGCTTCGAAGCAGGCTTCGAGACGAACTCAGAACGTTGACCACGTTCCCTCAAACACTGGTGTCCATACCACGCTCATGGCTCTGCGGGTCCAAGACTGGTTGAGGTCCTCGTTGCCACTGTTACAACGCACGAAACTTACTCAACGGAACAAGGTGGCAGGTCGTTTATTCTCACTCAGCCAGAGCTTCAGCGAGCTCGAGCTCCCGTGCAGCGCGAGCGTCACAAAGAACAGCGAGCCGCGCTTTTTGCTGGTGGTGATGATGTTAGCCTCCGATGCCACAGCTTCTCCCCTTCTTACAAGTTTAAACGATCCGGTGCGTGGCACTTTCGTGTTGAGCGCCGCAAAGGTTGAGTCGCCAGAATTGGCGAATCTTCTGCAATTTCACCCGAAAGTTCTTGACAGCCGATAGCATGTCGGTGTTGCACGATTCGTCAACTGAAACATCCCTCCGTCGCACTTGGTCAGAATGCCGCCGTCCGTTCCCTCAGTCGTGTCCACTGTGACCATGCGCTTCGAAGCAGGCTTCGAGACGAACTCAGAACGTTGACCACGTTCCCTTAAATATAAAGTGGAGATCCTGAATCCTTGTCATCAGTCGCGCGCTCTCATGCCGTGGATAAAGTGCTTTTTCATCATTTTACACGGCCTTTTGTAGAAAAACGTCAGGGCGCAACGAAATGACCACCAAATGACCACCTTAATTATTCATCACTATCAGAGACATGATAAAGAATTCCATTTAATTCTAGCAAGCTCCTTGCTTTTATCACCCAGCACAACTCACTGGGACCAACCCCGGCTGTTTTTTCCAATCCCATGAAATGTATTACATCCCCCTTACTGGCCAATGATTGTCTCCGAAGATGACACCTCCAACTAAACAGCATCAAAAAAAAAGAACAAAAAGCTCACATTAGAAGAAGCTTAAATTACTTGTTATGTCCACACTTGCAAAGTCAAAAGCTGGACTGCATCCTCAAACACAAGCTTGAGTAACCACCCATCTAAGCAAGGCTTACACCCACCTGAGGAGGCAGCTCCCTAAAAGGCACGTCGGCTGTGGCCAGCCAGAGCACGGGCGTCAGAGGCTCCAAGTCTCCTAGGAGGGTCAGGAACGTAGCCCGGACTGCTTCGCCCAGCGTGTCCCACCACTGGCACAAGTGTGGAAGGTACAGCACACCGGGCAGCACACGCTGTGCTTCCTGGAGCACCTGTATAAAAAAAAAATTCTTTTTTAAAATTCAAGCTAGCTCCATGCCCCAAGAACCAGTGGAAGACAGTAAAGCTGTTGGTCTACTGTAAGGCATTCCATCTTTCTAAGCTAAGGCAATGTTCACTCAAACATGACAAACAGCACCGACGATAGAACCACCAAACAAAAAGAAAAGAGGCACTAAACATCTGTCAAATACGTGCGGCACTTCTCTCTGTCAATAGTGTTTACCCCAATGAAAGCAACTAGCCCAGCGTTGCAAGTGATCATCGCACATGAGACACACGATTCAAGAATGACAGAGCAGATATGCCTCATTTTCCCGATGTTACAACGCACGACACTGACTCAACAGAACATAGGTGGCACATAGTTTATTCCCGGTCAGCCAGAGCTTCAGCGAGCTCGAGCTCCCGTGCAGCGCGAGCGTCACAAAGAACAGCGAGCCGCGCTTTTTGCTGGTGGTGATGATGTTAGCCTCCGATGCCACAGCTTCTCCCCTTCTTACAAGTTTAAACGATCCGGTGCGTGGCACTTTCGTGTTGAGCGCCGCAAAGGTTGAGTCGCCAGAATTGGCGAATCTTCTGCACTTTCACCCGAAAGTTCTTGACAGCCGATAGCATGTCGGTGTTGCACGATTCGTCAACTGAAACATCCCTCCGTCGCACTTGGTCAGAATGCCGCCGTTCCGTTCCCTCAGTCGTGTCCACTGTGACCATGCGCTTCGAAGCAGGCTTCGAGACGAACTCAGAACGTTGACCACGTTCCCTCAAACACTGGTGTCCATACCACGCTCATGGCTCTGCGGGTCCAAGACTGGTTGAGGTCCTCGTTGCCACTGTTACAACGCACGAAACTTACTCAACGGAACAAGGTGGCAGGTCGTTTATTCTCACTCAGCCAGAGCTTCAGCGAACCCGAGCGTCACGAAGAACAGCGAGCCGCGCTTCTTGCTGGTGATGTTAGCCTCCGATGCCACACCCGATGACCCTTTGTTCAGTTCTACCAGTTGATAATAGAAGAGGTACATGCAGCATCAGTGAAAACAGCTCAACATAACTACAAAAGATAAAAGGTATGCGTAAGGGGAGACGAGACTTTCGTATAGCGAAAAATGCACAAAAAATCAATTTTTCGAAAATGACATTTCCAGTTTCTACAGCTTTTTTTTTTAATCTGATTCTGAAATATGCCCACTGAAAACCGCACGGAAGTGCTTTTAAAAACACCTGTGGGTCAGATCAGAGATGCCCATCAGCGAAGAACGTAGCGCCAGTCGCCCAAGATCACATTTTAGCGAATAGCCTCCAATGACCACACCAAAAACCTGTCGAAATGACAACCAACTCTCTCGAGTCATACCTGGGCACAAGCTTCCTCCGGTGCACGAGCCGTGACAGAGTGGAGCGAGGGCAGATCTAGCCGGTGCAGCGGCAGGTGCTCCAACAAATGGAGGACGGCGGGGGCCACATGAGTCGTCTGGCCTAGGCCCGGCTGCCCGCAGATGAGGAGGCGTGGTCGATGGCTGGCACTGCGGGTGGCAGCGAATCGAGACCTAGACATGGCCAAAATATTAACAGTAGAATTAGGAGTGCGAAAGTATTGACTGCAAAAAAACGCTGGTTCCCACATGGACATAATAGATGTGGCAGAGGTGGAGGCTCAGTTAATGTCATTTTGGACCTCAAAATTGGGCAGGTATTCCGAAAAATCAGACTCTGGGGATTTTAGCACTTAAAATATTGTCACGGGGTCGTGACGTGGCCGAAGACAGGAGATTTCGTGTTAGGATTTAACTGTTTATTTGGGCGAACCTGTGCCCGGTAAACTGAAAGTCCAATTACAGCAGCAGTCTCGCACAGATAGCAGTCTCGGACTGATAGCGGCGAACGGAGCGTCGGCCTTCGATCAACAACTGACAAGCGGCGAAGCGCGTCGGCATTTATACTCTTGCCGTCGAATGTTCTAGCGTTATCGCTGGCGGTGGCGTAGCTTCCAGAACAATCTGTACCGTTCGCACAGTGGGCGTGATCTTATCGAAATGATCTACTACAGTCCGGAACCTTCTAGAAAACTGCAGGCGCGGTTTGCGCTGAGAATCGTGCGGTGTTTTCGGACGATAACAAAAACTTGGGAAATGGAACGTGGCATTGCCCCCCTCTGAAAAAAGGCATCGTCCCGATGCTTTAACTAAAGATGAAAGTACAATAATAATGCAAGAAAGTACAATGAATAAATTACGATACAACAATAATACGAAAAAAAACACTAGTTAAGTTTGTTAACGCGCATGAAACGGCTTGAGGCGCGTGACATGGACGACTTCAGGTCGCGATCGGCGTCGTTGAGAGTTCGTGATGCCGTCGGGGACAACCTCGTAATCAAGTGGGCCGAGCCGTCGAACCACCCTGTACGGTCCGAAGTACCGTCGCAGAAGCTTTTCACTTAGTCCACGTCGGCGTATCGGCGTCCACACCCAAACACGTTCACCGGGCTGGTATTCCACGAAGCGTCGTCGAAGGTTGTAACGGTGGCTGTCGGTCGTCTGTTGATTCTTGATACGGAGACGCGCAAGTTGTCGGGCTTCTTCGGCGCGTTGAAGGTACTCGCTCACATCGAGGTTTTCTTCGTCGGTGACGTTGGGTAACATGGCATCGAGCGTCGTTGCCGGGCTCCTTCCGTAGACCAATTTGTATGGCGATATCTGCGTCGTCTCCTGCACTGCCGTGTTGTATGCGAAGGTCACATACGGAAGAATGGCGTCCCACGTCTTGTGTTCGACATCGACGTACATTGACAGCATGTCGGCGATCGTCTTGTTAAGCCGCTCGGTGAGGCCGTTGGTCTGTGGGTGGTACGCCGTCGTCCGGCGGTGGTTTGTTCGGCTGTATGCCAAGATTGCTTGAGTTAAGTTGGCAGTGAATGCCGTTCCTCTGTCGGTGATAAGGACCTCTGGGGCGCCGTGACGTAGGACGATATTTTCGACGAAGAATTTAGCTACTTCGGATGCACTGCCTTTTGGCAGGGCTTTTGTCTCGACGTAGCGGGTGAGGTAGTCGGTAGCTACCACGATCCACTTGTTTCCGAAAGCCGACGTCGGGAACGGCCCCAGTAGGTCCATACCAATCTGCTGGAAAGGTCGGCAAGGTGGATCAATTGGCTGCAGAAGTCCCGCTGGCCTTGTCGGCGGTGTCTTGCGTCGCTGACAGTCCCGGCATGTTCTCACATAACGAGTGACGTCGGTGGTAAGACGTGGCCAGTAGTACCTTTCTTGTATCCTCGCGAGCGTGCGAGAAACACCGAGGTGCCCTGCCGTCGGATCGTCGTGAAGGGCCTGCAGGAGTTCTGGTCGCAGAGCTGAAGGCACCACAAGAAGGTACTTAGCTTGAAGCGGTGAAAAGTTTTTCTTTTGTAGAAGACCGTTTCGTAGAAAGAACGACGCAAGTGCGCGCTTGAATATCTTCGGGACTTCGGCGGTCCTGCCTTCGAGGTATTCTATTAGGGCCTTAAGTTCCGGGTCGGCCCTCTGGCGTTCAGCGAAGTCGTCGGTAGTTATCGTTCCTAAGAAGTAGTCGTCATCCGGGTCGTCGGGTAGCGGTTGGTCGACAGGCGCACGAGAGAGACAGTCGGCGTCGGAGTGTTTTTTGCCGGACTTGTAAATGACAGTAATGTCATATTCTTGAAGTCTCAGGCTCCATCGTGCGAGGCGACCTGAGGGGTCCTTCAAGGTGGCTAGCCAGCACAATGCGTGGTGGTCGCTCACAACTTTGAAGGGCCTGCCGTAGAGGTAGGGGCGAAATTTCGACGTTGCCCAGATGATGGCGAGGCACTCCTTTTCTGTTGTGGAATAATTTGCTTCTGCTTTGGATAGCGATCGGCTGGCGTAACTAATAACCCTTTCAAGTCCGTCAGCCCTCTGCACAAGAACGGCGCCAAGACCTACGCTGCTTGCGTCAGTATGTATTTCTGTCTCGGCGAATTCGTCGAAATGGGCAAGTAACGGAGGCGTCTGCAGGCGATGTTTAAGCTCCTGGAAAGCGTGTTCCTGCGGCGTTCCCCACTTAAACTCCACGTCGGCCTTGGTAAGGTTAGTGAGAGGATCGGCGATGCGGGCGAAGTTTTTCACGAACCGCCTATAATAGGCACACAGGCCCAGAAATGGGCGCACGGCTTTCTTGTCAGTGGGCGGCGGGAAGTCGGCGATGGCGGCTGTTTTCCGTGGATCGGGACGAACTCCAGACTTGCTGATAACGTGCCCCAGAAACAAGAGCTCCTCATACGCAAATCTGCACTTTTGTGGCTTCAGTGTGAGTCCGGAAGTCTTGATGGCTTGAAGTACAGCTTCAAGGCGCCGAAGATGCTCGTCGAAACTCGAGGAAAACACGACGACGTCGTCCAAGTACACAAGGCAAGTCTGCCACTTCAATCCTGCCAGTACTGTATCCATAACGCGTTGAAACGTTGCAGGCGCTGAGCAAAGGCCGAAGGGCATCACCTTAAACTCGAAGAGGCCGTCCGGTGTTATGAACGCCGTCTTCTCTCGGTCTCTTTCGTCGACTTCAATTTGCCAATAGCCAGTCTTAAGGTCCATTGACGAAAAGTACTTGGCGTTATGGAGCCGATCAAGTGCGTCGTCTATTCGTGGGAGGGGATACACGTCCTTTTTCGTGATTTTGTTCAGGCGGCGATAATCGACGCAGAAACGTAGGGTCCCATCCTTTTTCTTCACTAACACCACGGGGGATGCCCATGGACTTTTGGACGGCTGGATAATGTCATCCCGCAGCATTTCATCAACTTGTCTCTTCATGACCTCACGTTCTCGCGTCGAAACCCTGTACGGACTCTGACGGAGTGGTCTGGCATTTTCTTCGGTTATGATGCGATGTTTCGTGATTGGGGTCTGCCGAATTTTCGATGACGACGAAAAGCAATCTTCGTATTGCAGGAGCAGGGCCTTGAGCTGTTCTTGCTTATCGTTCGGAAGTCTGGGATTGACGTCGAAAGATATGGGAGGGGCTTGGTGCCTCTGAGCAGGTTCCGCAGAATCGGCGAGGGCGAAAGCACTGGTGGCTTCGACAATTTCTTCGATGTATGCGACCGTTGTTCCTTTGTTCACATGTTTGTACTCATTGCTGAAATTCGTGAGCAAAACCGTTGCTTTGCCTCCCCGCAGCTCTGCGATTCCTCTTGCGACGCAAATATTTCGGGTGACCAACAGATGCTGACTGCCTTCAACGACGCCTTCCAAGTCAGGTGATTTAGGAGCGCCGACTGAAATAATGACGCTTGAGCGAGGTGCAATAGTGACTTGTTCTTCCAGCATATTCAAGGCATGGTGTCCTGACGGCGTGCGCGGCGGTAGTGCTTCTTCTGTGGATAACGTTATCGACTTAGTTTTTAGGTTGATGACAGCACCATGGAGGCATAAGAAGTCCATGCCAAGGATGACATCTCTCGAGCAACGCTGTAGGACTACGAAGTCTGTAGGATAAATACGGCCGTTAATGGTGACTCTCGCTGTGCAGATTCCTGCAGGCGTTACGAGATGACCTCCGGCTGTGCGGATTTCAGGGCCTTTCCAAGCTGTCCTAACTTTCTTTAACTTCGCAGCGAACGACCCACTGATGACAGAATAGTCGGCTCCAGTATCGACGAGAGCGGTCACACTGTGGCCGTCGATAAGAACGTCGAGGTCGCTAGTTCGCCGTCTCGCATTACAGTTAGGGCGTGGCGTCGGGTCACGGCTGCGTCGGCTTGTTCCGCTGCTTCCATGTTGCGTCGTCAGGCCACCTTCAGTAAGTGAGCTTTCGCCGTCAGGGCTTTGCCTGGTTGGCGTTGTGTTCGGAAAGCTCCGTCGCGGCGTCGTCGTCGTCGGAGGATCTTCGGTAGTTCGTCGCACAGCAACCGCACCTCCACCGGTTGCTGCCCTTAGTTTCCCGGATACGGGCTAGGAGACCGGCTCCGCGTTGGGCCAGAGTATTGTCGGTGGTGCGGTGACGTGCGGCGGCTGGGCGACGGCAAACGCGAAGGGCTTCGTGGTGTCCACCGAGTTCCTGTCAGGTAGTCGGCGATGTCACGTGGTCGTTCTCCTGGCTGCGGACGTGGTGCATCGACGGTGAAGCCACGCAGTCCCATCTGTCGGTACTGGCAAAGGCGGTAAGTGTGCCCGGCCTCGCCGCAGTGGTAGCACAGTGGCCGGTGGTCAGGGGTGCGCCAAACGTCGGTTTTCCTCGGCGCACTGCGCTGGCCCGCTGGTGAACGGTAGGTCGTCGGTGGGGGTGGTGGTGGCGGTGGTGTCTGGCGACGGAAGTGCGACGGGGCGGCGTTTTGGCGTGGACGGGGAGGAGCGTTGTGGCGCACTGCAGCGGCGTAGCTCATAGTTTCTGGCTCGGGCAGCGGTGTATGGGGAATTCGAAGTGATTGCCGAACTTCTTCTCGCACAATGTCGGCAATCGAATCCACTTGAGGTTGCGCCGAAGGCAACAGTTTGCGCAGCTCTTCCCGCACGATCGCTCGGATCGTTTCACGCAGGTTTTCGGAGTCACTGGTTTGAGCAGCAGCGCATTCTGGAGTCAGGCGACGATTATACTGTCTGGTGCGTATGTCAAGGGTTTTTTCGATGGTGGTCGCCTCGGATACAAATTCTTGGACGGTGTTTGGTGGATTCCTCATTAGTCCCGCGAAGAGCTCCTGTTTGACCCCTCGCATGAGGAAACGAACTTTCTTCTCCTCAGGCATGTCTGGGTCAGCGTGACGAAATAGGCGGGTCATCTCCTCTGTGAAAATTCCAACCTTCTCATTCGGTAGCTGAACCCGGGTCTCTAGTTGAGCAGCGGCCCTTTCTTTGCGAGCGACGCTCGCAAACGTTTGCAGAAATGCGCCGCAGAAGACATCCCACGTTCGGAGCGTGGACTCACGATTCTCTAGCCAGGTCCTTGCGGTGTCTTCCAGGTAGAAGTACACACGCCGGAGCTTTTCTTCGTTGTCCCAGTGGTTGAGGGCGGCCACACGGTCGTATGTTTCTAACCAGGACTCCGGGTCTTCGAACGATGACCCATGGAAAATCGGTGGTTCCCTGGGTTGATGCATGACCATCGTGGGCAGAGATGCGGCGGTTGTCATTGTCGCTGCAGTCGCGGTCATGGCCTTGGTCTTCCGCGCCTTGTCTTCTAGAATCCCGTACTCCGGTGGTAGCCCTTGCTGTCGGCGGCTTGTTCGCTGCTCCTGGTTGGCGTCGGCGTCTTCTCCGCGACGTGGGCTGGGTTCACGGCTTGACGGGGGCGTGCGGTACATGAACGAAGCAGCACCTCCACCAGATGTCACGGGGTCGTGACGTGGCCGAAGACAGGAGACTTCGTGTTAGGATTTAACTGTTTATTTGGGCGAACCTGTGCCCGGTAAACTGAAAGTCCAATTACAGCAGCAGTCTCGCACAGATAGCAGTCTCGGACTGATAGCGGCGAACGGAGCGTCGGCCTTCGATCAACAACTGACAAGCGGCGAAGCGCGTCGGCATTTATACTCTTGCCGTCGAATGTTCTAGCGTTATCGCTGGCGGTGGCGTAGCTTCCAGAACAATCTGTACCGTTCGCACAGTGGGCGTGATCTTATCGAAATGATCTACTACAGTCCGGAACCTTCTAGAAAACTGCAGGCGCGGTTTGCGCTGAGAATCGTGCGGTGTTTTCGGACGATAACAAAAACTTGGGAAATGGAACGTGGCAATATCAGATGCTCTTGAATATTGACGTCTACAAGCCAGATTTGGAACTCCAAACTCGAAGGGAGCATACCCTTGTCCACCAAATCGGTTGGGCTTCGTCAGAAGTTGAAAGAGACGCAGAGGCTGTGGAAACGGCCCTTTTGCCTTTCTCGTGTAAAATATTGTCGACAACCCTTTGAGCGCACCCAATCATGTACATTAATACTATTCGGCCTCTGCATTACCTTATTTTGATAAATCAACTACGAAACACCACTCCGCCAGTGCTTCATCAACCTAGCTAAAAGAAACACTTTCACATTACCTTTTCATGAAAATATGCTTAGAAATCTTTTCCAAACGAAGAACTGCACTTCTGCAATTTCACTTTGAATAATTAAAAAAATATTCAAGAAATATTAGGAAAATATTCTATTAGATTTGCACTCACACTTCAATAGTCAAGTTCGCGTCGCACCCAGAATTTCGCTATTCACACAGCTCTAATAATTTTACGAATTTGTTGTGCGGGCTATGCCCAAGAAAACAGGGCAATAGGAAAATAGTGCTCAGGTAAGCCCTGGAATACACACCGCAATCTGCATTGTGCAAGCAGTGTGATTACAGGCAGCGGTCACATCTCACAAGGTTCTGATACTTGAATGGACATCTTGCACCGTGTGATAACATTACAGTGCTTGTTAGCCAAAGTAGCACGGTCATTTAAAAAAGAAAAAAATGTGCATCAGCATCCATCTATCCTGAGGGTAATCCCTTACCGGATGCTTGGAATGACGCTTTCGGTGTCTGCAGCAGCCTCCTTGGTGAGATCTAATGTAGAATTACAGATTCCATTCATGGCTTCATCATCAGAGAATACACTGCTGTCGTCACTCTGGTTGCCTAAGAAAAAAAAAAAAAACAGAGTGAAAGCTTCTGAAGAAAACACAGAGGATTATTTCAGGAATTCACCGTATTTTCTGGCATATAACCTGCACATAGAAATGTTATAACTTGGAGCTAAAGTCAAAGTGAGAACCAGATAATCCGGTTTGTAAAGATGACTTCAGGGTTGTGCCTCACAGCTTTGCACGAAAGCTAGCTGTGAAATAATGCGGGGATCATTTTAAGAAAATTTTCCCGGAATCGTTGTTGCAAGAGCGGGTTATACACAAGAAAATATAGTACGCCTGTGCCAGCAAGCTGATGACATCAAGTGCGTGAAACTAAGTTGCATAGTTTTGGGATAAGAGACCTTGTGGACGTTTTGAAATGCCAACAGCCAAGCATTCCTAGCAATTGTGTATAGTATACGTGAAAAGTGTCTTTGTCAGTACAGAACTCCTGATATACACTCACTTCTTAACGTTTATTTTCCAGCATGTATTGTCTATGGAGAAGGACTGTTAACCACAGTAGCAAGCTGCAAGTTGTAGGTAGCCCAATTTACTTCAGTGTACTTGGCTGGCATGCAATTTCACTATAGCAACCTAAATAAGAGTTGAACGAAGCGCAACTTTTCTTTCCCCACCAAGTGCAGTTCTTGGCTAGCGAAAAATTTATTTAGAATAAGTCAAACAGGAGTCCAACTGTGCAAACAAGTCCTCATGTTTTCTTTCCTGTCTCTCATTACATGAAAAAAAAAAAAAAATAGTTGGGCTATTTGGGCCATTGCATTTTTTATTATTTCTGGCCTTCAAAACCAGAGCCTGCTTAGTACAGGGAAACATTAAGAATTGAGTACACCACCGACACTTTCTGCTGCAGCCGTAATACGTGAAAAGTTGAACTGTGATCACAGCAAGCGTGAGTCCACTGTGAAAGCAATTTCCACGTTTCTGTTTCTCTCACAGCGTAAAAAAAAAGAAAGCTTTAGGAGGACAATCGAGGTTATTGGGTTAGTCATTTCTGGCCCAAATAAAAAGAACCACATTACAATAGAAGGCCCAGAAGATTAGATCTAGGCAACAGAAATTTTTGGTGCACTTGCAGTAAGTGAAAAGCAAAAAAAGCTGAAGTCACAATTAACAAGAGTCGACTGCAGAAACAAATCATCTTTCAATCTCTCGCAGCATAATAAACAAGCATACCATAAAAATATCACAGCTTGCGCTATGTTGCGCAAGGCGGATCACAGCAGTGCTGCTGGGCACCTGGTTGGTGCAGACTTGACTACATTTATCCATTTACCTCTCTTTCCAACCTCCTGCTATGCTACAGTATACTATACTATGCCATACTATGTAATGCTATTAGCATGCCTGGATAGCTATGGAATTACGATGCTCTCCTTCGGATTGTGGGAATGCAAGCTCGAATCTGGCCCCAGTATTTTGGCAAGAACTTCTCTCTTTTTTTTTTTCGTCCTCTCTGTACTCGCTCTTTCGCCCATCAAATTTGCATCCCACACCGGACGTAGTCTGAGAGTGAAGCAAAGCAGAAAGAAGAGGATGAAGAGTGCATGACAGTTCGCGATGACGGTGATTTTCCTACGTAAGGCCCCCGGCAAACTTCGACCATAGCAGCTCTGCAGTAAAGATTAGTGTCATCGCACTTCTGGCCGTGGAAAATGAATCCGCCTTACAGTTGAAAGAGATTCACTGTTCTAAAGGCTGAGGACCACATGCACAGAGGATAGCCTTTCATTGGAAAATGCGAGCCCAGGGAGCACTAACCGGCACTCTACCGGGTTTGGGGCCCGTGCAACTAACCGTCCTGGCCGGTGAGCCGCTGCGCAATTGATGACTTATGCAGGCCGGCACCAAAGGCACTCTGCAGGTAGACGAGGGCCTTCTCCACCATCTGGCACAGCAGGGGCCGCACCGTCGTGCTCAGCGGACGAGCTGGTGATGCACCGCACCGTTGGGAGGCTGGCACGATCTTGCGCATTGCCCGGTCGTAGTCCTCGGGAAGGATCTGCGAAAGCACAGGGACGCAATTGTTAAACGTGCTGTAGCAATGGCAACACTGTGGGCTGCGCAACAAGCATGACAACTGTTGATGCAGGTTAGTGCAAACAACACTTGACAGCAAGACACGTACATGATCACACCTACGCATGATTCCACTCACATGTGACCAAACCTATGATCACCTCATCCATGATTACACTGCATTATCGCACGTTACCACACCTATACGGGATCACACCACGCAAGACCACACCTAGGCAAGATGAGGCAACATCGGATCGCACTTATACTGAATCCCACTACATGCGATCACACCAAGAGACAAGGAAAGACAGTGCACAAAACGACAGCAAAACGGCACCGCACAACAAAAGCGGTTTTCCTGCTCCACCTAAAATCACGCGATGTTTGCGCTTGCTGAAGCACTGAAGTAGCCGTTTGGGGATTGCTTATTGCGTGAAGCAGTACGGTGACACCTAGCTGATTTGTTACAGGTTGTCACGTTTCCATGCATTCACACTCTGAAATGCCATTTTATTTCACCCATACAGGACAATTCATAGCAAATGTTACGCTTTCCTGGACTACGTGTTTCATTTTTCTCCAACGGTACACTATGAAACGGAAACATTGCTGAACAGTATTCCCCAGATTTCAAGTTCATTGCTAACGATCTGTACCTGGACCGAGTCAATGTTGAGCTGCAGCTTCTCTTTCGTAGAGTAGATCTGGGGGAAGGTGCGCCTCAGAGCCACCAGGGCAGCCTCTGCGCAGAGAGCCTTGAGGTCGGCCCCACAGTAGCCCGTGCAGCGAGAGGCTAGCTCAGAAAGCAATGCCTGGCTCGGCGCCGGATGCCAGTCTCGTGTGTGGATCTGGAGTATACTGAGACGTGCCTGCGAGGAAGGTAGATAAGCATACTGTGACAGCAAGAAATGCAGCAGCCAAACCGGATAAGCGTAAATGCTTTGTTGGACGAATCTAAAAGGAAGTAACACTCTCGGCGCAACGATGGAAGAGAGCATGGTCATAAGTCGGCGGTATGATCATCAGCGAAATGTGTCGGCTCTTACATGTGCATAAGCATAAATTCCAGCATTATCGCTGGCGTGTGTGCAAGTTCCAGAATGTACTCGACTGCACATATTGCGCACGCAAACTGAGCAGAACCTTCCAAAAAGGTTCCTGTACATTCAGGCAGAGCCTGCACCAGGTGATATTACGCGTAGGACACAAACTAGGTTGACGGGAGAAAGGAAAATATGTATGTCGGTCTCGACATGAAGGATATGGGCCTAAAGAGAAAATTTGCTTTCTCACATGAGTAGAGAGAAAGAGACATGTTTACACATGAGTAAATTGCTGTTTTGCAACACAAAAACTCCTGGTATTTGAGAACATGTGGTAAAACAAAATACAGCTGGCCACAACAACCTGAGATTCCAGCCCTAATTTGATGACACATCGATATTGACCTAGTCCGCTGGGGCCAATAGAATTCTTTACTAAAATACAAATCGCACCGTTTTCTAAAGAAAAGAAAGGCCGAAATCAGTGTTTACACGCAGATATTCATGAGCTGAAGTTTATACAATCTCCCCTTTGAAGACTTTTATCATTATTCTCTCGTAATTTTCTATTTGTGAAGAGCGTTGAATGTTGTCCCGGCCCTCCTGTATTAAACGGCATTCTACCAGCAACATCGAATGTTGGCTAAATGGGTGAGTGTTGGCTAATGCAGTCTACCCACTGCTATAATGCAGCAAAGTTGTTTCCATTTGATCTCGAGCCAATGATGCTATAACATATACAGTTTAGCCTCCTTCACAAGAGACACTGACGCAAGAGATACATAAATAAACACAATAGACACCAGTGTGCCGGCACTAAAGTAGGGGTCGATCATGAAACGAAAATATGGCTAATGTAATCTACCCAAGAACTGCTTCCTAGGGCAAGTCTCTTTCAAAGGCATTCAATGGTATACTGCAAAGACAACCCGTTACAGGTTGTACTCGTTTTGTTCAGTTCTGTGAATCATACACACCTTGTGGCAGGGCAATGAAAAGTGAAACTCCCGGTCGAAACGACCCGGCCGCCGGAGAGCAGGGTCGATGGCGTCGATGCGGTTGGTGGCACCAATAACGACCACCTCGCCACGGGAGTCGAGGCCGTCCATGAGGGCGAGAAGTGTGGAGACGATGGAGCTGTGGATCTGGTCCTGCCGCGTTGACCGCACGGGTGCCAGGCCGTCGATTTCGTCGAAGAAGATGATGGACGGACGCATAGAGTAAGCCTAAAAAGAAAGGGCATAGAGAAAAAAAAAAAGCGAGGCATCAGAATCAAATGCTCTTTCAGCAGCACAGTACTACTGTAATTACTCGCGTGATGAACCCACTTTTTTTTTTCCACGAAAGTTGACGCGAATTTGGGGGGAGGGCTCATTACACTAGAAAAAAAAAGTCACAGGAGCTGTAACAGCGAAAATTTCGCGAGACGGCTTGAAATGGGCACAGCAAATTGATTTATAGCATATTGCACTCCTTAAACATCCTACATTGTTTCTAACCTGTCGCCACTGTTCTGGTGCTTCCTGCTTAGATGTTAATTAGGCTCTAAACAAAGGACCCAGGTTATACATTTACTGTGGAGTATCTTGGAAACTATTTGACCTATCGAAAAGTAATTACTGAAACGGGTTGTTGAACAAGCAGGAGTTGACTCGGCGAAGGAGAGTTTTATTTAGCGCAAGGACTAACTGAACGCAAGCCTGCGATCACAGCAAGTCTTCTTCCTTTTCTATCCTAGAGCTCCATGCCCACTGCCCTCGTTACAATCACCCCCGGCCGATGAGGGAGCCATCCTGGCGACCTAAGGACAGGTGTACACAGAAGGGTCATGGTATGGCTTGAGCCGAGAGATGTGTACGATTTCTTTTCCCCGACGGCGCTTGTCCGGAGATGCATCCAGCGGCTCGACAAGGTAGTTGACAGGGGATGTTTGGCGTATAACTCGATAAGGGCTATGGTACCTGGACGAAAGCTTGTGGGAGAGTCCTGGAGGAGTAGAAGGAATCCATAATCACACCAGTGAGTTCGGAGCAAAGCTCATATGCGTGGTTGACGCGTCGTGGCGATGTTTTTGGCGCGTCTGGTCATGTGACGTGAACGCACGAGCAAGCTTCCGACATTCTTCAGCGTGTGCTGCTGCTCGAGAAACGGCAGTCATCTCTGAAGGGTCCGGTCGATAAGGAAGAATGGTATCCATTGTTGATGATGGCTCACGTCCATAAAGAAGGAAGAAAGGCGAAAATCCAGTGGTGCTTTGTGTTGCAGTGTTGTAAGCATGTCACAAAAGGGAGTATGCTATCCCAATTTGACTGGTCGGATGAAGCGTACTTGGCCAGCATATCACCAAGTGTACGATTAAAACGCTCTGTCATCCCATTAGTTTGCGGGTGATAGGCTGTGGTAGTGCGGTGTATGATGCGACACTCGCTCAACAACGCTTTGATGGCATCGGAGAGAAAAACGCGGCCGCGGTCGCTTAGTAACTCCCGAGGTGCTCCATGCCTTAAAACCAGGTTTTGCAGTATAAAACACGCAACGTCTTTTGCGGTAGCAGAAGGTAACGCAGCTGCTTCAGCGTACCGCGTTAGGTGGTCGATAGCGACAATGACCCAGCGGTTGCTACTCGAAGTATAGGGAAGCGGACCGTAAAGGTCGATTCCGACACGATCGAAAGCTCGTGCTGGACATGGCAACGGCTGCAAGGAACCTGTGGCATGTTGAGTGGGCATTTTAGGTCGCTGGCACGTAAGGCAAGACCTTACGTAACGGCGAACGAAACGGTACATACCGCGCCAGTAGTACCGCAGCTGCAAGCGGGTGTATGTTTTTAACACACCAGCGTGGCCACATTGCGGATCATCGTGGAACGTGGCACAGATGTCAGAGCGCAGATGTCGGGGAATGACGAGGAACCACTTACGGCCGATCGAGCAGTAGTTTCGGCGGTAAAGCAGGTTATCCCGAATAGCGAAGTGTCCTGCTTGAGGGCGAAGCGTCCTGGAAACTGGAGCGGGCGTCCGGTTTGAGAGAAAGTCCAAAAGAGAAGAAATCCAAGCATCTTTGCGTTGCTCGGAAGGCATGTCCGAAATGCTGATGGCCAAGGCAGCACTGGTGGAGATAGGCGAGCCGACAGGCTCTGAAGCCAATGGCGAATGTGACAGGGCATCGGCGTCGGAATGCTTCCGGCCAGAACGGTAGATAACACGGATATCGAACTCCTGTAACCACAATGCCAACGAGCGAGCCGACCATTAGGATCTTTTAGTGAAGATAACCAGCAAAGCGCGTGGTGGTCTGCTACAATATCAAACGGACGTCCATATAGATAAGACCGAAATTTTCCGATTGTTCAAATAATGGCAAGGCACTCCTTTCCAGTTACACTGTAGTTCTTCTCGGCTTTACTGAGGGTGCGGCTGGCATAGGCAAGGACGTACTCGTCAAAGCCCTCCTTGCGTTGGGCCAGTATGGCCCCTAGCCCGACACCACTAGCGTCTGTATGAAGCTCCGTTGGAGCAGACGGACCGAAATGTCGGAGTATGGGAGGAGTGGTGAGGAGTCGTCGGAGTTCCTGAAATGCATCATCCCACGCCTGCGACCACGCTGACAAATCAGAACTTCCGGCAAGAAGATTGGTCAAGGGGGCGATAATGGAGGCAAAATTGCGGACGTAGCGCCGGAAGTAAGAACATAGGCCGATGAAGCTTCGAAGCTCTTTGATGGTGGTTGGCTTTGGGAACGCCGCGACTGCATTAAGTTTCGTAGGGTCCGGGAGAATGCCGTCCTTAGAAACCACATGGCCGAGAATTACAAGCTTGCGAGCGCCGAAGTGGCATTTCTTCAAGTTAAGTTGAAGTCTCGCCGTGGAAAGGCACGTAAGAACTTGCTCGAGGCGGCTGAGGTGGGTCGCTTGAAAATACCACAATGTCATCCAAATAACAGAGGCACGTTTTCCATTTCAGACCTCGCAAGACGGTATCCATCATCCTTTCGAAAGTGGCAGGCGCATTGCAGAGGCCAAAGGGCATAACGGTGAATTCATATAGTCCATCCGGTGTTACAAAGGCTGTCTTCGGGCGGTCACCCTCTGCCATGGGTACCTGCCAGTAGCCGGAGCGTAAATCTAACGAAGAAAAGAACTCTGCTCCTTGCAGGCAGTCCAAAGCATCATCCATGCGCGGCAGAGGGTATACGTCTTTGCGCGTTATCTAGTTGAGTCGGCGGTAGTCAACGCAGAACCGGATGGATCCGTCTTTTTTTTTTGACGAGAACAACCAGTGAAGCCCAGGGACTGTTGGAGGGCTCGATGATGCCACGTTTCAACATGTCGTCCACTTGTTCGTCGATGACACGGCGTTCAGCAGATGACACACGGTACGGACGCTGCCTTAGCGGGGCTTGTTGACCGGTGTCAATACGGTGAACGACCGCAGAGGTTCGGCTTAAGCCTGACTGGTCACGATCGAATGAAGAACGAAAGCGGAGAAGAAGATTTATAATCTCTTCGCGCTGAGTTGGTGCGAGCTCAGAGTCGATGGCATCCGAGAATACGTCCAGAGCATCATTAGGCGCGTTGGCAGGAGTGACAGCACAAATTGGGAGCGAAACCGAAGAATCGGGTATAGTAGCCGGAAGAATGCACTCGTAAGGTTTGAAACTTCCCAGGCATTCTCCATGTAGTAGGGATGACGGGCTGTCCAAGGGATTGCACACATAAATGGCAGCGTGAACATTGCGAAAAATGACGACGGAAAACGGAAGCATGATATTTCGACGGCACGCAGATGGGACTGATGGCATAAACAACACAGGCGATTTCGGAGGGGCGGCACACGACACCGAGACAACAACAGCTGAGAAAGGCGCAATGTCAACGTCAGAAGCAGCAAACACTCTACACGAAGCACCATCGTTGGGGTCATAGCACGGCACAGATAACGCGAGTTCAGAACGAGCACAGTCGACCAAAGCAGAATTTGACGAAAGAAAGTCCCACCCAAGGATAACGTCATGCGAAGAACGGAATAAAACTACAAATGTGACGACGTACATCGCACCTTGAATGACGACTTGTGCAGTGCACAAAGCTGAAGGCTGATATGATGGGACGTAGCTGTCTTCAAAGATAGGTCGGTAAGTTGTGTGGTCACTTTCTTCAAGTTTCGGCACAGTTTCTCGCTAATTACAGATACGGCAGCTCCAGTGTCAACAAGTCCATGCACCTTAATGCCATCAATATAGAGTTCGATTTCGTTCGGGGGACAGCAGTTAGGTCTTGAAATTTTCGCTGCCAACGCAGTTATTGCCTCCGGAACTGCGCCCGTCAGTTTTCCCCTCACGGTGGGCTGTTGCGACGTAACATCGGAGAAGGTGAACGGCTTGCGCCGGATGGTCGGCGACCGGGACGTACGTCTAGAGGTGGATCGGCAGGAACGGAATATCGCTGCTGAGTGGGCATGGTGGGCATGTAATGTGAGGCCCCTGCAATGTCGTGAGAAGGGAAGCTGCAACGACGGCAGTGACGAGCTACGTGGCCTGGGATGCCACATGAAAAACATATCGGCCGATTATCCGGAGTGCGCCATTGGCTGACGATAGGGGCACTGTTCGCTGAATAAGGTACCGTAAATGGTCGTGCAGGCGGCGGCGTCTTATAAACGTTCTGACCCGTTTCATATACAGCCGGAAACGGGACGGTCAGCGAGCAGGAAGGTGGCGTCGACGAATAAACGTGGCGAGTAGCTTCGTAGATGGCCGGAGACGCTGGCGCACGTGGCCGAGCAACTGCGGCTGCATACGTTAGTGGTGCGGTAGCAGTTGGTGGAGCCTGAGCTGGCGGAAATGCTTCGGCAACTTGCGATTGAATGACCTGGCGAAGCGAAGGCGACAAGGGTGCCATCGGCTCGGTAGTTCTTGTGATTATAGATAGCTGCCGGGCGACCTCCTCGCGTATGAATTGCTTTATGACTGGCATCAACGCAGAGTGGTCGGTGGTGTCATGGCGATAGTCGAGGGATGAGATGTCCGCGGTGTCTTGAGCAGCGCAACGTGTAGAAGCGCGCTGCCTACGCAGCTCATCATAGCTTTGGCAGAGCTGAATCACCTCGGCGACCGTCTGGGGACTCTTCGCAGCCGGCATTTGGAATGCACTGTCGTCGATTCCTTTCATGATGTTCTTGATCTTGCCTGCCTCGTCCAGAGTCGAATCGACGAGCTTGCAGAGAAATAGCACATCTTCTATGTAGCTCGTGAAAGTTTCATCTGCTATCTGTACTCTGCCCCGCAAGCGCTGTTCAGCACGAAGGCGGCGGACAGCAGGATGGCCAAAGACTTCCGCGAGGGTTTTCGCCAATTCGGACCAGGTACTGAAATCACTTTGATGATTTCTGTACCATAGTTTTGCCACGTCGGTCAGGTAAAAACTCACATTTGTGAGCTTATCGGCTGCGTTCCACTTATTGACGGCGCTCACCAGTTCATACTCGGCAATCCAGTTGTCCACATCTTGGTCCTCTGTGCCACCAAATATGGGGGGGTCGCGCTGCCGGAGAGCGCCAGCGCAGAAGACAGGCACAGGTGCGAGATCTGGAGTAGCAGCATGAGATGGCCCCTGATCAGTCATTGTAGGAGGTTGTTGGAGTGTGCGGCTGCGAAGTTCCAGGGTGAGGACCAGATGTACCCAGCACTTCCACCACTTGAAACGGGTTGTTGAACAAGCAGGAGTTGACTCGGCGAAGGAGAGCTTTATTTAGCGCAAGGACTAACTGAACGCAAGCCTGCGATCACAGCAAGTCTTCTTCCTTTTCTATCCTCGAGCTCTATGCCCACTGCCCTCGTTACATTACATATTTAGAATCTGCACATCAAGTACACGAACAGTGAAAATTTCGTTCAGGTCTATACAATGTTGCCCATCAAGTGTAGCCTCCCCCCTTAAAGAGGCATTGACAAAAAAGCTTCCCATAATTTCCTTCTAGTCTCGAACACAGCCGAAATAGTCTGTTTTGAAAATAAAAAATTTCCCAACAAAAATTATTTGAAACAGATCTGGTACTTTAAATCCATGCGTGCTCTCAATAAGGTGCTTTAAACAGCAGAAGACTGACTAACGGTGCATCATTTTATCTAAACTTGAACTCTTTGGCAACCCACATGTTCCTTGTTATCTCAACTTTACTGCACAGTAACGACTAGCCAAGTTATCCTTTCTATTTCTACACTAACATTCTTTTTAATATGTTCTCAATAAGAAAACATTTAGAATTATCCAGAACACCCCCACTCTCGAAGTCATCAAGAACAAAAAAGAAAGACAAAAACAAAGGAACATTTCTCAGTGAATTCCAGCTTTATGGCAGCAAATTGCATTTTCAGCAATCGCCTTTTAGCAAGCAGAAGTCTGACACGCTCACATCAAGGCTGTGCAAAGTCTGATGCAGCCCTCGTAATTGCCCTCATGTGAAGCCGACAGACTTTCGATTCACCACGTTGAAGAGAAGCCTGAAAGGGCACCGTTTCAACAGTGTTTCCTGCTGTCCAACGGGATGTCACATAGTCTCTGAAATAGCTAAAGTGGTTGCTTGGGCGTGTTGGTGCGACCTCGTGAAAAAGAAACAGCGCGAAAAACCAGACACCAGACGAAGAAGTCTGTGTCCTTCTTCGTCTGGTCTCTCGTTTTTCGTGCTGTTTCTTTTTCACCCTGAAAAAGTCCTAACAGCCAACTTCCAGGGAGCCTTTGCAGTATGGAAATCGTTTTGGCAGCAGTGTATCGATGCCCAAAGAGGCTATCTTGAAAGTTCTCAAAGCTATGTACAAAGTGGATCAGTACGTTCCTTTTACAGTCGAATCTCGATAATTCGATCTCGAAGGGGCCCGAAAATTTGTTCATATTTAAAGAAGTTCGAAATAATGAACAGGGGGGGCTCTTTATGCAGGGGCGCATGTGCATTGAGCTAACACGCGAGGGGGAAGTTTCACAAGACTTACATTTATTCACAAATCACAGGACACCCGTCATTAATTGAAGTAATCGGTGATGCGCGTCTGCATACGTTTGCCTTGCAGCGAGTCGATCGATTTCGCACGCAGCTTGCAAAGCATTTCAACTTTGGCTTCAGCATTTTCCTCGCAAGAGAAGTTGCGCGCGGAAATATCCAGCGCCGACTCTCTCTTTAAAGACGACGACAACCACTGCGTAGCGGAGCCGCAGCGCAATGTGGCCAGCACGTGACAAAAAAGGAGGAGCCTCGCCATGTGAAGAGAAGCTGATCGGCATTTGAGATAAACCAACACTCCCCGGCAGCTTTTTTTTTTTTTTCTTGCTCTCTTCGCGCGCGTTGTTGAAAGGAGAAGGGTTACGTGGCAGGGGCGGAAAAGGGGGAAGCATGGCACCAGCCCTTGAGAGACCCCCCTCCTCAAGGCACAGAGCCGTGCTCCCCTGCAAGGGCTACATAAGATAGCGCTTTTTCCTTTCCTTCAACCACATATTCATTCAACCCAGTGACAGCTTTTTTCCCCTCCCTGTCTTCCCGCGCGGTGTTAGAAGAAGGGTCTTTATGTGGCAGGGACAGAAAAGGGAGAAGCGTGACAGAGCCGTGTCGTCGCAGATTGGCATTTGAAAGAGAGCAAACATTCCATGGCAGCCTTTTGTTTCCTTTTCCTTTCCTTCGCGCGCAGCGTTGAGGTGCCGCAGGTGCCGCCGAGGGATTGAGCGGGGTGCTGAGAGCATTTTCGGAGCACGGTATGTTCGAATTAACCGTTGCAAGTGCTTGCGCGTTCGAATTATCGGGCGTTTTCGCCCATTGCAATAGACATAGCTTTGACGGGACCTTTTCGTGAGTTCAAATTAATCGGAAGTTCAAATTAATGAGATTCGACTGTATTAACATACCCGGTATGATTACCTTACAAGCCAACTCTGCATGCTTCAGGCCACCCACGGTAAAACAAAAAGTAGGCTTGTGTGAATATTCGAATGTTTCAAATGTTCGAACGAATATTACTGTATTCAAATTCACTTCGATTTGAATTTAAATTCTCAAAAATTTCGAAGATATTCAAATGAACATATAGATGTATATTAGTCCACATGTAACTCCTTGAAAAGCTGGTTTTGCCACAGTTAAAGGATGCCAAAGCACGAAAACACCAGTTCAAGAAAAATCCGCACTGCAGCGATGCCCCACTTCAAAGTTAAATGAACAACCTATTTTCCTCACATCGATGAATCATTTTTACGCTTAAAAGTTTATGTCAGCTTTTACGCTCTCAATATAGTAAACTTTAAAATGTAACATACTTTAAAGGCTTTTTTCTTGCATTCTACGAAAAGTCAAATCCTAGTACAATTCGGTAATTGTTTCCACTTCCTTTGAACCAAAAAGAACAGCATTTGCACTGGGCTCATTTCAATAAAAAAAAAAACATGGTGCAGCTTAGTAGGGTCATGACAAATATGTCCGTTTTTCTTTATAATATGTGATACACACTGTTCGAATTATATTCAAAATTATTCAACCAAAATCACTACTCGCTTCGAACCCGAAATCCACAACTCTCACAGGCCCAACAAAAAGCCTTTGCAGCTTCTAGAGCCCCAGCTTCACCTGGTCGAAGAGCATGCGCAGCTGCCTCTCGGACTCGCCAACCCACTTGCTGAGGCAGTCGGCGCCCTTGCGCATGAAGAACGCCACTCGTGAGTCGCCACGACCGCACTCGTTGGCCAGCGCCCGCGCCACCAGCGTCTTGCCAGTGCCTGCAAAGCGTACACATAGCCGCTAAGACAATGTTACCCATTATTATGCCATGATGTGCTGCAGTGGTGCACGCAGGTGTTGCGCGCGGCATCGTCAGAGAACCTACAATACTTTTCACAGCACTTTCCTCAGTGAAAAATATTTTTCTTTGGTCTAAAAAAAAATTGTCCACACATTTTGAGCCTACCACTCAATTATTTTATATGGCTGACGGCTGAATAATCAGATTGATTAAGTATATTATTACGTTCTAATTAGGACTAGTTGGAAAAACTTGCAAAATAATATATCTCTACACTTTCTTTATCTGGAATGTAAAATCGAGTACCTTCGAATCATGTTGTGTGGATTTAACACCGGCGTCAAGTCTGCACAACAAAAATGTCTAACTTGCAGAACATGATTACAAGGCACTCAATTTGACACTTAGAAAAGTTGCAGTGCCCACGGACGGGAACAAAAAATAACACAGGATTGCTTTTTTTTTTCTTTTGTTTTCGGTTGTATGTGCTGTAACATTAGTCCACCAAGTCATCCACATAAATTAGACGCATTTGCAGACAGTGCTGTCATTATTCGCACCTGAAAGAACAAACAACAGATAAGTGCCAAAGCGCCACCCACAGTGCCAAAGAGGGAACTTACCAGGGGGACCGTAGAAGAGGACACCCCGGGGTGGTGTGATCTTGAAGCGCTCGAAGACTTCGGGGTAGATGAGTGGGAAGAGGATCATCTCCTTGAGCTGCTGGATGTGGCTGTCCAGCCCACCCACGCGGTCAAAGACAACCTGCGGATCAGGTACCGAGAAAACTAGTTTATGCAGAGGAATTGGCTTCTGTGACTATAAAAACCAATGGTGAATAAAAATATCTCTTACAGTTTAAGAAACATTACTGATGATAGTAGGAATCGCTAATGAGTGGTCTTGAACCCAATATTTGTTGAACCAGTGCCGCTATTAAACATTGATCATGACTTGAAATCAACGTGAACAACTAGCAAAGACTTCATTGAAGTTTAGTTCCTCTTGATCTAATTTTTTTCTTTTTGAAATATTTCTTAGGGCCTACAGCCCCTTATAAACAGACTTACTGGCAATCTTGCTACACTTTCACTGCCAGAAGAGGGCACCATTGGTACAACATCAATTTCTTAATCTTGCACACATTTTGAGCAATACCGCATTACGTCATTTTTCAGGACCCCATCCAAACTTTTGACAATATCTAGGGTTTGCTGTGCCAAAACTACAATACAATTATAAGGCACACCGTAGTGCAGGCCTCTAGAAATTTTAATCTGGTTGCTCTTTAACACGAGGGTTCAGGCTAGTTCGGTACTACACACTCAATAACACCTGTGTGCGAAAACTTTCACACAAGAGATGGCAACAACCCCAGACGCAGAAAGCTACACAGAGCAAAGGCTCGAGAAGCAGGAAGTGGCACTAACGTCCTTGTCGACGTGCATGGGGTCGACGTCAGCCAGACTGGAGCCGATCTTGGCCCGGTCGCGGAGCACGCCCTCGAAGAGGTCCTTCTCCTGGAAGTTGAGCGGCAGACACCGGTTTCCGAGCGCGGACCATGCTGCGCGCCTTGCGCCGTTCGAAGCGCCGCTCGTCGTCGCTCGAACTGCTCGTGGAGGAGCTGTTGTGTGTGGCATGCCGTTTTCTGCAATGGTAACGAGAGAGGCAAATCGCGTCAAGCAGCCCGTGCACAAGTGACATAGCAAATTAGTTTTTTTACTGATAAATTCTACTCCGGAAATTCCTGTCTTGTTAATTTCACAACCACAGGTTTATTAAAAAGATGAGAAACTGAATGTCAAAGTTTCACCTTTAAGTTTCCCGCAAAAATCTCCTAAGGGAACGTCACTGATTCCAATAAGTTCCTTCGTATTTCGGCCACGTTGGCCCACCAAAAACTTCTGAAACTTGGAAAGTTATACCGTATTTACTCGCATAATCCTCGCACTTTTTTTGCCGGAAAACTGATGCGAAGTTGGGGGGTGCGAGAATTACGCGGGGAAAACTTTCCACGAAAACGTAGTGAGCGAAAACGAAAACGAAGTGGCCGCAAATCGAGATTCTCACACCAGCAACTGACAGCAAGCTTTCAGATGTACTAATTAGAACTTACCTCAACAATAAAAGCAGAAGTTCAACACAAGGTAAGATTTACTTCAGACACAAAAAGTGGAAGCAAATAGTCGAGAATCAGAATACCATACGCAAAGCTTGTGGGCGTAGCGGTAGCGTTGGTCGCTCAACAGTAGCCCTTAAAAGGTAAGCATAGGACGTCAGTATTGGGCTGATGGCTATTTAACAGAATCGTCCGCAGTTTCCTTCTGAAGAAATAAAGTTTACCATCAATCCCAGTTTTAGGCACACGGCAGGCCAAACGCGTCTTGGTGGCTTCCAGCTGCCTTCACCAGTAGCGAACACAAAACTCGTAGGCTCCGAAGAGCCTACCGATGGCCCTGTAGCAGTTGTTTAGTGCATGATCTATCACTTGCAACTTGAAGCAGCCGTGTAGCTTCAGTATCGCCCCATAACATGCCAAGATTACCGACACAACACACAAAACATGACGCAACGTGCACTGGCTACTTCGGCTTGGCTTGGATTGAATCTCCGTGCAATAGTACGCTTGATGCTTAAGAGATGGCGCCAGATGGAGTGCATGATCTATCACTTGCAACTTGAAGCAGCCGTGTAGCTTCAGTATCGCCCCATAACATGCCAAGATTACCGACACAACACACAAAACACGTCGCAACGTGCACTGGCTACTTCGGCTTGGCTTGGATTGAATCTCCGTGCAATAGTACGCTTGATGCTTAAGAGATGGCGCGCGCTATCATCGTCAGTGGCTGGAACAAGCAGACGACATTACTGCAGCAGTTTTTGGGGGTGCGATAATTACGCGAGGAAAAAAAACTTATTTTTCTTGGGCGATCTGGGGGGTGCAAGAATTACGCGAGTAAATACGGTATATTTAGTTCTCTCAGAAGGCAATGTGCTTCATTTTTACTAGCGGACAGAATGCATAAGTTGGTTTTCATTAAACTTATGCTGGACTGATTTATTTGATTGATTGATTTGTGGAGTTTAACGTCCCAAAACCACCATATGATTATGAGAGGCGCCGTAGTGGAGGGCTCCGGAAATTTTGACCACCTGGGATTCTTTAAAAAAAAAAAAAACTTATGCTGGAAGTACGATTAACGATAACATCACAAACCGCAGTACCCCTGTAAATACATTTCTTATAAGCGACCACTGAAAAAAGCACACAGGCTGAGAAAACGTAGCCTGCCAACAATTACTGCCCAGAAAGTCTGAAAAGGGAGTGGCATTCGAAAGCGAATTCTGGTAAAACTTGAAAGAAACATACCAAACAATCCTATTTTTTCTTCTGTAATATGCCCTGTTGAGTAACCAACTAACCATCATTCCCAACCGTGATCCACGGAACAGATTTTCTGTGGATCGCAGTTGTGCACTGACACTACACCACTGCATGTGCAAACGGTGTCCAGGGAATTCAGTGAGATGCCGAAAAAGTGAAAATAAGATAATAATAATAATCATAAATATATCAGGAACTGTAATCGCGCACAGCACTTGTCCACCGGTGCTTCTAGAATTACAGTTAAACCTCGTTATAACGAGACGGGCTATAACGAAAAATGGATATAACGAGCAAATCCTAATTCCCCTTGAAAGTCCCCATACAAACCAATGTATTCAAAACCTCAATTTAACGAGGCAAAATTATGGGATATAACGAACAAATTTTGTTAGGAAGTAAAATTTTGAGCCGATGTCACGACAGTGCACAACGCGAATTTGAGACGACGCGCAACGCGAGAACTGTATTTAGCAGTTCAAAACTCCCGTTGTTTAGCAGTTCAAAACTCCCGTTGTTGGAGGGCGCCACGCGCCCTCCAACAACGCGCGCAAAGCAGACGGCACGCGCTGTTTCCGGAGGAGAGGTCGCTGCACGTGCGCCGCTTGGCTACCACCGACAGGGGAGCGCTCCGCAGCTCTGGGAACGTTTCACTCATTTCTTTTCTTTTGTGTCTTCTTTACGTTCTCCCTCTCCCATTTCTCATGGTGCTGAGGCGCGCTTCCTAATCTTACATACCCCCTTCTCCTTGATCAACCGGTTCCTAGAGGGCAGCGCAAAGGAACGCCCCTTCTGCCCCTTCCTCTTCACAGTCACTTTCTCTGCAAGTGTTGTCGCTCGCCGACGGGAGCCGCGTTGCTTTTGCGTGCGTGTTTCTTCTCTTTTTCAACCGCTTCCGCCTTATCTTTTATCGTGCTGCGCTCCTGATTCCAGCAACATGAATGCGCCAGGCGGGAAGCGAAAGCGCATAACGCTAGATCAGAAGGCGGCTATGATAAGAGCCGTCGAATCGGGGACCAAGAAAGGCAACGTGGCAAGAGACTTTGGCGTGTCGACGAGCACGCTGTCAACCATCTTGAGCAAGCAGAAGTCTATCATTGACGCTATTGCACGTGGCGTGAAAGGAAGCGCTAAGAGGGTGAGGGCACCTGCCTTTGAAGCGGTCGAAAAGGTCGTTTTTAAATGGTTCTTGGGCACGCGGGTCGTGAATCTGCCGGTGAGCGGCGCCTTGCTGCAAAGAAAAGCGAGAGACTTTGCCTGCATCATGGGCTATGACAACTTCGTAGCAAGTTCGGGTTGGCTTCAACGCTTCAAGGAGCGCCACAACATTTTCAGGAGAGCAGTCTGCGGCGAATCGCAATCTGTCGACGAAGCAGAGGCTACCAAGTGGGCGAAAAAAAACATCGTGCGGCTGCTAGAAAAATACAGCGCGGAGGATATTTTTAACGCGGACGAAACCGCTCTCTTTTTCAAGATGTTGCCGCACAAGACGTTAGCCCTCAAAGGCGAGCCGTGCCATGGCGGTAAACAAAGTAAGCTGCGGATCACTGCGCTACTTTGTGCAAACATCACCGGCTTTGAGAAGCTGCCAATTTTCATAATTGGCAAAAGTGCATCCCCTCGCTGCTTTAAAAGGAAGAGGCAGCTCCCAGTCAAGTACGTAGCCAATCGCAAAGCCTGGATGACCAGAGAGATTTTTTCAAAATGGCTTTGCGAGCGGGACGAGAAGCTGGCAAAGGCGAACCGCAAGGTGTGCCTTGTTTTAGATAACTGCACCGCCCACCATACCGCTGCCGTGCTTCGAAACATTGAGCTGCTGTTCCTTCCTGCCAACTGCACAGCAAAAATACAGCCGCTTGACCAAGGCGTGATTATGTCACTGAAGGCAGGTTACCGCAAGCGTGTGATAGACAAGCTCCTGCTCAACATGAGGATGAAGCGAGACACCGATATTGACTTGTACGCTGCACTCGAAATGCTTCAGGCGGCGTGGATGAGTGTGACGGCGACCACGATCGCGAACTGCTTTCGACATGCCTCATTTGCCGCCGCACCAGACGCCAGCGATGAGCCATCAGACGAGCCCACTGTGCCGGACGGTTTTGCCACATCAGACTAAGTCACTGCATCATGGACGGCACTTCGTGACGCCGGTGTCGTGCCTTACAGCGAGTCGTTTTGCGACTATGTGAGTGCGGACTCGGAAGTGGTGGCAACGGAGCAGCTCCTGGATGACGATATTGTGCGCGCTGTCAGTGATCGTAACGAAACCAGTGACGATGACTCTGTCGACGAACAGGAGACAAACGTGCCGACGGCGTCGGAGGCATTAGATACGGTGGACGTACTGCGCCGCTACTTCGGCGTTCACGAGGGCGGCGAAGATGGCTTGAACATTGCGGCCGCAGCTGAGCGAGCCATCATTCGCATCACGAAGATGCATCAACGTCCAATTACAGACTTCTTTGCAGCTAAGTCTGCCTGAAATGCAAGCTATGTATTTTGAAGTGCATTAAAACAGGTGCATGACTTTTTTCCTTTTTATTTGGGAATGCGGTTATTTTGTTGCATACCACCGTGCGGCAGGATGCTACTTTGCCCGCTATTTTTTTGGGGCAAGTACAGTGCATGATATTTGCGGTAAATGCCAGCTACGGCTATAACGAAATATTGGTTATAACGAGCAAATATCGGTGGCCCTCCAATTTCGTTATAACGAGGTTTAACTGTATTCAACTTGAAAACAAAGTGATACAGCGATTGAATACATTGTTGGCATCCTCACCTTCTGTACATGGGGCTCCTGTGGGCCGGAGAATGGTAGGATGACCGGTTCCGCCGGTCGTGCTTTGGCGTGTGGAAGATGCTGGCTATCCGCTTGGACCGCTTTGTCTCCGCTGTGTACAGGTCGAGACATAAGTCCAACTTAGCCGACCACTAAGCTATGTGTTCTAAGAGTACACCACATGTACAGTGCCCACAAATTGAAACACGGAGTAAAAATTTTGACTACAACAAATGGTACGCACAGTTGCTCAAGATCCCCACTTTCCATGTCATGTCGCTTAAAACTGGCTACTAAAAATAAGGTTAGCTTTACCGTGCAATGCTAGGGTCCGAAGTACACATATCAGACACGAACTGAAGAAATAAGACACATAAGTGACTGGTTAGCATTAAATAGCTGTATTTATATCCCTGAGTATTGTACTGTGCTCAAGGAATGAAACGCTTCAACTTGCAACTGAGTAACGTCCATACTTTCATTTCTACTATATTCAATTCATGTCACATCTGCAAAACCGTGATTGGCTCATTTCTGTTACATGAAGCATTCCTTTGAGCTTGAAAGATAGTTTATTTTTGCAAGACATACTGTATCCTTGTGTACTCGTTTTTAAAATGAAACGCAAATGTGGTGGAAAATCTTACGCGGACACCACTTACGCGAAACACCAAGGATGTCTTAAAGGAGCACCGACACAAAAATTTGTCTCTTGTACTTTTCGTGGCAACAAGTAGCTAGCAATTCATTTGTCACCGCTGGAAAGATCATATGCCCGAGCGCACCAGCTCATTATTTGGTGACATTTATATAGCGCCCAGTCGCAGTTTCAGTTTCAGAGTGCGCCGAGTGTGGTGGGACCCGGAGTAATTTTCATGTAAACGCAGCAGGCTCCATGAGAACAAAAAAAAAAACGCGTGCATATGAGCACCGCATTGACAACTCTTTTCAACAAAGGCTTCCCGAGTGATGCCCTCTGGGGTGTTTCAAACATGCATGACCCCATTAAATACCCTGTTGAAGCAAGGGCATCAGCCTTTGCACTCTCAGGCAAGTCTGCCTCTCTCTACATTGAAAAAGTCTGAACTCTCAAGGACCATGGCAGCCAACATAAACGTGTGATGCAGGGGGCAGTTCGATTGTTTACCCGAAAATGTAATGTGCATTTGGTGCCCTGTGGTGCAAGACACACCTTAGAATAGATTTTTGGTATATTCTACGCTAGATTATCAGCAGATATTTCGTAGATGCCCATATATCCTCTCAAATCAATCCCAGAAGTTATCTTGACATATAAGTTTTGCGTCAGTACTCCTTCAAGGCAGAAACGACAAGCTTTAATTTTACGATAAGCATGGCATTTACATGATAGGTACGAATTTCAGCCAGTGAAAATGATTGGACAGCGAAGCTCGGAAGTGCACGAATGCACATGATCGGCTATCGAGATCACATGGTGTTGTAATCAGCCTGCATACTTGGAAACTACGCGTGCTTACACATTTCGAGCATCATCTGTATCATGTTGAGCATCATTTAGCATCCTTACTATTTGGATCATCACCACCATTGTTCAGCACTGTCGACATAATTATTTCAAGCGCCATTATGAACGTTTTGTTCCATTTAAATGTTTACTCAATCTACCTTCCGGTCATGTGGCCTGTACTACTACTACTACTACATATAATAGCTGGAAAACAATCATGAGGTCCAAAAATTGTTGTAAAGAGAAATATGTACACTTTCGCTTTGTGAACATGCTGCAAGAAGTTTGCGAACACAGCCAAATCCCGCTGCAACAAACTTGATGGGACGCGGAAAAAATTTCGTTGTGAAGTCGAAACAATATAGCTGATCTGAGCTAGCAAAACAAAGGAACATTTATTCTCAATATTCAAAAAATGTCCGCTGCTTCCTATTCTTTCCTAGCAGCGTCATGACGCGATTCTCACCCATTCATAGCAAGGCCATGGTGAAAAGCACGCTGAAACGCCTAAAATCGCCTTCGTGAACGAACCAAACAGTTGCATTAGCACGTTAACACCAGCAGCTGTCCGCCGTCGAAGTGCATCGGACAAGTTACAGGGGTTCTAACATTGGTTTCAGCTAGGTTAAAAATTTTCGCACAACTTCGACACCCTTCTCCCCCCACAGGAAGGGGAAGGCGTAGCCCGTCGTTGCGACTGGTCTAGACCAATCAATGAGCTGCGTGCTATACCACGTAGCTGATCGGCGACTTCTTGCATCACTGCACGTGTAGGGAGGATTGGTCTGGGGTAGGGAAGGAGCGCACGAATTATTTTGCGAAATGGAGGCTGCGGCCAGTGCGCAGCGCTGTTGTATTTGGAAACGTGATCGCCGTGGTCTACACGACACATTGCAGAGCTTCTTTGGGGGGTGTAAAAAAAAAAGGTTGGAGCCTGTTGACTTGGCCTCTGAACCTCGATATAATGAATCCCGATATAACAAAACATCTGTTATAATGAAGTAAATTAAGAATGCTTTCGAATAGATACAGTGCCAGGAATATACCTTTAGAACTTATTCAACGAACTCATTTTTGTGAAAGATGCAAGTTCGTTATAATGAGGTTTTAGTGTACTACTGCCACTACGGCACACGGCGGACTGAGACATTAGAATAACAAAGAGTGTGGCAAGATGGTACGTAGTCATGTTAAAAGACTCTGCATGCAAGCACAAACAAAAGAGAGAAGTCAAAAGACTGCAAGCGCTGGCAGTTATAGTGTCTTGACTTCTCTCCTGGGTTTGTGCTTGCGCGTTGAGTCTTCCCCTTGAGTTCACTGCAAGAACAATTAGGCTTGAGTCAATTCCAGTCGGCGCGATTCTTTTTGACAGCACACCACAATTTCGTGAATGGAGCCCGTACCTTAATTGCCAGGCTGTCGCCGAGTGAAGTGACAGGTGTAAACCACCAACCCATTAGCACGTACTCACCAACAGGCACTTGGAAGCGTTCCGTGACGGGCTTCTTGGGACGGAGGTGGTAACCATTCATCACGGGCAACTGCACCTCCTCTTCATCGTCATCATCGGCGCTGTCCCCAGATTCCCCAGAACTGCCTCCCTGTGGCTCGGAGTCGCTGCCAGCCACTCCCGCCGCCGCTGCAGCCTCCCGCCGGCGACCCCGGCGCTCCTCTGCTGCGGCCCGTCGAGAGCTCCGCGTGCGGAAGAATGGCTGCTCCTCCGCCGCTGCGGCCGCCTGGTGCTGCTGGCGTGTCCGCTTCACCCGTGAATACATGTCCTCTGCCGAGAAATGCTGCGAAGAAATAGACATGAGAGGAGTGGAAGGTGACGAGCTATGGGAATGCAGGCACCATAGTTCTCTGAAACATGTGCAAAAGAGAACCGAGGCACTGCATTTGTTGAAGTACACACATCTGCCTAGCCTTAGTGTTTGCAGTTTCAAATCCACTTATGGCTTTTTTCATTATTTAGCTTTTGTTTCAGATAAAAGCATGGCTCGTGAACCTCATGGGCTGAATTGAACGTATAAGGATAAAAGTGACCAGCCAAGGCAGGAAGTCTGACTGCTGAACTTCATCATGTGCCAATGCAGCTGCAGGCCATACTGAGCTGAAAGAATGAAGCCTAAACAATCTATATACTACTCATCATTCCCATGCTGCCTGAAGTGCCATGCGCTGCAGCTCCCATAGACATCTGCGACCCATTTCGCTCTAGTGTACTAGCATGAAACCATGGTAGACACACCCTGTGACCTTTTTGCCAGCTTTCCAATTGGAAATGTGACAGATGTGTACCTGAGCTCACACTGAGCCCCTTATGGAACATTTCCCCGAGAAACTTATTGACTAACACAGCACACACATTCCAATGCACTGCTTCAATTCAAGCAAAGGTCTTACAAGGGCCCCCATTTACATTCGTTGCTTGTGCCCTTTTAAGGCGACTGCGTAGTGGTCATCGATATGGGCAACACTCCTCACCTGCATCTCAGACAGGCCGAGACGACGGAGCTCAGCATTCACACCCTTCTCATTGCTTCGTTTTGACTCAAGGCTGTCCTCGTTGTCGCCGTCTAAGGTTTCAGAGTCCTGGAGAGCAAATGCAGGCCCCTCAGAACCACACGGTTGAGTTGATGTACCAGTTTCGCAATGCTGTTATCGGCCACGAAGCCTCACAGACAAAGCGTGGACATTCAAATGCACTCCTATCTAGTCAATGCTACAGGACATCTCTCATTCACACACAAGTCGTAAAACCAGAGATGCAATCTTGCACACGTTCTATAATAGAATGCTTGTCCTTGCTGCACATGATTTGTCTGGGCTTATACGTGTGTAACCCAAATGCTGTCGTGGTAACCCAAATGTACCGTTTATGCGAGCCTCAGCCATTCATATGCAGCAATTGATTGATATGTGGGGTTAACGTCCCAAAACCACCATATGATTATGAGAGATGCCGTAGTGGAGGGCTCCGGAAATTTCGACCACCTGGGGTTCTTTAACGTGCACCCAAATCTGAGCACACGGGCCTACAACACTTTCCGCCTCCAGTCGGAAATGCAGCCGCCGCAGCCGGGATTCGAACCCGCGACCTGCAGATCAGTAGCCGAGTACCTTAGCCACTTAGAACACCACGGCGGGGCTTCATATGCAGCAAGTATGAACATTCTGTTACAGAGCACATACGATGGCACACCTGTTGTAAGACAACACTAGAGGTCTTCTTCCCTGTCCAGTAAAGATAATGCCAATCTGGCTTCAGATCTTGCAAAATGTGTTTGCCCAAACAGTCTAGCCATACTAATGCTAACTGCACACAAAAAGGCTAGCATTTTCAGACATCCCAAGAACACTGGCTGCGTAGCTTTCCTAAGAACACTGACAACACAAGATCAATCGCAAGACCAATGACAATGACCGAATGAACCATGCAAACTTCAATACTTTGAGAATGTCTACACCAACTAAGCTTTGCTATTAGCTTTAAGCATTATAAATATTGTCATCAGTTTTTCAGGGCAGTGGTGAGAATACTGCACTCAGGCAGACTCCCTGTAATTTTTTTCAGTGCAAAAAAAAATTGAGTTCAGGACTCACATTGCCACCCGGAGGCATGCTGTCAGTGGTGATGGTTGGCAGAACTAGCGGAGGTAATGATGGAACGTGGTCGGGTCCTTCTTGCTACGGGATGTTGACTGATCCGCATGTGGCTGTCAGGGGATGAGAATATAGGGCTACACTGAGGGCACTTCACAGGAAAACCCATCAATTTGGAGATTTGTTGAAACTTCAGAGAACAAACCAAAAAGACAACCACTTAGCAAGCCCCATTTTATTCCATACCTATTGAATATACAAATCACCACCCAATGCCCGTTTTATGTCGAGCACGGGGCGAAGGCATATCTGACAGGTCATACACACCATCACAGAATGTCACTACAGGCACAATCATGCTGCCATCATCGTTTACAGTGTGCCACAAGAAGTATTGTGCATACTAACAAGCCAAAGCTCAGTTTTACACCAAGGCAAGGCCAGTGACTCAGCTCAACCTTGAAGAATGACAAGCTTGCAGCCTCAATGATTCTTCTTGTACGGTCAATCTTTAGGACTGCAAGAATAGCGTGACACTACTCTACCTGAGTGAGCAAACTGTTGATGGCTTTGTTCAATAGGGAGCTTGTTTTTTATGAACAGTGGCACATGCCTCATGTTAAGTAATTCATGCAAGGCAAAGCGGGCTTGGCAAGGTGGAGGAGCTAAGATTTTTTATAGTTTTTTGTTCTCTGTTATGTTGTTCTGTACTCTTATTGTATGCGTTTATCAAACCTTTATATGTCAGTATTAAATATGGCACAGTTCTCCAAATAAACTTTCAGTTGGTAGTAAACGCTTGTTCTTGTCTCACTTAGTCCCTGTCTACGTTATGCCCTCAATATTTTAAGTAGAAGTGGGCAGCAATCAACGTATTTTCTCAGCACGGAAGATGGCCGGGAAATGAACGGGTACCTTGCCAAAGTCTGGCAGGACTCGACGTCAATATCCATGTCTGGTTGAGGTTGCCGTAGATGCACTTGCGACGGCGCGTGCTCCTTCGCACCATGCTGTCATCGTCCTCATTCATGTCGTCATCCGTTGAGACAGCAACGTTGTTGGGGGGCGGGGGAGGCACGCGGCGTCGCGTTGACGTGTGTGCACGACCGTTGGGCAGCAGGTGGTCCTGGTGTCCGTGTCCACCCACTGAGCGTGTCAGGCGCACTGCCAAGGCAGAGAAAAACAGGCACTTAGGATTCAGTTGGTTAACCTGCTAATAGGGAGTTTTTGAATAGGGGCTCTATAACTTCGGGGCTCCGAAGCCCATTGCGTGTGCTTACTTTATATGCAGCAGCTGAAGAGTCCGCGATGCTTTGGACCCTCACCCAATTCGGTCACTCGAGCCTTGGCCGAGAGCCATCACGTTTACCTGTCTCAAAGCTTTTGGGGCAGGCTTTGGGGCTCTCAACTTAATTCGAGAAACAGTGATCCCCAACGCAAAAACCGAACCCTGTTTGGGTCTCGCGTATGTGCAGTGGCCTTGACGCTATTTCTTTAGGAACCCCTATTTGAAAACTCCCTAATTTGTCCATCGGTTCATCAACAATCTCCTAGTCTGTTACACATCTGAGCTATGCCTGAGACTATAAGCCAAAATGTGGTGTATTATAACACACACATGCCATATGGGCACTGCAAATGGCATCGACTTCCTAAAGCCTCAAATATTGATGGCATTATCATGCCGCCACAGAAGCAAAAGTAAGTTGCGAATGCATCTGCAAAGATATGAGATAAACTTTAAGAGCCAAAGGTCAACTTTAATAAATGCTTGCCTGAAGATTCATCATCAGAGAACTTCAACCTTCGAGATGATCGCCTTCTGTCTTCATCAGTCAACAGACTCCTGAAAGAAACAAAAACGGTTATAATTTTTTGTCTTTCTATCCTGACCAATGTCTTCATGCTACTGACAAAATATCATCACACCATTACACATACACAGCAAAAAAAAAAAAAAAAAACTGCTAGTGTGCCTATCCAAAAGTTTACAGGCTATAATAATTTTAGAATTACTTGGCATTCCAACAAAAACAGAGTTAGTAAAGTAAAAATTAGCGAACCACACATGTGTCATGAGTTTATTAAAGCGAAGCTTTTCTATTTGTCCACTCCATGCTTAAGGATACTGAGATTTGCGTATCAGCATTACAATAGTACACTGTTACATATACTGTTACAACAGTGTATAATGAAATTAACTATGATCATGTACAAAATTCATTATGCCTTTCCCCTTCGTGCCCAAATCGCAATGGCCTTGATCATGTAGCCATTATCAAAAATACTTGCGGCACAGATATTGATCTGGATTGACTTCACTTGAGAATGCCAACCTGACGAGACATAACGTGCCAAGTTTAATAATGAGCACTTCTGTGCCAAAGCATGATGAAACTACGAAGGCACATCTTACTAACGTAATGTACAGGCTGAGAGATAGGACCACGCAGAATTTCACTAAAGCTTTCCTTATCCGCAAGCCGGGTGATATGTGCATGGTAAGGATGTCTGTAATGTTACACAAACTAGAAACTGATGATTTAAACACCCATGCACAAGATTTCCCCTGCAGTGTTTGTACTATTTAAATGTCTATATGACAAATTTTCAGTCAGTCTGCACCTGTCGCCCGTAGTTCCTATCTCCAATAGGTGCCCCCCCACCCCACCCCGCATGTAGCTTTTCATAAGCAGGAGACTAGGCCAACTTCAATTACCTGTAATGTACTCAAAAGTAAATAAGTGTTATTTTATTCTGGTCGAAATGCAGCCATCACAACTTGGACTGATGATCAAGTGAACCAACTAGTTTAACCAATCTACGAGCATCAACAAGGCCGTCGTGGCTTGTGCCCTGAGGGCCATCCAACTGAATTTAGGACATTTAAAAGCAATCATATAAAAGAAATCCATCTGGCTAGTTAAAACAAGCAGAAAAAGAGTGCCTCCATTGACTCTTGGTGTCCTCTTAGTTTGAAGTGTTCTTTTCTCAAGATTTCCTTCACCAGATTCTTGAGCCCCTCCCCATTTACTCTGCTAACACCACTGTTTTAACACAAAAGCATTAAAGAGCTCATTTCGCAGAAATTTCATTGCCCGTGATACTGGTTGCGAGTGAAAAATCAGCATTTTCCGTGAGAAAAAAAAAATCTCCGATAGATGCAAATAAAAAATACTAAAAATCTTCAATTTGAGTGGGAATCTGAAACAGGCCTTTTTTGCATTTCAGACAGGTGTTCAAACACAGTGGCACAGAAGGGCTTGGAACTGTGTCAGGTAAAAAAAAAAAAAAAACCTACATGAATGTCATGTAGAGAAAAAAAAGTCTCCTAAAGCATGTAATATTGTGTTGCAGAAGAGTGGAATCGCACAAGGCGTAAAAACATGTGAAGTGATGTAAAGGCCCACAAGGTGCTCAAAAACAATCGGCAGCAACAGAATCATTATAGTGTACAGCTGCATGCCTTGCCTTATGAACAAAGAGCAAAAAAAATGATAATTAAAAAGATAATTATGGCATGGTGGGCACTTCAACAATGTTTTTGCAGTAGGCTTCTGACGACAGTTTAAAATGGCCAGTGTTACATGCCAAGGTGTTCCTTCTCTTTGCAGCACAGTATAGGTATCCACCGAGAAGGCAATGCAGACAATTAACGCTGTTTCATTCTGCTCTTGACAGCGAAGCCCAAGCATCCACCATGTTTTTCATGTTCTATTTCAGTCATCAAAAGTATTCAAACGCTTGAGGTTTTAAGGACAAAGCCAATATGCAATTATCAGCCACACCGTAGTGAAGGGACCACAGAATAATTATGACCACCGCAGGTTTCTTTATCGTGCACTTACTGAGAGTACAGTGGCGTTTCCTGATTTCACCACAATCGAAATGTGACCACCATGGCCGAAAATCGAAAAGGACGCCCTTGAGCGGCATATGGTAGCCACCTAAATCAATTTTGATGCTAGCAGTTTCGAGTCAAACAGCCATGTGTAAAACTTCGACAGGCATCAAGAATGCTCCCTCAGTTTGAACCCGTCTACCAACGCATTTTCAACCTCTTGCAACTACACTTCACATGCTAACAGTTGTATGCTGCTTGTAACAGATGTCACGAACAGCCTCTTCCGTTCGAACCAACCTGCCAAGTAAGCATCAAATGCCGCGATGTGCGTACCATTCCCTGTACTTTTTTTTTCCTGTCATTTCGTTCTTACACTTAACTTGTAACAGCTTTGCGATATGACGCAAACCTTCCAGTGTTTTTTATGCTCTCGGTGTCCTCATTTTGTCACAGCTGCTAAACGCTTACCACCTGGCGTACATACTCTCGCGTGGCAAAGCAGCACTGTTCACAAACTGCCCGGGCCTGTTTTATCGAATAACGAAATTCTGCCTCCACGTTCACCACTGGTAAGCTAAGCTTTGACTACCTGTTCTTAAAAAACCGTTAGTTTCTCTCTCAAACCATCTCTCACTGGTAAGCTAAGCTCTGACTACCTGTTCTTAAAACACCGTTAGTTTCTCTCTGAAACCATCTATCTTCGCATAGCAACGACATGGCCATGACAGAAAAACGTACATTTTTTGCCATAGAGAAGTGTAGAAAGTATTTTGCTATGAGGAATTGAATAATGGAACCAACTGCCTTAGGTCTTGGTGCCAACAGATGACTGCCGTAGAGAGTGAGCCAAGATGGCACTCTTGTGATAGTCCATGACTTGCATAAGCTAAACAATATGATTAATCCATCGATTGATTGATATGTGAGGTTTAACGTCCCCGAACTACCATATGTTTCTGAGAGACGCGGTAGTGGAGGACTCCAGATATTTCGACCACCTGGGATACTTCATCGTGCACCCAAATCTGAGCACACGGGCCTACAACATTTTCGCCTCCATCGAAAATGCAGCCGCCGCAGCCGGGATTCCATCCCGTGACCTGCTGGTCAGCAGCCGAGTACCTTAGCCACTAGACCACCACAGCGGGGCCCGATTAATCCATGTCTTTACTATGAGAGTGTTTGCCTTTAATGCGTTAACCTCAAAACCACCATACGCGTTTCCTTTTTTCTTCTTAACGTCCCCCCTAAAACAATGTCATTGAGTGATTCATTACATCATAATAAATCATGAGTTAAAAGATTTATTCAACAAGCCAATGAAGCTACCCAATGAAATTGCCACGAACTCACGCTTTGAGACTAAAGCCCTTAAATGACACAAACTTGGGGCTGTGGTATCAAAATATGCGATTTTTGAGCGTTCACATGTCTAAACCATTACATGATATTGAGACATAGTGTGGGGGTGGGGGATTAATTTTCATTCCCCAGTATTTTTTAACGTGCATCTAAACCTAGTACTAGGAGTCTTGCATTTTGCCCCTATCGAAACGCAACTGCGAGATTAGCAAGGCTGGCATCGAATGGAGATTGAAATTAAGACAACTTTGAGTTAATCCCAGAGAAGCGCTAAATTGTGCGCCTAAACACTTGTTCGTAGCACGTACAAACGTTGGCTGGTGTGCTCGGAGCTACGCCGCGCCTTTAGTCGTGAATGGGGAATGCGGCTGCCAGTCAATGATAACAGAAAGCGACTACAACAGAAACAACCAAAAAAAAAGGGTTCGGTCAACTCACTTGGTAATCTTGAACAACAAGCTAAGTGTTTAGTTTAAAACGTGAAATCGCTGCCAAGGGCCGCAAAGTAATATTTGGACATGTAAGGTCTCAAAATCAGCTGACGGCGTACCATCGTTTGCACGGAAAACGAAAGCGGAAAAATTCCGACCGACAACAGCACAGGGACAAAGAATTCGGCCCGTTAGCCTAACGAAATACTGACCTTCAAAGTTGGAACAGAACGAACACAACAAAAAAAGTTTCCAGGACAACGCGACTAATAAAAAATGCCATGGGCGCACGCCACACACCCGCAAAACTAGTACAGGCACGTTGCACGAGCGGTTAGAAAAAAAAAAAGAAGAAAAAATCCACACCCAAGTTATTAACTTGAAAATATATACATATATATGAACGGTAACGTTGTTGCACCGGTCTAATTCCACGCGTTCACTGCCTCTCTAAGAAAAAATGTAATTGAATGACGCGGTGCTGACCGACCTACGGTGACCCCACCGCCCCCGCTGGCCTGGCAAATGACCACGTGATTGGTGGGGAAAACAGGCCATGTGACTGCGCCGAAAAATGTAAACAGTGGCCGAAGGTCGGCGATCGCGACCGTCCGAGGTGCCACCGAAGAAACTTACACGATGCACATCGTTTTAACGCGATCGAAATTTTTCAGAGAGACAGAGGAGGTGTCGAAAATGGATGTTTCAGCGCTTTGAAGCCAGCGGCCAGTTCGTTATTTTCGTGGCCTTGAGCCAATTTCCGTCGGAGGGGGTTTTTCCCCCGAGTGATACCGGACCAACGTGACCATAACCACCGAAAACTCGGTCACGCATTAAATGCGCCCCTCTGTGACAGACGAGGACAGAGCAGGCTTTTGATACAGGAACTCGAGTTCACGTTTCGACAATTAAAGACGAAAAATCTTAGCCCGATCGCGAACAAATCAGCGACGAAAAGTATGGCGCTGCCATTTCTTTGAAGAGTAGGCCAGTCAGCTGTAACAGCGCCTCATGCGAATCCCGTGTGATTGGAACGAGAACAACACGGTCTCAACTCCAGCGATTATGAGCGAGGGGTTCAATAAAACAACATTCGTTCGTAGTCGGACAGGGCGGCATCACTGACGGGTGCTGAATTCCCAGTCGCCAGATCGTCCCACAGTAAACGTACCCGATGGGCATTACGCTTGCAATTTCTCGACGAAGCCGTGAACAGGACCGACAACGTGGCGGGTAGCGTGATCACTTGTTTACGACAACCAGTCCACACAGCGTCGGTAAAGCGATCCGCGGCAGCGGGAAATAAAAGACGACGATGTTCGTTAGGGCTAGCGTCGTCTTTCTTTCCTTCACGACTCTACGCCAACCATTGTTCCCGCCCGGATGAAACGACTCACCTCCGAATTGTGCGATTCCGCGGCTTCGGCCCTCGTAGATCTGCGCGTGGCGATCCTCGGCGGAAGATTATCCGTCACCGAAGACCTGTTCCTCGTATTCACCATGTCGATGGCCCTCTTCAACTCGCCGAACGAAGCATAACCACCAGCAGCGGGGTGCGCGGGTGCAAAACTTCTCCTAGGCCTAATGACGGCCGCGGTGTCGGCGGACCGGCGGCGGAGAGCAAACGTTCCACTTCGCTTACGCCGCGTTCAAACGTGTCACTCCCACTTTATCGTTCGTCACAAATATCGTCTCCACACAAACCCGATCGTTTTCGCTCCGCACAGCCACCGACACCTTTCCCCGCACAACACTCACTAAACCAACCGACGACGGCGCGCCTGACGACTGTTCGCAGCCCAAAAGCGCGCGGGCGGCGCGTTGAAAATTGGCGCGTTTTCGGAACAATCAGCTGATTCCCGCAAAATTTGGTGCGTCCTCGCGCACGTTTCTTTACATTCTGTTTTCAAAACGATGGTGCAAAGCAATCCCTATTTTATTCTTTCAGCAGGTCATCACCGTGTCGTGCGGTGTCACGAGAAGACGAATAAAGAATCTCGTCAAACGAATACCTGCACTTCGAGGTTCCCTGATGGCGCCATTTTTATTTATTTTTTTTTATCTCTTCAGATACTTCCACATGCAAGCTGCTCGCTTTCGCACGCTCGGAAATGTAAAATAAGACTGCGCGAACCTCCGCGCGGATCACGCGAACACCTCGAATGTCTATTTTGAGAGTCCCTGTTTGTTTGGGATGGCCACACTACACGCACGAAAGGATCGCGTTATCGGGCGGAGAGAAGCGCGGAGAAAAGGCTAGCAGACGACACCGCCGTTGCTAAGTGCCCGTGCTATTTTTCTGCGGTTGATTGTGCGCTCGCAGCTATCGAGTGTCAACTGTAGCGCGTGTCGTATCTAATCGCGGACGACGGACCCTCGGGCTGAGGTAGAGTATCACAGCGCTGTTCGCTTTGCCTGTCGCAGTAGATGCAGTGAGCCCCGACACTGAGCGACGACTGAGGGGACGAAAAATGGTTGCCGGCCGTGTCACCAAGGTGCACGTTCATGACGTGCGCTTCCCTACATCGCTTGGCTATCACGGTTCTGACGCGATGGTGAGTGCCCTGTCAAAGTGTACCCTTTAACTGACAACGTGTGTTTTAATTCGCACGGCACGCGCAGCTTCTCAGAAAGATGCATCGAAGCGCCGTGACCTTATCGCGCTATATCCTGCTTCAACTTGTAATGGTAACTTATCTGTGCCTGTCTATTCACGACTTACATGCTAATGTTTAGCAACACAATTTCTACTGTCATCTACCCTGGTGTCATATCTGTAAGTGCTTCGACTGATTACTTACTGTTGCGCCAGTTTTTTTTTTTTTTTTTTTACGTGTACGTGATCCGCATAAAAGCCGCATGCTTTATGCAACAATTGCGAATATTTTCCTTCGAATATTAAAAGCACACAGACCCCGACTACTCCTGTTCCTACGTCGTGATCAGCACCGACACTGATTTCCAAGGCTACGGCTTGACTTTCACGATTGGACGGGGCACCGAAATAGGTAAGTATGTATATCGTATATATTTATACAATCACTTATGCATTGCATTTATTAGCTATAGTACTATAATACACTAACTAGACCTGCTACGGAACGAAGCTTGATAGGGAGAATGTCCCTCTAACTCTACACGTTAGTTGTAAATATAGTTCCGCGTTTTCGCGTCTTAAGCAAGAAAAAAGCTTATATAAAAATTAACATAATTAATTGGTAAATTTTGGCAACGTGATTTCATTAGAAAAACATTTTTTTATCGCGACACCTAAAATAATAAGCATGAATATACCGTGGAAAGCAAATCGTCTTCGTTAAAAGTAATAATTTGTAGATCGAATGATGCATTATTAACCTGGACTTCCTTCGTTAAATGTTACAAGCCGTGTTGCGTGTGCTGTAAGCAATGTTGACTCGCAGGACTCGTAAATATTTGGCGAAATTAAATGAGTGTTTGTGTGGTTAATGTCCCTGTTTTTTTCTTTGTTGTTCTTAAGTTTCTAACGAGCGAGCATTAAACACACACAAAACTAGGGGAATTCAGGACAGTTGGAACTAAAAAAAAATGTTAACGCCGACAAATACCGAATTTCTGACAAGAAAAAAGAAGAGAGACACCATAAATACACCCACTTGCTTTCGACAAAAAATAAACTGCAGTAAGGCGGAACCATACATGGTTGTTATAGCATATATGTCGAGTAATATGCAGATTTGTGGATAGCTAAGCAGCGCTAACTGCCAAGTTCATGTGGGCGCTACGATAATGAATTCAGGTGTTTGAAGCGCTAATGCTAGTCACAAAATAATTATAGGCCAAAAGAAAATGCCGAACGATTATTCAGGACGATGGTAATATGCCTAAATTCGTTTCGATATCACGAATGGATTTGCATTTAAAAATAATGGTAATAAATTGTTAATTGAAGTCTGTTGAGACACCTTAAGTAGAAACTAGCGCATTCCTGAAATTTATGGCACTATTCATCAGCAAAATAAATAAATAAAAATAAAACTTACCTCTATCAGCGGCAAAAAAAAAAAACACGCGTGTGTGTACCGAATGTTCAATAAGAATCTAATATGTCAAAACTTATTGTTTATCTGAACAGACGGAGAGCTGTAGCTAACAACATTGTACACAGCCCTATAGGTTTCTCGTCCTTCTCGTTATTATTATTATCATTATAATAATTATTATTATTATTATTATTATTATTATAATTATTATTAGTAATCTTTCTGGTGTGGCTGTTTTTTTAAGTATTTTTTTCATTTGCGTATACACAGAGTGATATTTTGTTACACACTTGACGCAGTGGTGGCCGCAGTGCGCGCGCTCTCCCCACTCGTGGAAGACGTTTCGCTGGAGTCTATATACACGAACTTCGGGCAGTTCTGGCGTAAACTGACCAGCGACAGCCAGCTGCGATGGGTGAGGCACTGCCCTACGCGTTAGTTCAAAAGCCGTGACCAATTGCAGCTGTGACACCATTAGTTATTTCACGAAATTAGTGGCGTAATCACGACTATACTGTCTTACAGTTATGACTGGGTCACAAGTCGCAAACGAGTAATTTACCCATTTATAGCAATCGCCCGCCAAGAAATTTGTTCCCGAAACAGGTCAAATGCTAAACTCAGTATACTTTTCCACTAGTCAAACGGCACTTTATATCAACTAAAGTTAGCTTAGACTTGAAAACAGTATTCCTTAGCTTTAAATTTGTCCAGCATATTAGCACTGTGCTGTAACAACTTTAAGTATGAGTGATCACTGCCCCTTATGATAGGGGTGGACATGCGCACACGTACGCGAGCAAAAACAGATGAATGAATACGCACGTTGTCTTGTTTTACAACCAGAACGGGTCATTGAAAGTGGCCTTCCCCGCACATGACCTACTATTGCGGCAAAGCCAGCTGTGACGAACTTTGTTGCGTTACACACATGCGCGGACATATTAACGCATTTATCAAGTTCTTTGTTGTCTGAAGTAGTAACTAGCTGGGTATTCCATGCAATGTGGATGCTTATGTGTGTTACGACGCAATAAAAATATAACAGTAGTAGCACAGAAGACGATAGGTTACATATTGCGATGTGTTCGCGCGTAAGCAACATTAAACGCGATGACGTCGATTAAGTGACGTTCATTTTTACATTAACGTAAGAGCTGTGACGAATGCTATGAAAGGTTGCGTTCATGCGATGGTCACTCGTAATTATGTTGATCAGTCACAGTTGGAGTCATCTTTAATTTATTCGCTTTTTAAACACGTCCACGTACCTTGTGTAAACTTTATATAGGCTTTCACACAGACATGTCAGGCACAAAGAAGCGTATGTGCGTATGATATGTACAAGCAGAAAATTAGAACACCGCATAACATAACGGTACATTCGCAGAAACATGAGCCTGAATGCAGCCAGCTGGAAAGTACATCTCACTTTCCTTTCCAGATCGGGCCAGAGAAGGGAGTCATTCATCTAGCCACTGCGGGAGTTATCAACGCTCTCTGGGACTTGTGGGGAAAGATTGAAGGAAAGCCGGTGTGGAAACTGCTGGCGGACATGGTAACAGATGTTCAATAAAAAAAAAAGAAATATAGAATTTAAAAAACTACTATATCTTTATAAATTTAGCTAGTATTCCTAATCTATATAGTGTATCTATACGAAGTTAACCAATACTTATAATAATCTGTTTAAAAATAAATGGATGGTTTTGTTGGAAACATGCTATCAGTGGCGACGGTTATGGCCGGGTGACCGTGGTCGTGTGTAATACGGCAAGTGCATTATAAAGTTATTATCAGCGGGGCTATCTCACAATCGTAAGTGAGAATTGGGACGGGCTCTCTCTGTGAAAGACTCATTGCCAGTTTTGATTTAGATTCAAAAATGCGATTTCCTGCATGAGCCATGGCGCGAAGAATTTCCGCTGTCAAGAGTGCGCAAAACCGGGGGAGGGGGGGGGGGCTTATGATTGTCGTGCTATCGCGGCAACGGTCGGCGCACGGCTCTTGCCACCCAAGCAGGCGGGAGCTTCTACGAGCTGCACTTTCAACTCGAAAAAACGGCGCCAAAACTGTACCTTGAGCGGCCGTCCACATATAGATGCGCTTTACACATAACTGCTACCAGGGGCGACACACGACGTATAGTCTGTAGCACCAGCATGCGCTGCCCACAGGAGGCGCTTCTCATCAACGCCGTCACTACGCACGAGCCTTGTGCTCATCTACTATGGCCGCCTCGCAGGAAACTTGGCTACATAGCGAGCGCATATATTTACTAGAATTAACATCACTCCTAAAATGCTAGCCTTGCTTTCTAAAACATTTGAATATGTTGCTATCACATTCATCGCTTCGCGCTTTTGGCGAAACTGTAACTTTTTTTAAACATTACTCAGTCTCCGCAAAGAAAAATCCGGTGTTGGCACATGTGAAGTATATCCACAACTGTTTATGCTGTGTTCAATGCGAAGAATTGATGCCACTGTGATCAACAACGCATGTAATGGTCAACAAATGCATTGCGTTGCCTTTCACTTCAGTAAGCGGGGGAGAGACCGAATGCAATAAAGCCGCCTCGTACCTCAGTCTACTTGGCAATAGCACCCTCCACAGGTTATGCTCAGTTTGTCTCCAACTGGAACCAGTTGAATTCCGATTAAGACCGATCAAAACCAGTTGGATTTCCATTTGCACAGTTTCACTTGGTTAAGATGAGACGCTCGGGCCGCCTACGTCCTCAGCCGCGTTCACTTGCCCTCAGACACGCATCCGCCCTTGTTTAAGTCGCGCAGCGTGCATCAAGCCACCGCTCGCATTAGCTCCCGCTCGCTTGGCTTTCCCTCTCTCCCACAGTGCTATCTTAAGATTTATATATGATTGTGATTTCATGATTGCCACAACGCATAAAATTTTATAGGATGAAAAAGGGTTATACAAGTTGGGACACAAAATGACAGGACGCAGCGCGCATGTTTTACGGAACATCACGGCGACGGCGGTTATTTCGTCCGCCAGCGGTGGAGCAGTGGATGTGGTTCTATGATGCTTACCTGAAGGTCGCGGGTTCAAACCCGGCCTTGGTGGTCGCATTTGCATGCAGGCAGAACGCCAGAGACCCGCGTACTGTGTGATGTCGGAGCACGTTAAGGAACACCTTATGGTCAAAATTTTCTGAAACCCTTTACAACGGCGTCTCATAATCATATTGTGGTTTTGAGACGTAAAACACCAGATATAATATTAATGGCGGTTATTTGCTCAAATTTAATTGCCACAATTACTGAGCCAGCACCACCTCATTCTCAAATGGAACCTCACTAGCAAAATAAAAAGATGCGTATGGCAATTAACGCGACAAGAAATATGTTAGCACTACAATAGCATGTTTTAGCTGCACAGGCGTAACCGTGGCTCCGACATATCACCAACTAGCATCGTTCGTTTGATGATATGATTTTGAAGTGCGAGAAAAATATGTGAAAGTGCACAGCGATGCAGTTTTATCAGAATAAAATGCTTTTGTCAGTGGCTGCTTGTAATCTCCTTTCCCTTCATGATGTGCTTCATTATTCAAGGGTAATTTATCAAGAGTGTTTTTTGACATTGCACGCTATTTTCAGAGCCCACAAGAAATAGTGTCCCTTATTGATTTCCGATACATGTAAGTTGGAAGTCTGCTGCTGTAGCTGTGGTATGCACACGCTCATGACATAGTAGTGTATTGAAGGCTTTTTTTTCTTTGCTTCTTGTTCAGTTCTGACCTGCTGACCAAAGAAGAGGCAATCGGTAATTATTTGGAAATGCTTTGTAAAAGAGGAGCATTTCTTGTAAAGTTTTATTGCTGCTGTTCGTAACACCTTTTCTGAAACCACAGGTATACTTGAGGAAAAGCAACAAGGGAAGGTTCAAAGAGGTAAGCACGACACCAACAAATATTACACATAATTTTATTTTGCTTTCATGCTATTCAACTTACTGATGTCTATCAACAAAACATTATCAGACCTACATCGTCTTACCTCTGTTTTTAGTAGAAGTATATGAAAGTGCTTAATGGTAAGTGACGGTTTACTTGAGTTTGCAACCACAGCATCACAAACACTCGACAAATAGTAAACACACACAAAAAATGCAAACTTTTGTGATGTCTGTTGAAATTCGAGATACCCTAAATCGTCAAGAATGTGCACAGTGACTTTCACCGCTATTTTCTTCGTACAAAACAGAGAAAGAATTGTTGGAAAGTGGCTATCCAGCGTACACAACTGCCTGTGGCTGGCTTGGGTACACTGATGAAAAGATCAAACAGGTAAGCGTGGATTGCGTGATTAAATTGTCATTAACAGCACAGTGTTCTTGCATTTCACTCTGATCAAAATGTGACTGCTGTCGCTGGAAACTGAACCCACCATTTTGCTTTCAGCATCACAAAACTCCAGCCACTAAGTCGCTGCAGTGTGTACAGCGGAAGTCAGTTGAAGGTTCACTCGAGCGCACATTGCCGTCACACACGGTCAAATTTGCATACATTTCAATGCCTTCATTTATATTCAGTAACACTCGTGACAAAGCACACACATTCACGACACATTTCAGTTAAAGGGGCCCTGTGACACTTTTTTGACAGCCTTATTGAGCACCGGTATGTGTTATAAGTCATCAAAGTTCAAAACTCGAGCAGACAACGACGAGAAACATTCCCTTTCACATTTCACTCACCTGCTGACATCAAAGACCGCTTCCAATCATGGCTCGCATCTCATAAAGACATACCGGAAATGTCACCTCATGGTGGACTTCACGCAGTACCTTGCTATCACTTTTTTCAACGGTGTTGTTAGGATGGTTACGACGAACCACATGCGTCGGGTAGCAGATGCTCTTACGGTCCCATTGTGTAAAACACACACTCGTTAGGCGGGGACAATGCTTGGCTTGCATGAAAGATGCGTTCTACGGCAATGCCTGCATACATCACATGTCTCATTTTTGGCTCATTGAAAATGTGGGAAGCATTTTTACCTTTAGTTACTGGCCTACCATAGCTGTATTGGCAGACTAGGAGTTGCATTTGTTGTTATGAATATACATCATTTAGAAACAGAACTTCTTTCTTTCTAAAGTTTAAAAAGGGTTTCTACTGTTTTTAGCATTCGCTCATATGGTCTAGCCTACACCATATGAACACTGCACGCTACTTGCTGCGTCAAACCAATCAAAACAAACGGACTTTGTCGTCACATCACATGACATGATGTCACTTCCCATAACGAAAACAGCCTGTGTGTGTCACCTGTAGCGTCGTCGGGGTAGATTGGGTGGGATGACCAAGATCAGGCAGGTCATGAAAGCAGGACGTCCATTTAGGAAACTTGAAAAAAAGGATTTATTTGCATTCAAAGAAAAGTTAACTGGTCATCGTTGTTCCCCCTTCTGCGCCCGCCGTCTCCTCCGTCCTTTTTATCCCTCTCGTTGCCGCCCCTCTCCCTCTATCTCGGTCCATCAGTCCACTTCACGAAAGGCAGGGGCGGCCCGCAGTCAGAGGGGGGGATCAAGGGGGTGAATCGTCCACCCGGAACCCGACTTCCCCTCAGCTCTATGCTCAGTTGTTCCGGGTGGACCCATCCCTCCAAGAAGCAGCGACGAATCTTTCGTTCCCCGAAACCGCCGCCGCATTCCGCAGGGCCCAGCCGTGGCGCCAGCGCACCGTCCCGCGACACAATGGTCAGCCTCAACAGTCGCTGCGTTCGCGGAACTGAGTGGCGGCGACATCGCGCTCGCCTCGAAGACGTCACTGGCAGCGGGACGCAACAGACTGACTCCTCCGCCGCCGAAAGACTCGACTCGAGGGTGGCCAACTGTCGGGTCACCTGAAGCGTCGAGACGACATGTGCAAACACTCGGCCTCTCTGGGCCTCAGCACTCGCATCACCAATAACCCTGTTCCAGGGATACACAACACAAGCACACACACTCTGGTCGGCGTGCCCGAGCGACACGCCCACCGGACGCCAAGACTGCCATAATTTTACCCCATGATTGCCCTCTCTTTCTTTCTTTTTTTTTTTTTTGTGGTGGTCAGCCCTTGGAAAAAAATCTAAATGCCGTGACCTCAGCCGCGATAGAAACACATCAATAAAAAAAGAAACAGCAACAAGAAATAAGTGTTCGACTCTAAAATCCACGGCTCAGTCCATCGGCGTTCTTATTCTGGTTCCCCTTTCTATATTTGACCTCGAAGTTATACTCCTGTAGTATGAGGCTCCATCTCAACAGCCTCCCGTTTTTATTGGACATTTGCTTCAGCCATGAAAGCGGGCAGTGGTCAGTCTCGACCGTGAATTTTGTGCCTTGAATATAGCATCCTAGTTTTGAATGGCCCACACAATGGACAAACATTCTTTCTCCGAGGCACTGAAAGCCTCTTCTCGGGAGTCAGCTTCCGACTGAGATAGAGCACCGGATGCTCTTCACCTCCCTCGTTAAGTTGGGCCAAGACGACACCTAGACCTCGGTTGCTGGCGTCGCATTGGAGAATGAATTCTCGGCTAAAGTCTGGCGCGACAAGCACGGGCCGAGAAGACAAAGCTTTCTTCAAGTTTTGGAAGGCCTCCTCCCTCTCGGTGCTCCAAGTTACCACTTCCGGTTCAGGTTTCGCAGGCTGTCGGTTAGCGTGCTGGCGAGCTCCGAATAATTTGGAATGTAGTGCTGGTAATAGCCTGTCATTCCTAGAAATGTTCGCACCTCCCTTTTGTTTACGGGTCTTGGGAAGTTGACTATCGCAGCTACTTTGGCTTTCATTGGTTCCCGTTTTCCCTGCCCTATGTCGTGTCCCAAATACGTGACACGGGCTTGGCCGAACTGACACTTCTCGGCTTTAATAGTCAGGCCCGCCCCTTTGATTCTTTCAAGCACCGTTCGTGTGTGCTGCAAATGAGACTCCCAATCATTAGAAAATACGGCCACGTCGTCTAGATATGGCACCGCAAATTCTTCTAGTCCTTCTAGCACCCGATCCATTAACCTTGAAAAACAGAAGGGTGCGTTTTTCAAACCAAAGGCCATGGTGACGGGCTGATAAACGCCAAAGGGTGTTACAAATGCTGCATACCGACTTGCTCGTTCAGTTAAGGGCACCTGCCAATATCCTCTCACTAATCTAGGGTTGAAATGAAGGTAGCCCGGCTTACCAGCTCCACCCTTTCCTCTATGTTAGGCAACGGGTACACCTGGTCTTTTGTGATCGCATTCAACCTGCGATAATCGACGCATGGCCGTGGTTCTTTCCCCGGCACCTCGACCAACATCAAAGGGGAGCAATAGTCACTATATGCTTCTTTGATCACGCCAAGGCGAAGCATCCTTTTAACTTCCGCCTTCATTAAGTCCAGCTGTCGCGGAGACACGCGGTACGCCTTCGAGCTAAAAGGGACCTCTGTAGTCAGCTCGATATCATGTTGTACCAAATGAGTCCTTCCGAGCCTTTCCCCAAAACATTCCAGATATCCTGAATAAGGCTCTTCAGATCCTCGACTTTAGCTGTACCCAACTCGTCTTTGTTAACTGCACACGCGATTATCTCTTCTACACTAGGGCCCGTGTTCCCAGGAAAACAAGGTACCTCTAGAGAAACCTCTTCTGAAACATTCATGGCGATGCTAACAATTGCTGCTCGCTCTAAAAATGGCTTCATTAGGTTTACGTGGTAGACCCTGTCCTCGCGTTTTCTTCCAGGTAATCTCACGGTGTAGTTTACTTCCGAAAGGCGACTGATAACCTCGGCAGGTCCATCCCAGTGGACTTCCAGTTTATTCTGGCGATTAGGCCTCAATATCATCACTTTGTCGCCCGGGTTGAATGATCGCGTCCTGGCATTTCTATCATAGTAGCGCTTTGAAGCGTCTCGCCTCGCCTCTAGGTTGCCCTTCACGATCTCACGACACTTATGTAATCTTTGCATTAGGTTCAACACATACTCGATCACACATTTAGGCCCCCGATCATCCTCCCACAGCTCGCGGACTAGCCTCAGCGGACCTCGAAGATTCCGGCCATACACCAGCTCTGCCGGTGCGAACCCGGTTCCCTCGTGTGGCACTGTGCGCAACGCAAATAGCGTGCCCGGTAAACAACCATCCCAATCACACTTCCTTTCATGGCAAACAGCTCTCAATACTTTTTTTAGGGTAGCATGCCATCTCTCCACACTGTTGCTTTGTGGGTGGTAAACCGAGCTATGCAAAATTTTAACGCCACATTTCTCGAGAAACATGGTCGTGAGAGCACTCGTGAAAACGGTTCCCTGATCCGATTGCATTTCGGCAGGGAAACCGAGGCGCGAAAATATAGAAAGCAACGCATCGACTACCTCGACCGAAGTTGCCTCCTGTAAGGGCACCGCCTCGGGGAACTTCGTTGCAGGACACAATAGTGTGAGAATGTATCTGTTCCCCGCACTTGTTTTCGGCAACGGCCCCACCAAATCTACAACAACTCTGCGGAAGGGCTCAGAAATAATGGGCACTTTTACCATCGGGGCCTTCCATTTGTCGTTAGACCTACCGGCTCTCTGGCAAGCGTCACAAGTCTTCACGAAATTCTGCACGTCCCTGAAAACACCCCGGCCAATAAAATTCCTGTAGCAATCTTTTCTTGGTTTTATTTATGCCCAGGTGTCCTGCCCATGAGTGATCGTGACAAAGACTGAGTAGGTCCTTGCGGTATGGTGATGGCACCACCAATTGATCGTAGCACTGCCCTCGCCTATCTCGGTATTTACGATATAGGATACCGTTCCTCCCTTCGAAAGAGATGTTTCTTGACGAAACACCTTCACTGTTTCCGTTGTTCATAACCGCTATACTAGGGTCAGTTTTCTGAGACAGCCGTAACGCTTCCCTGTCAACCCCTAGCATGCGCTCGTAGCTGTGCGAGATTGGGGCCAACACGGACCCCTGCAAACTATGATCTTTTCCTTTCGAAGGTTTCTTTCTTTTCTCAATTATCGGCTTCTTAATCTGACCATTTTCCGGATTTTCGGTCGGAGGAATAGGGATAAGTGCCTCGTCGGGCTTAACTTCTGCGGATTCAGTTGTTAACTCTTTCGCTTTGGCACCTTCCCCTTCCCCGTAACGCAGCTGCTGAGCCAATACGCGTGCTTTCGATCTCGTCAAAGCCATGACCTGGGCATCAGCAAAAGTGCACCCCCTGTCGTTGAGTAGTGACTCCGAGCTGTTCGAGAAAAGGTACGGGTAGCCCTCTGGTAGCCCACGGGAGACTGCTGCTACTGTCTCGATCGCTCCAAAAGGACCCCGAATGTGTACCTTTGCCATAGGTAAACACACTGAATCTTCGCTGACGGCCTGTCTTATCCACGCGCATTCGGATAAGTAGTCTTCACTTTTTACGTAGTTCGGATGGACTACGTCCATAGTGGCCGCGGAGTCTCTGAGTACCCTACACCTTTTGTCATTAACCATTAAATCTGTCGTGTAAGGTTTCAAAAGATCTAGGTTACTCGGGTGATCGCTTACGCAAGCAAACACTGGCCTACCTTTTGAGCAGTTTCGGGCAAAGTGACCTGTTTCGTTGCACTTGAAACATAGCGCCTTAGCTCGCGACTCTAACTCTTCTAAATGATTTCTGACCTCCTTTCTGTTCTTTTCCGGCTCTTTCAGCTTGCCTTCAGCACGCGCCGAATTTTGATTAGTTTCCTCTCGCTCTTTTGTTGCGCTTTGCGGTCCTCGAGTGTAAGCTTGGGGCCGTGGTGCAGGCCTTTGATAGTGATGTGCGCTGTTGATCGGGGTCCTGAAGCCTCGACTGGCCACGTACTCGTCGGCAAGCTGTGCTGCACTCCTAACAGACACACCTTCCTGCCTATCCTTGACCCACAGGCGCACGTTATCCGGCAGGGTGTCATAAAACTGCTCCAAACAAATTAGATCCCTCAGTTTACTTAAGTTATCCGCACCTGCTCCTTTCACCCACTCTGAAAAATTATCACTCAGGCTACACGCAAACTCAACAAAGCTTTCACCAGGCTTCTTTCTTTCCCGTCTAAATCTCCTCCGAAATTCCTCTGTGGAGAGCCTGTATTTTGCGAGTAATGTCGACTTCACTGAACTGTATACGCCTGCCTCGGCTGCGCTCAGTCTGGCCACGACCTGCGAGGCCTCACCCGGTAACAACGCAAGCAACCGCTCTGGCCAGGTGTCCTGGTGAAATGAATGTTTCTCACAGATCCGTTCAAAATTAATCAGGTAGAGACCAATGTCCTCGCCTGTTTGTACGGCTGAAGCAAACTCGTCATCTTCAGGTTCTCAGTATGCGGCGGCGCCGCATCTGCACTGCGTGCTAATCTCGCCTGCTCTAGCTTTATTCTCTCGAGCTAAATTTCGGCCTGTCTTTGTTCTCATCCTTTCCTGCCTTTCCTTCTCTTCCGCTCTTTCCCTCTTTTCTTCCTCCCTTTGTTTCTTCTCCTCACATATCTTTTCCCAGGCCTCGCTGAGCTCGTCCTCCTCGAAACCCCCTTCGATTATCGCACTGCGAATTTCGGGCTTCCTTAACCTGCTATTGATATCCAAGCTGAGCTCTACTGCTAACAGCAACAGCTCTTCTTTCTTTAACACTCCGATATCCATATCTTCACAAGAGCCAACCAATACTTCTGCAATATTCACCGCACACTTGTGGCGGCCCTTCAGAGCCAATTGCCCGATAGAACCCTGTTCTTATCGTCCGGCAAAACGTGATCGCTCAAGCACTCACCTAACCTCGAGCTGCCGAAGGCCGTGTCTCCCGGAGCCACGTTCCCAGGTCCGCCGATCCCAGATCGTCGGGTCTGCCTTCTGCTGCTCGTCCTTAGTTTCCGGTAGTCGTTACTGCGACGGTTGTGCCTCCCGGAGCCACGAAGTCTCGCTCTGCCGATCCCGGATCCGCAGAAGTCGATCTTCCGTCCGCAGCTACTTCCAACCTCGAGCTGGCGAAGGACGTGTCTCCCAGAGCCACGTTCACAGGACCGCCGATCCCAGATCGTCTGGTCTGCCTTCTGCTGCTCGTCCTTAGTTTCCTGGAGTCGTCCAAAACTTCATGCCGTTACTGTGACGGTTGTGCCTCCCGGAGCCACGAGGTCTCGTTCTGCTGATCCCGGATCCACAGAAGTCGATCTTCCGTCCGCAGTTTTCTGCATGCCTTTTCTTGATTCCACCGCTGCCATCCAGTTTGTAGCGTCGTCGGGGTAGATTGGGTGGGATGACCAAGATCAGGCAGGTCATGAAAGCAGGACGTCCATTTAGGAAACTTGAAAAAAAGGATTTATTTGCATTCAAAGAAAAGTTAACTGGTCATCGTTGTTCCCCCTTCTGCGCCCGCCGTCTCCTCCGTCCTTTTTATCCCTCTCGTTGCCGCCCCTCTCCCTCTATCTCGGTCCATCAGTCCACTTCACGAAAGGCAGGGGCGGCCCGCAGTCAGAGGGGGGGATCAAGGGGGTGAATCGTCCACCCGGAACCCGACTTCCCCTCAGCTCTATGCTCAGTTGTTCCGGGTGGACCCATCCCTCCAAGAAGCAGCGACGAATCTTTCGTTCCCCGAAACCGCCGCCGCATTCCGCAGGGGCCCAGCCGTGGCGCCAGCGCACCGTCCCGCGACACAATGGTCAGCCTCAACAGTCGCTGCGTTCGCGGAACTGAGTGGCGGCGACATCGCGCTCGCCTCGAAGACGTCACTGGCAGCGGGACGCAACACACCGTAGTTCGAAATCAAGGTAGTTTGTCCTATGAATTAAAATTACAAAAGCTTTGATTTCGGCATTGCCGCTTGCGCAATGATATCAGCGCTTGCCAGAGCATCAGACAAATCGATGAAAAAGAGTGCCCTAATTGTATCGCAGTGCCCATTTAAACACCTTTTGTTTTGCTATACACAATAATTCGATATATCAGTATTCTGCAACACAAAGGCTCCAAGCGGGAATATTACACCAGGAACACAGCTGCAGGACTTCCTTGCACAAAGCTGTTTAAAATTGTCATAGAAGTCATTTGATACCTCTAAAAAATTTGCATGTACGACCTTAGGCCTTGTCTGAGTCGGTTGTCTCCTGCTTCACGCTCTGACAAAAAAAAAAAAGAAAGCAAAAGCAGCATGCCAAAATAAAATGAAAAAAAATCACAGCATATCTACGAAGTGAATGATGTCCAGTAGGGCGAAGCTTCCGTCAGCCCGTCCGTGCTTCTGTCCGTCCGTCCGTTCTTGCTTTCATCCGTCCGTCAATCCATGCATCCATCCAACCATCCATCCATCTGTCCGTCTGCCAGTCTGTCTGTCAGTGCGTGTGTCCTGTCCCTGCATCCATCTAGTAAACACTCCAAGTACCGCCATCTCCCACCTCGCAACTCCTGTGGCACATACCCTCTCTAGAGCGGGTATGTGCTACCGGTGGGTGGTTACGTACATACACACATATATACAGAGGAGCGACAGAGCCACGCTGTATGGAGCTTTGCCCCAAAAACATTTGCAGTTTCGTGGGCAGCTCACACATTCAAGACATGCTCTCTAATGTGAGATTCTTCGTTTCCTGGGAAAGCTTGTCAGTGTCCTGTCTAACTACCCTGCCTCCAACTTCCACTGCACATCCCGTAATGATACTCGTCAGATTATCATTCATTGTATCTATGCTAAGGTTGGTTTCCTCACTAAGAGCCGAGTACTGTTTTGAAGTGAGACTCTGAATTCCTGTACTTTCCCTCTCAGTGCTAGCTCATTGATTGGCTTTTTGCGTATCAGTTTCTGTCGTTCCTTCCTCAAATCTAGGCGAATTCGAGACCGTACCATTCTATGGTCACTTCATCGTACCTTGCCAACCACTTCCACATCCTGCACGATGTCTGGGTGTGCACTCATTATAAAGTCTTCAAGTTGTAAAAGACTATGTCTTACTTAGGGCAGGTAATAACCGCAGAGCCGAACCCCGAGATTGAAGTAACTAGAAGAATAAGAATGGGGTGGAGCACATTTGGCAAGCACTCTCAAATTATGACAGGTAGATTGCCACTATCTCTCAAGAGGAAGGTATATAACAGCTGTATCTTGCCAGTACTTAGCTACGGAGCAGAAACCTGGAGACTTACAAAGAGGGTTCAGCTTAAATTGAGGACGACGCAGTGAGCAATGGAAAGAAAAATGGTAGGTGTAACCTTAAGAGACAAGAAGAGAGCAGAGTGGATCAGGGAACAAACGGGGGTTAAGGATATCATAGCTGAAATCAAGAAGAAGAAATGGACATGGGTCGGGCATGTAGCGTGTAGACTGGATTCCAAGAGAAAGCAAGCGGGTTGAGGGAAGACAGAAGGTTAGGTGGGCAGATGAGATTAAGAAGCTTGCGGGTATAAATTGGCAGCAGCAAGCACAGGACCGGGTTAACTGGCGGAACATAGGAGAGGCCTTTGTCCTGCAGTGGACGTAGTCAGGCTGATGATGATGATCTAATGTGACTCTTAATGGTAACACTATTTGGATTTAATTTCCACACTAAGCTACAATGTGCTTTCTTTCTAGCTATGTCAAGATGCCCTTAAGGACGGGTTCAAGAGGTAAGTTTCTCAGCGACGTCATTGCATTCCTTCACAGACACCTGAAACAAGCTCGGTCACAGATATAGACTAGGCTAAAGATGTCTATCTGAAGAAATAAATTGTTGCTAAGGAATCTTGGCTTAATCCTTATTTGTAGTGTCTACACATAAGAAAAAGTCCTTCTGAGTTTTACCGTCTCATGTGTGCACTATGTCAACTAAGTAGAGTTGTGCAAATAGCAAAATTTTGGGTGCAAAACGAATTCGAATATTGGAGTGAATCGAATCGAATCTTTCTTTTGAATATTTCTCGAACATTCTTAGAACATTTTTTCAAATAACTCAAAGCAAAATTGCAGAAATCATAGAGGATTTCCGAGCACAGCGATATTGCAAAAAAAAAAAAAACATGGAGAGGATTCCTGAGCAAATCATTATAAAATAGCAACATGAAAGTGTTTCTTTCGGCACGGTTGATAAATGCGCTGTCAGGGTGACTGTTTCATGGTTGTACCATTAAGAATGAGGCAATAGAGAGGCCGAATTGTATTTATGCACAGAAGGGATCAAAAGTTTCCAGGCACTATCTGATGTATTTCTATGGCAGCAAGGCCTAGGAACGTTTGACTCCCTCGTACATGATTTGGTGCAACCAAAGTGTTGCCGACTATCACTCGACACATGAAAGGCAGAGATGCTATTTCCTCAGTCCCTCCTTCTCTCTAAATTTCTGTGGAAGCCCATCTGCTGTGGCGGACAAGGGTGTGCCCTGTTCGAGTGCGGAGTTCTAAATCTCCCTCGTAGGCGTCAATATGTAAGAATATCTGAAATTTCGGAGGCTGAAAATTTTTGGCGTCTGATTTTTTTAGCTTCATGTCCAAATTTCAGGTGCAAGACAACATTAATTGAGCCCCCACCTCTGCCACATCTATCACCTCCATACTGGAAGCAGCATTTTCATGAGTCAATACGTTTGCCACCGTATAGTGAATCCTAAAAGGCAGCTTTGCCGTAATACGAGAGTCTGAAAGGGTCACTGTTGACTGTATTTGTTACGTTAGACGTTGACTGTATTTGTCTTTGAAATGTTCGAATAGTAAAATTCCAGTGCAAGTGAAATCGAATAGCAAGCACTATTAGAAAAAATATTCAAAATTTCAAATATTCGCACACTTCTACAATTAGGTACTCAGATCTGCAAACTTTAGCTCTGCAGTGAGGCTTCAAAGCTACTGCATAAGACAACATGATGATTAGACATAATGTGGAAATATATGAGCGCACAAGGTAGAAGGAAAAACCACTTGACAGGAAAGACGCTTCTACTTTGTGCGCTCATATATTTCCACATTATGTTGTACCAACTGGCCCAGCATTCCCCTTTATTGAATGATTAGACAAGCTCTCGCATGGGCATTCAAACTGCATAATATATAGATTTTTCAATGTGAGCTGCAAGTTAGGTTGTTGAATTGAGAATTCCACAAAAGTGAGAGAATATGTAACCTTTTGCCTGCCAGTAACAAAGTACCCATGTTTCATAAAAACAACATTAGTGCAAAACATGTAATTAAAACATGGAACTGTCACACTTGAATATGAAACTTGCAGTTCAAATCTAAAGAATCATGATACATTTAGAAGAACATTCAAGTACTGAAAAGATGCTAAATAATAAATTTCTGCTGGAGTCAACATTTGATGAAAGTACCTCTCAAAACAGACATGTCAGTCATTAAGGAAGGAAGGTTCTCCAGCAACCTTTCTTGTTAACGGACTTTTCATCGCTTGATGCATGAAACAAGGCTTTTAAAAAAACAATTGTTTGTCTGAACGCAATCAGGCTAACAAAGTGTTGCTTTCACAGCTTTAAGGTGAAAGTTGGCCGGAACCTTGCCGACGACAAGAGGCGGTTGCAAGTAGTCCGATCGACGATTGGCGACAAATGCAAGCTGGTGAGACCCACCATTATAGGCCTCAAGTATTGTGAGGGCTAATATAGGGAGATTACAGAAAGATAATTTCCAGAAATCTGAGCACTGCGCCATGTTGAGTTGCCCGGCAGAGTTTGAGAACATTATGAGCGATTTATTTTAGCAAGCCTGCTGTTTATCCCTAATGCTACTGAAGTTCACGTACCGACACTGTTCTGACATGGTACCTGGTTTCAAAAATAGTACGTGAAAGTGAGAAATTTGGCTAGAAGTGTTGGAACAATGGATGCACCGAGTGCAAATTTTAATTAATATTGTCAAGAGAAACATAATGCCAGAAGTGAAATTGTTACTTGTCGGTGTGACCATGTATTATAACAAAAGGCATGAAAGCACCGGCAGTTGCCTTGTTTAAATTTTTAGATGTGTTGATCCAAATTGATGCCTAATTAAGATACCTAGCATTCTAGACCATGGTTTCAGAATCTTATAAAAAGCTATGGCAGTGGTGTTGATGTATTTAAAAACAGCTGCAGCATCAGTAATGCTGAACAATGCCACACTGAGACAACTAACTTAGCAGCAACCTACAAATTAGAAGCAACTAGGAACAATAAATTTCATTTTGATTTACCGCTTACTCTGTGTTCAAATTTTGGTTAACACATGAGCGAGTGAAGTGGCACCGACAACGTCCTTTTTTGTGTGCCCGAGGCTTGCGATCGTGAGTAGCTTAAGCGGGAGATCTTCAGCTGTATGTCGTTCAGGAACAGCTACTGTGGGCTGAAAATAAAAAATATCTGAACCTCAAACAGTTGTTGTCATACAGATGGTAGATGCCAACCAGTACTGGGACGTCAAGGAAGCCATTTACTGGATGGAGGAGCTGTCCGGCTTTGGAATTCACTGGATCGAGGAGCCGACGTCGCCGGACGACATTCTTGGCCACGCCACAATCTCGAAGGTGAGCTGCCCGAGATGTCAAACATGGTGCAATATGATGCAGGAACAGCTACATTGCAGGTGGCACAGCATTCACCTTCTGCCCCCTGTGCAAGCATTTCATCTGAAAGCAATGCTAGTGTGTGTGTATTACATGAGGAAAGAGGATACCTGTCAAATCGTTGATGGAAGCTAATGGTGCCAAAGCGGTGCCTGTGCAATGAGAGTTTGCTACTGCAATGCTGATACTCTCATATCATAGTCATAACGCTTGAGGAGTGCTGCTGCATACGGCATTGAAGTCAAGCAATATTGTACCTCGACTATGCTAGACATGAGGCCTTTGGAAAGCCATTGGAATTTGCAGCTTGTTGTTTGACAATCTTTCCACTAGCAGCACAGAAGGAATGCCGGTGTTTGTGTGCTTGATGTCTGTAGTCAAAGGCTAGATGCTGCCCAGGCTTTGCTACAGAGCTGATCCAGTATAACATGACGATGCGACCACTTGGCATTAGTCGTTCTCGCAGCCAAATGCACCGCAAGTTGTCTGTCACGTCTCCGTGAGCCTTGTAACCTGCCACATGTGAGTCATTACAGATACATTTACGTATTGATGCATTATTGGTACCGTAACATCTCAATAGTGACAATGGCACAAAGACATCTCGAACATACGTGCAATCGCTGCTGCAACAAAGTGCCACGGAGGTATCTGATGTGAACCAATTCCTCACGTGCATTTGAAAAGCCCTAAAGAGCGTGCTGGAATCCTCTTTTACACTGTTACAAAAGGAAGTGATTGAACGAAAGCTCATTTATTTTTTTAGACTGAATGATACACACAGACGAGAAAGCTAAGGGAGGTATAAGGGTACATTCCCTGTACGTGTTAGCTATAGTTAAAACAACATAAGAGTGTTCAACACTTGCTGTTATGGCTGCGAGCGTCACTGGCAAACAGTGTCAGGATTGCACGAACATAAGTATCTAATACGGTGAACTGGAAGCGGGACCGTTGCTATACTCAATTGACAGAGCATTGAGCGTGCTACACGAAACTTGCACATTTGGTTCTCACATGCCGCAAGTTGACTTTTTTGTCCACATTAGTTCTTCTTAATTTATGTCATAATCACTACACTACAGCTAAACAAACAAGCAATCTCCCTTGTACCTTCCTTAACTTAATTGTCTGTTGGTCTCATTGGGTCTTTACACTTCTCCATCACCATCCTGTGCAACATGATGTGTACTATTAATTTCACCCTGTAGGCCCTTGCTCCCCTGGGCATTGGAGTCGCCACGGGTGAGCAGTGCCACAACCGAGTCATGTTCAAGCAGTTCCTGCAGTCCGGAGCCATGCAGTTCTGCCAAATCGACAGCTGCCGACTGGGAGGCGTCAACGAGATCCTCGCCGTCATTCTCATGGCAGCCAAGTGCAAGGGTGAGACCCACTTGGGCTTAGCTCACACACCCGGAACAATCAAGGAAATGAAATTAGGGGAGGGGTCTTAAGTTCTGTGGTGTTGGCAACCAGGAGGCATGTTGAGTTAATTGAGGTATACATTCTTTATATACAACCTTTTAGCATGGGGAAGTATTACTTGCGAGGAGCATTGTGTATTACGGGAGCTGTAACGCCTTTTTAAAAATATATTTTTACTTTGGTCAGCACTGTATTTTCTACATTCATGTCTTTCCCCGGCCAGGCAAGATTTAGCCAAACTCCAGACTTGATTATGTATACCTTTGTTTAGCAACTTAACCATAATGACAAGAACATCTAGCTCACGTGTACTAGAGATTACCTGTGAGCTGTTTTTAGCTTATGTAGGTTCTGACTCGAATAAGCCCGCACTGCACGACTGCATTTTCGCCTATTTCTCTAGTGAGTAAGTTTTGAAATTTGCGAAGTTCGTGTAGTCTTTTGCATATGTGCTAATTTGATGTTTTCCAAACACATTTTTCAAGCTTTTAGTGTACAAATCACGAACACCGCCTTACATGTTGTGAACCTGCACAGGGCAGTGCTCATGATAAACATTCAATATTTTGCCAGAAACACTTCACTAGTTCTCTTGTTTCTTCTATCAGTGCTGCATAAATACACAGCTTCAGTTACGCTATCGTTTTGAACAGATTGGCACTTGGTAAGAGCCATAAATAAGCATTCCACTTCATACAATGTGTACAAGTACACCGTCAATGCATTGATGTATCTACGGTCTATGAAAGGCCCATGAAAGCACAACCATGACATTCAGTGGCTGTTACTAAGTGCATGCCGTTCTTCATGTCCTACGCAGTGCCAGTTTGCCCGCATGCCGGCGGTGTGGGCCTCTGTGAACTAGTCCAACACTTGTCGTTCTGGGACTACATCGCAGTCTCGGGCACGAAGGACAACCGGTGAGTTTTTTTAGTGCCGCAAGGAACCGTGCGCTCACTTTTGCAAGCTGTGAGCAGTAGACTTTAAAAAAAAAAGGAAGAGTATCTAGGAAAAGTGTCTTGTGGCTCTACACAATATGCATCCATTTCGACTAATAGGCTGCTGAATGCACACACAACTTCCTAAAGCAGTGGTTCTCAAATTGGGGTCCGCGAAGCCATTTCTATGATCCGCGAAACCCTCACTCGCATTTTTGTTTAAGCGTGACTGTGCCATGTATTGATGAGCTGTACAAAATGAAGTGATATGGCATGTTTGATATGTGGGGTTTAACGTCCCAAAACCACTATATGATTATGAGAGACGCCGTAGTGGAGGGCTCCGGAAATTTCAACCACCTGGGGTTCTTTAACGTGCGCCCAAATCTGAGCACACGGGCCTACAACATTTCCGCCTCCATCGGGAATGCAGCCACCGCAGCTGGGATTTGAACCCGCGACCTGCGGGTCAGCAGCCGAGTACCTTAGCCACTAGACCACCACGGCGGGGCTATGTGTTTTTGGTAGCAATAAAAGGCACCTGTTTCATGCTCCAGTTGTGTTAATTTGTAACCACCTTCCCTTGTGCCCCCTTCGCTCCCCTCCGCTGCAAGGGGTCCCTCATCACTTGCACCCCGATACATCACATACATGGCTGAGAACCACTGCCCTAGAGAATCGAATAGCTGAGGAACTTGAAGGCCAGCACCCACATTGTATCTGTTACCAGATGATTTTGCGTGTGGTCAAGACAGGCACCTAGGCGATTTACACAAAATGGCCACATAAACCTCGGGACTTTGTCTTGGAGTATTGGAGCACGACGCCATCTTTAGGTGTAGAGATGGCACTGCGCCGCATTCAAAAAATACACTCGTTGAAATGTGGCACAATGCATTAACATTTCAGCTACAACTCGTGAACGGTGCAAAATGTATTGCTGCCTACTGCCAGCAGACATGCACTTTCATTTTACCATAAACTATAAGGACTCATTTCTCGAAGCATGTTTCTTGTTAATAAATAATACTACTAATAAAAATTAAGATTCTTGTTAAAGTAACTATTAACAAAGCTAGTTGCTGTAGCTTTAATGGTTCACTAATGTCACTGTGCAGGTTTGTATTGCAAGTTTTAGTGTGTGACCATTCAAGCAACCCAACTTACACCTTGCAGCCACAATGTAGTTAGTGCAGGAAATCTTTGGTGCAGGTATGTTTTCGTTGATGTGGATAACTTAGGATACCTCGTGTACCAATGGTGTCTAGTGCAAACTGCATTTTTTTTCTTTAGCTAGCAATAGGAAAGTTGTGCTAGCTTAGCACAAGTCTCTGAATGTGGCTAAGTCACATGAAAATGATTCAACGAATGAGTAATCACATGATATTGATTGCACATCTTGCATCCATAACCCCACAGCCAGTATTAAAAATTAGAGAGGAGACAATGCAGCCTTTCATGCACTCTTTTCGCATTTCTTTTTTTGCACTCTCCAGTGAAATCGAATACGTGAGTCACCTGCATGAGCACTTCAAGACCCCGGTTCACATACAGAATGGCTGCTACATGCCACCACAGGTATGAATTTTAAGTGCCACGTCTCTTAAGAACCTCTTAAGAAGATATTATAGCAGGGAAGCGCTTGTCTAAATACAGTAAACCTTGATTGATTAAATAATTTTGGATGAGAGAGACACAGCACCGACTAAATTAAAAATATATTCTTAAAAGAATGGTTTGATTTCCACAAGGAAATCTTGTTCACAATCGAAAGTAAAAAAATATATTCTTGAAGACATGTTTCTGTTTCCACATGGGAGCCTTGTTCACCGCCAAACTCTCGACATCATGGAATAATTTCGCTTGGAATATCTCTATTGTGGAAAACTTTTGTGTTCCTAGCTCAGCCAACTCTTATGGCTTCTCTCCTGTCAACAAAACCTCACTTCTAACAAAGCTCATCTTCTGTCTCAATGACTTGGTTGCAATGAGCGTTTACTGACAGGAAAGTCAGGGGAACCGCTTCATCTAATTATACCTAATTTGACGATCTTTGCTCCAATAAAGCTAAAATCAGCTGGCCGAAGTGCATCTTTATTCTTGAGGGTCGTCAAGACAAACGAAAGATGCTGAAAATTGCAAGGTCGAGAAACTCGCACGCCATGTTTTTAATTCTGTGACTAGCTAATATGAGAAGGTATTGTAAACTTTGTACGTGGCACCTGCTAAGATGTCCTGGAGCATACAAAAACTGATGTTACACACTGCATTGAAGTAAACTAATAATCTGCAAGAACGAATATCCTAAAAGCCTCATATATAACGTGAAGCTTTTTGTATCGGCCAAAACTCCAACACCTAGTTTGTCTGTTTCAAAGCTTTGCCAGATGCAAAGTACAGAACTGTCATACATGCACTGCTTTAGAGCAGGGTTACAGATTTGTGGTGCTTCAGTTTTCCACAACATTTGGCAATACTCATGAAAGGCAGGTGGTGTTAAATAAAAATTTCGTTTTTTTTTTAAAGCAGCTACAATTTACCTTCGATTCTCAAATGAAACAAAATTTTCTTCAGACAAGTTTAGCAGTTGCTTCAGAAAAGCATTTCTGCATTTCTCACAATCTGGCAAAGAATATTAAAGCTGGCATTGAACAAAAGCTTCCATCATTACTCTTCCTGAAGCAAAGATAGGCTCAGTGAACTACAGCCTTTTTAAATTGTTGTGCATCTATAAGACTTGAATAGTGCTTCCCCCCCCCCTCCCACTTTTTTTTCAGGTGCCGGGCTACGGTTGCGAAATGTGGGATTCATCTATCGCACAATACAGCTATCCAAATGGATCTTACTGGAGAAATTTCCCTAGGATACGCTAAAGGGGTGAGAGCAGTCCACAGACACTATGTAATGCTCTGAAGGGTTCAACTAAATAAAGGTGTGTCATTCAAGTGAACATGTTAAAAGGAACAGAGTCCATTTGTCAATCTTACTACCCACTACAATTTGCCGAGATGGCAACCAAGCGTAAAAATTAATCTCAACGAAGTACGACCAATGAACATCACTTAAGGTTCTGTGGAACACACTGCTTTTGGTGAATGATCAAACTCTAATTATTATTGTCAATTATTACCGTGACAGCAATTATACAAATACTCCACCCGTACTGGCAAAATATCCTGCTAACCTGTAACCTGCTTCAGGCACTAAAAGCACGTACAGTTGGCTTTCACCGCATACAACTTACAACACTGCTATGTCAAAAGTGAATTGCTTATATGTTAAGCAGTAGTGAAACGCTGCATCATAAATGGACTACTGTGTTAACAGCATTTAGCTTGCTGTGCTATGGGCATCTAAGATTTGGTCAGTGATTCACAAGACTGGCGTATAGCAGCAAAGCACTTGGATGTAGACCACCTAGTGGCAAGACAGCTATTTGGGCTAGTTGGTAACGGTGCATCTTGAATGAAAAAAAAGGGGACGCAGTACAAAGTGGAGGTGAAAGGAGCGAACGATGATACAGGTGCTCTCACGCAACTGGAAGTTTATTGAAGAGGCAACACATACATAGCTTACACATCAATCAGCCGCAAGAGTGCACCTGTGTCGTCGTTCTCTTCTCTTGTCCCTGTTTTGTACTGATCACCCCCCCCCCCCTTCTAGCATTTATGAATATCTAGTGTCTTTTAAGTACAATCACTAATTAACCAGTTCACAACCAGTTTTTTTCTTGTGACTGTCACATTTGGGCTGGGACTTGCTATAAGGTAAGATTCTTGATCAGCACATCAATACACGGCAAATAATTTCAGAAGCAAACGTCCACACTGTAAATTTGACATGTCTTTTGTCCAACTGCATCTCAACTAAACCTTCGCTATGCTAATCTACATTTTTTCCTGTGCCAAGGCTGCAGAAGTGAAAGAAGGCTTGGTGGCCCCACAAAGGAATGAGCAGGTTCACAAACATAAAATAAAAGACATATATTACAGTTTATTTCAGCATTTATGTATATTACAGCCCTCAAAACAGAAATGAGGCCACCGGAATGCTTCACAACAATAGAAATTCAATAACTGCTCATTTGTCTGAGCACCACGCGGACTAGGACGATGACCTAAACTGGTCAAATATGTAGTCGGGAACATAATTGAGCACCACCTGCACAAAAAATGAAACACAAAACAGAGTTTTAGAAACATGTAGGGGCACAGGAATACTATTAAAAAATTGAATTGGATAGTCACTATATTGCCACGCACGCTCATTTCTTTCTTTCTTTGTTACTGCCCCATTACACGTGTAACTGCTGCCTTGTGCAAAACACGGCCAAATGACAGAGAACCGTCCTGATGAGATTATGCCTGCAACATGAACATTAGTTTTTTTCTGGAACTTGCGTGACCACTAGCGACAATGCTGGAATTTACGATTGCACATGTATGCAAGCTGATGCGCTTCACCGCTTGACGAGTTATCGACGGTCGATACTCTCTTTGCCGATATCAATCAACAGCGCATATTGCTTAGACTGATATTTCATTTTAAGGACACAGGTTCACCCAAATAAAAAGTTTAGTCTTGAAAAAAACTGACTGCTGCCTTTGTCAGTCTTCATGGCCCTGAGATAATATGTAAATACAACAAACTTTCTGAACGCTCATGAAATATTTCAAAATGCCAAGTGCACTGAAATAAATGAGAAAATGGTGCAACATAACGATGAATTTCATCCTTGCTTGCATAGAACTTCGGAGCCTACATTGCGAAGCAGGCTACGTCTCTAGGGGAGCCACACTTGGCTAGCATATTACATACCAATTATTCACACTTTGAGAAAAACTCTGTCGATGTGAAGAATCGACTTATTTGCTCCTGACGCTTCAACTGCATCTTTAATGCAAATATTCCGTACCAGGAAGTGAATCTCATTTCATACTAATATGGCTGTTAACCCTTTGCGGTCTGTTGACGGGTAGCGCCTGACAAGGCAGCACGGCCTTAGCAGTCTGCTGTGGGGCACACCCCAACCAGGATCTTCGTGGTTTAAATTTCGCGGTTTTCCCACTGCAAATTGCACGCATTTTTTAAATACATGAAGCGCTTTCTCTTGAAGAGTAAGCAAGCTTTGTTCGTGTGCTTTATGTTGGCTCATTTAGCGAAAGCAAGGATGACTTTAGTGAGGAAAGAATTACGTGCCTCCACCAGACAGTGAATGACAGTGATTCGACAGAAGTGAGTGACCAAGATGACGACTCTAGTAGAACTCGCTGTTGGGCTAGCTGGTGCATGTCTTGATTAAAGTGCCCATGGTGTCTATATTTGTTTTTTTCTGCGTGTGGTTGTTCTTTCGGTGCGGCGTTGAATATTAATAAAGATGACGGCGATGGCGGTGATGACAACGCCTCCTTATTCTGCAAAACCTGAAGTAAAAACCCTGGCCTGCACCAAGGAGAATGCTTTGAGCGGTATGACACTCTGCCCAAATGTCGCTAAAAAGTATATATCCTGTGAGTTTTTCTTCCACAGTATGTGTTTTTCTTCGTGGCCCCCAGAAACTGGCAAAATAGCTTCGGACCGGTAGTGCCGGAAAGTTAGTAAAAAATTTGAACTGCGAAAGGTTAATTCTAATACGACTCATATTTGCTGGGACTCACTCCTCAATACTCCTGTCGCCTCACAACCCTTCGATACATGCATCCTACGCTCATATGTTTAAAATGAGTGCTATTGAGTATGAGAGTGAGTGTACTATCGTGTGAGCTTGTCGACCTGCAGCTATTGCGTTGCCATATTCGGTGCCACAGCACTGTAGTGACTGCACGGTAATTTTAGATGGAGAAAACTGCACTTTAGAGGGAGGGGGAGGAGTTGCGAATGAGGGAAAGGCAAAAAGGCTTATCGGAACTGAAACTTGTGGTCCAGTACTCTACAACAAGGGAAAAGGATGCAGGCAAGGAGAGAAATAAAAGGGGAGACAAAAATCAAGCGAGCAAGGGAAAAAAAAAAACAAAGAGGCCAGCGCAGACTGCAAAGCAAAAGCTGGAAAAGCAACCTTTCTAGAGCCCTTTTAAAGACTCCTGGAGCAACAACTACAAGCACACAAGCACGGAGCCAACTAAGTCATAAATGATCAAATTTTTTGTGTAGTGGGAAAGCATCTACAATGCCATTATTCGTCATTTTTCAAAAAAGCGTGGTTCCCGTTACAAACTTACACACTTGTAAATTATATGCACTTTGTTGATGCTGTGGCTGATGACGATGAAGAATTATGCCTGAGGCTTCTGTAATGGCTCGAAGCATTCAACGACCCACTCTCCATTCAATTCGCATTGTGTGATGTCTTGTTGATACTGCTACTGTTCCAAAATGCTTTATTACACATGTTGATAGATTGATATGTGTCTTTTAATGTCCCGAAACCACCATATGATTGCGAGAGACGCCGTAGTGGAGGGCTCCAGAAATTTCGACCACCTGGTGTTATAAATTAACGTGCACCCAAATCTGAGCACACGAGCCTACAAAATTCCCGCCTCCATCGAAAATGCAGCCGCCGCAGCCGGGATTCGATCCTGCAACCTGCGGGTCAGTAGCGGAGTACCTTAGCCACTAGACCACCGCGGCGGGGCTTATTATACATGTCAACGCAGTTTTCTACCCAATAAGAAGCCTGCACAGGGTCAGTTTGCAATAGGGTTTCAAGCACCGGAGTAGCTCCGTGGTAAAGTACGGGGCGGCCACGCAGAGGACCTTGGTTTGATTCCCATTCAGTCCTCAGTGTTTTTATTTAGTTAGCTTTTTTTTTCTTATTTTGTGCGATAGTGGTTACGAAATCGGCGGCGGCAAACAACTGTGGAGCCAGAATTGACTCTTGTTGTGATCCCATAACATCTTTCGCTGTAAAACATTGTTAGACGAGCAATAGCAGGCACAGCTATCTCAGGCAACCCACCTTGCGGGACACATTGCAATGACGGACAAGAATCTCCAGGTAGGCCAGGATATTTGTTGTCTCTATGGAGGCATCAGAGAACTTGGCGACGCTGCACGAAAAGGCAACAAATCTCACAAGAGCTCAACTTCTTCGTCGTTTCCGCAATAATTCGAAGTACAATGTCAAGTGGACAATACACACTGCGAACAAACAAGTTCTCTGTAACGTTCCTTCAGAAGACGCTAAATTTTAAGTTAATGTCAAGCCATAATGACTGGCTGGCTTAACCCCTTCACTGTTAATAATGAACACAGCTTGTCTTTGGTGCATCGTCCTCAAACCATTCTTGTTCTTGTTTTATTGTTGTTGATTAGCGAGTCACCAGCCCTTTTTTTCCTCAAGTATTTATCGGTAAACATTATTAACCTAATCTAACTTCTTGTGTGCCTAAATTTCTTTTTTCAGCAGTAATAACTTGCTTCGTAGAAGAGAAATACTCAGCTGACTGCTTTAAATAGATAACAAATGACTGCTTTAAATAGATAACTTTTTAAAATATCAGAATAGCCAAGGAGTTAAGCCCATTTGCAACTGCATCTTGCGTAACCTCCAGAACTTTACATACTTTGTGTGGATTACATTCCGTGTTCTTTTATTTGACAATTACGCTATTAAAACACTCTTGTGGCAAAGAAAGAGGGAAAAGAAAAACACTGAAGAGGTAGCTGATCTCAAAGACAAGCCACCTGGGCTATGTTGACATACCTTACGGAGCCCTCCTCGAGCAGGGAGCGAACATACTGTCCGAGGTAGGCCAGAAACTGGGTGACATTGTCCTGGTGAAACTGCTTCAGGAAGGTGAATGACCCCAGGACGAAAGGAAGGCCATCTATGGAGTCCACGCCCCTCTTGCTCAGCAGGCCACCTTGCAAGAGAGCCACCGAGTTCGTGAACAGAGTTTGCGATCAGATTAGTTTTGTATACGAATATGTTTTTTCTTTTTCTGGCAAGTTAGTTTTGCAGAAGCTGCAAGATGGGGAAGGCTTGCTTGTGTCAGAAAATAATTTTCACTTCACAGTTTGTAGCATGGAAGTAAGCAGAATTTCCGCACAAATTTCTGAGAAAGCGAGCTTCACAGATAAAAAAAAAGAACTAATCTCGATCAAAGGTTTTTGGCTATTTTTGGATGTAGGGTCACAGCCTGGGAAAGGCACTGGTCCCAGGTTTAAATCTCGAACCAAGAAAACTTTTCTTCAACTGGGAAGCTTCCTTTCTGAGATATTCTTGTGGATTTTCATTTAGCAGCAAGCTACAAACAAGTGGATCACAATTTCTTACCATTCACACACATTACTGACTGCCGTCTTAGTTATTTATTCAGTTGCAGTACTGAAAAACTAGTTTCGCAAGCTTTTCAGATGCATCTACTTGTTACCCAAAAATAAAATTTTGCCACAAATGCTTGAACTGAAACTAGGCTTTTCATGATGTCCAAAACCTTGTTGCTGTCTTTAAAAAACGTAAGCCAGGTTAGGAAAAACACAAATAAGTGTAAACCTGCCTACCTTGTGAGCTGACGTATGTGAACTTCGCCAAGTGTGTCACGGTGAACAACATCATGAACAATGGCAGATTTCCGATAGGCCTAGTTGTGACGTAAATCTGAGGAAAGCCACGAAAAGGAAGAGTTTTCATAAACAACAGTCTCAATTAACTTCAGTTATATGACAAAACACGAAAGAAATATTGTGAATCATAGGCAGCCTAGTCACGACTACAATTAAATCACTGCTGTAACCAACATGCTTGATTTATTAATACAGTCGACTTACAGTTACAGTCGAATAATGCAGTCGAAGTTTGAATTATCAGAAGTTTTCAGATAATTTTCAGAGTGTGGGTTTTTCGAGTCCGGGTGAGGTGACACCACACATTATAATTACGCATTAATTGTATCATCCTTAAAAATCTTTAAAGTGTTTTTAAGCTCTAATTGCATGAAGTGAACAGAAAGCAGAGGTGTAAAGTCTACAAGCATATTGGCCATTTACTGCTGATCAGACTTTTTAAAGAAATCGTGAATTGCCAACTGCTTCATTGCTATAAGTATGTGCCTTCAGCACGAAGCTCTCTATACCAGTTGAAAAGCATCACGGTTTATCATGCGCGTGCTTAGTTACAAATATTTGTTTACTAGCAAAGCCTTTTTCCTTGAAAACCAAGGATGCTTATTTTTCATTTTTGGACTGTTAGGGTTATATAAGCACTCAAGTTTTTAAATAGTAGAAGGGAAAGATGCAACAGCAGCTACAATAATAATAATAATAATAATAATAATAATAATAATAATAATAATAATAATAATAATAATAATAATAATAATAATAATAATAATAATAATAATAATCATATAACGATGATGATGATGAAGCACACTGTACTAGCACACATTGAAATGCACGCAGAAAGCAGCTTTGTTTTTGCCAGTAAAGTAGACTTTCATTAAACGAAACCTGAAGTGATCAGGAAAATATGTTTTATTTGATAAGAGCTCCGTTTACTGAGAAATGAACAGGGGTGCACCATATGAGTACAAAACCAATCACATAAGAGGCAGCTGTTCCATTTAAGCAGATTTCTGTTTAATGAGAGTCTACTGTAATTCATATTTATAACAGCTGCCATGAAACGGTAGCTTTGCATGGCTTGGCATGTATACAGACACTGGAAGAGCCAATAGAACCCGTAACAGACACCACTGTAAGGCAACAAACTTTACATGGTCACAGTCCGGTCACCCCAGTAACGAGAAGGGCGCTATGCTCACTTTGGAGATTGGCTGGTATAGGCCACACCAGTCGAGGTACGTGGCCAGTTCCATGAGCAGGGGGTTGTCCTCCTTGGGATATGGTTTGCTTGGGTCCCTGTGGTGAGCCTTGATCTCTGCTAGCACAGCGCTGAGATAATGCAACAAGAGAATGAATCAAGGGGAGTAACTACATTACTGGCATGGTGCAGTGTAACTGTAAAAGTAAAGACTTCTTAGTTACGCTCAAACCTCCTCATAACAAAGTTGCATCTTACAGAAAAATAAGTTTGTTATATCTGAAAATCCGTTATAAGGTAGATTCCTAACACTATATTTATTGCAAAAATATTTTTAGTGAACTTCATTATAACCAATATCTCGTTATATCTAGGTTCGTTATATCGATGTTTGAGTGTACTTCGTGTTCATTTAGATTGAGGTTTTTTGGTCTAACATTTGTTTCGCATTTCAACAATGAGATGCTAAATGTCCCATAATACAAGACAAAGCAAAACACATCATCTTCAGTAAAAAAGAAAACTGAAACTAACTCATTTGTAGTTTGCAGAGCAGAAACTAAATCTTTTGATTCAAACTTGGCCGTTGTGTAGAGTTCATGGGCAATAGCTTTGCGCAATATTTGCATCTGGCCGATCTGAAAAAGAAGAAAGCACATTGACTCGAGGGCTTAAAAAAAAAAAAAAACCTAAGAGGGTTGAAATATTTGTAGTTAATAATAAAAAATTACAGAGGCACTTAAGTCTCACTAAGTGCACTGAAAGCAAAAAGTACACCATACCAGCCCATGTGAAGTGCCCTGAAGCCCTTGCCACACGACGTTACATTCTTGCATGGTCATGTGACTAAGATGTCGTAACTCGGTCATGCGAGCTTGCAACTTAGCCATATCATGTGATCATATGACTGTATGACATAATGCAATTACTAGGTCATGCACTTAAAGTGAGTCAATAAAATTCTCAAAATGCGTGCCAATGCCCATGTCCACATCATCACTTGCTCAAACACATTTTCTTGCCATTTAATGTTAACGCTGACAGATGCCACATTTCGCTCTTCATGACACGTCAAATGTTTTTGCATTAATAGGAGAATGTACAGTACTCAAGGATTGCAACGGGACAACTCAGGGCTAAGTAATTAGCATACTTTCCTTTCACCGTTCTCAGCTGGGGTCAAATCGGCGAAATTTTGATTCTCAGCATGTAGATCAGAGCAAACATTATCTTCAGACCACATTCCTCGCGACATAACATGATTATCTCAAGTAATTTTACATACCAGTCGTTATATTAAAAGTCCTGATGTCACAAATAAACTTCATAAGTACTGTACAACTGCACTAGTATCTAGTCGATTTGTCTAGCGTAGTCCACCAAGCATCGATTCAAAGTCAGCAGAATGGGAAAGGACTGACCTTGAGCATGCTTTCGAGGAAGACTGACCACGTCTTGGAGACCTTGGTCAGGGCCGCACTGTACGTCCTACCCACGTTTTCTGCAATACAGATAATACATGGGCAATGTGTGAGCGACATCAAAAAGAATGAGCCTTTCAAAAAAACCTGTTATTTACACCGTTTATATGACATTTGCACCGCCTTCTTCATGCCAGCCTCAGCTGTACGACATCGGAAATGCTGGTTTCTTGTATTGCATGACTAAGGTGCTTTCCTCTTTTGAAATTTGGCCCCACTGAATTGTGGTTGTAATGGCAGTGCATTGAACCCATACCCTTGACCCTTGAGCAACACTCATCTGCTAAGCTTAGCTGCTAACCTACCATCATAGACAACCAGGGCACCCTCTTCTGCCTATGTAAATAATCACATGGGTCAAATAGGCGATACCGACTGACAGAGCACCGACACAAAGTCTTGGTGTTGTACTATAAACCGTGATACAACTTACGACAGTACACTTGCCTGAGTTTGCAAGCCAAGGCAATCCCAGTGTTACAAAAGAACCTGTAGTGAAGGACATTCAACATTCCAGAAAGCACGAGCCTTTTTCTTTAAACAGAACCGACACTTGAGCATAGATGCCTCGCACTCCGCAGCTAAAAGCCACAAAAACTGCACCAGCATGGCCAGTGCCGTTCTGACGTAGCGGCAGCACTTACGGACTATGCCGTCGACAGGCTGCAAGTTCTTGCTCATGTTGGCGAGCAGTTCCTGCCATGATTTGTCCTTGACCATGCCTTTTTCCAGGGACCGCAGCACGCCCTGCAGTTCTTTGACTATCATGAAGGACAGTAGCCGGTCCAGTCCCGTCAGTCCAGGCGTGCCTACGCTTTTCTGTTTTGGGCAAGCAAAAAAAAAAAATATCTTATTACACAGCGGAATTCCGATCATTTGAAATCTCTTTTACATGGAATCTACAAATACATCAAACTACATGGGCAATCTTCACCAAGTTAGATATATTTGAATATAGAAAGATCTACGGGCAATTCTGAGAAATCGACCTCCTGAGATCTCCTGAGAGTCTCGGAATCACTCAATGGTTACTTTGGACGAAACGTTTTGTGGCTACAAACTGCTTTTCAGAAAAATGAAATCTGGTTGTGTTGCTTCTTGAGTCATCGTGCCTCTTAAACTTCGCCCTCACAGCAACCGAGACTAGTGAGCTCATGGGGAATGGGAAAGGTACACATCACACACTCTATACTACTATTACTACTGTAACTACTACTACTATATTATTATTAATAACAAGAGTGAAACGGAGTTTAATATCCATGAATGATAACAATAGCATATGAGCAGCAACGGGACATTTTGAGTGTCAACACAAGCAGTATTTCAATCTGTTTTTATATCCATTATGATCCCTCACCTAATTGGCCATTTGACAATCCTTGTGCATTCTCAGTTTATATAGTTGCTTTGTCATATTTTAATCAGACATCTTCAATCTCAGTTGTGCATACACACTTCAACTTATGTCTCAGGGCCTTCGGTTTCATTGAGTTATGTCAAAATCATAATTTTGTGCCCTAGGATAGCATCAGAATTTATCTAGCACATATTTCCAGCTCAGGCCTTGCCCGAAACCTAACTAATTTGCAACCAATTGAAAAATAGCAAAAAGTTTATAGAAAATGAAAGAATTGTTATAAAAATAACTACATAACAGAAAATGTTAGCACGTCCCATGCGCCACGTGCCAATCACACAATCCAACGCACAAATTTATTTTGCCAATCAAACATGCAAAATACAAGTGCACAATGAACAAAGGCTGCAAAAGACATCTCTCTTACCCGAAGCAGGGCGAAGAGGCTAAGGTTGATCACTTCCACGTGGGACTTGGTGTCAAACCAAGCATTCGACTGGTCCACGTAGACCGTAGTCCTAGTTGTTGAAAGACCACCCTAATGTAGAACCTTCGCAAATGCTTGCGTCATCGAAAACAACACAAGGCCTACATTGCACTGAAGAAAACTCTTAAGTCCAGAATCAACATCTATGACTGTGATACGTGCATCACACGGGCACTTCTGAAAGGCCATTTGATTGATGGCCCTCAAAACGAAACTCTATTGACTCGATGGAGTTCTCGCGTTGCTACACGACCGTTTTGAACGGCCATCGAGTAGTTCAGGCGCTTCTCACAAAAACTGTGCGGTATTGCAGATCCTCATTTTCGTATTGCTGCCACCTAAAGTTAAATACATAATGTATGTATACTTAAAAACTGAAATATGCACGCTGATGTTATAAATGCACATTTAATGTTTAAGTTGTTAAGCAGCAAGACTGTGGCGAGCGATACACAAATAGCTCACTAATGATAAGCGCGTGGCTGTAGTTGAGAGTATGTGCAGTTCGCACATTTCATGGGGTAAAAATACTGTAATAAAGAATTCACAACACTCACTTTAACTGCTTTTAAAGCATATTGGTTAGATTCATTTTTTTTTAATCGTGTGTATGAGCACACTGTGAACAAGAGGGCGCATTCAAGCTATTTCCACATCCAACGCTCAATCAGCATCAAAGTTTGTTTTAATAAAGTTGTGGGGTGCTCCCTTGACTCAATTTGGTTCGATGGCCTTCCAAACTCCCATGCGACCCGAGTATAAGACGAGCTGCAGCTTCTTGCTACGCTAGCAGAAGGTTTTGTTTGTTTGTTTGTTTGTTTGTAGTTCCACTGTGCTGATGACAATCACTACTTGGTTACAGTGCAGTAGCAAGCAATCATAATTGGCTGGCTTGTTTGCACTTAAGTCGTACATAAGCCATACTTAAGTCACACACACTGTAATCAAGTCATACTTGAGTCATATGCAAGTGATTCTTAACACTTTCATGGTCAATGAGGTACATGTATGTCACGGCATGTGTTCAAGTCATATGTGAGTTGCGTGTAAGTCATATGTATGTGATACGTAAGTAATAAGTAAACCACAGGTAAGCCATATGTAAGCCACTCATAAAAAATCATATGCAAGACAGTCATACATAAGTAACATATAAGTTACACATAAGTAGTACATAACTTCTACATAAGCTAAACATAAGACATGTGTAATTAAACTAACTACAGTTAGGCTAGCAATTAGGCTAGGACTCGCTTGCTGGATTTTGTGCCGACCGGTTGTGCCCCCGCGATCTCCGATGACAGCGCAGATCTGGCTGACTGGCTCTCGCCCTACGCCATCTCCTGACGCCGACAAGAGCTCTCGCCGAGTGGTGCCCTGTCATCGGACTCCTGCAACCGTGTCCATCTTTCCTAACTTCTCCTTATTTCCATGTGTGGCTGTCCCTGCACCTCGCTCTCTCCTTCCACTCCCTCTACCTCTATACCTCTTAATCATATCGTTTTAATCCCTCTTTACCCCCACCCCTCGTGAGTTACTGTTGAGGTGTTCCCCCCCCCACTGAGAGCCAGTTATGGGGCTCACTTTTCTCTTAGTTTCATTTCAAATCACTTCCCCCCCAATTAAGCTAGCAGTTAGACAGTTAATTTAGTTACATTTAGTTAGGTATACTGGCATTATAATATTTCATTGAGAAAATTTCTATTTATTCCAGAAATGTCAAATTTAAGGTGCAACAGAAGCACCTATTATGGGTGAGTCTTAAAGTATCTTTCCGAATCGAAAACAACACAAACGTGAATATTGGGTGAAATACTCACTTTGGGTCAGTAACGCGCAGCACCTCGCGTGCTAGCCTGCCAATGAAGTTGACCGACGCTTGGTCCAACGGAGGGAATGTTGGAATTGGTATGGCGCGTGACTGGTACACGCTCTGCCAGTCTTGAACCTGCAATAACACTATCATTAACCTTTAACACTAGTGAACACTAGTGAAGAGAAGTTTAACACTTGTGAAGAGAAGCAACATCTTATAATACGAAAGAGACAAACAGAAAGGTTGTGTCATGAAACCATCAAATCACTGTCTGCCCCACAAGCCCGCCAAGTTCTGGTGGTCTAATCTGCTGTAGATACACCTACTGTAGATACACCTACTACTATATGTATAGCCAGCGATAAATTTTATTACAATAAAAAGCCACAAACAGTTAACAATCCTTTCTGCCATCAGATAATTGTTATAACTTATAAGTATATCTATGGTAACTAAAAAAAGACGAAAAAGCCCCGCAAATTTTACATTTCTATTAATACATTTGATAACTTGTTATATTGAAGTTAACTTGGATTTGCATTACCGAGCATATCCATGGTACCTAAACAAAGGCGATGAAAAAAGCCCCCACAATTTTACATTTCCATTGATAGATTTGACAACATGTTACATTGAAGTAAACTTAAATTTGCATTACTGAGGCAGCAATTCTAAGGGCACTCTAAAAGTGCTTCTGGCGTTGGTGTAACTTATTGGTTATGGGTAGCAAAAGGGAATGCAGATGAACAGTCCTCGGTGCACCATGCTCAGTGTTTCCCTATGTCCCACATCACATGCGACGCAGCAGAATTGGTTCGTGAATGCAACGGAGAAAACATGCCACGAAACACTGGCAGCAGCATACCCGATTGTAACACCAGAGGAGTAGAGAAAACAAACACATCCGCGTGCCTCTCATTTCGAGAACAGGGCAGGCCGAACAGCTGTCTCCCAAGCATGAAATGACCATACATAACTGTAATAACATGCCACATTGTCTTATTAATTACCAGACAAAGTGTTTATCTCCTCCAGTAATTAGAAAGTGAAGCACTTGGTCCAGTTGTACACCTAAGCAGGACAACTGGTACAAGCGCTTCACTTTCACATTCATCTAGCACTGGCTTATGATTAATTTCAAGGGAAAAGACAAGTACTATAAAGAATATTGAATGCAGTAGAAAAATACGCTTTTGTGCAAGCCTGAAGACCTTTCTTCTTTTTTTATCTCTCTCTCTCTCTCTTTTTTTTTTTTCAAGAATGAAATCAACCCAAAGGAACCTCTTTGACGTGGCACATGCCTTTTGTCGAAGAAAAGCATTGCACTCCTGCTCGACGTTGTAGCTGACGATGCGAGACACCTCTTCCTGCCAAACGCGTAGTCCGTAGATGCTCACATAGTCCTGGATGTACTCGAATGACCGGTAGTAGCCGTCCATCACTTTGCCCAAGGCAGTCAGCTTAGGCACAATCTCACTGGGCTGCGGAAATGGTAAGTGACTGGATAAGAGGACTGCTATTTGGTGACTAATGTAGTGCCCAGGACGGCAGTACAGGCTAGTGGATATCGTACAACAGGACACCGATCGCTGTTCTGAAAGCATGCTTCTGGTCAACAACAACAACAAGTTGCTACAACCAATGTGGAGAAAACAACAGTCATAACTAATGTGACAATGAGAGGTGACCACACGGTAGTCAAACTGCTACGTAGCTAATGTGCACCAAGTCAAAATAAAATGAAGCTACCATTAACCTTGATCTTAAGCTTGCCAGACAAAACTGCACTAACCATTCATGCAATTATAGATAAAAACCATGCAGTCTTGATGAAACATAGCCAATGCAGTGTCATAAGTGGCGGTAAATGCCATAATGCACATGCACAGACGCAAAAAATTCTTAACTATTGTTTCTGTACAGTTTCGGTTGATCACTAAGGATGACGACTCGTTAGTGTAATTTGCTTCTACTCCTTACTGGTTGGTGTTTTATGCTTTGTATTAATACTTACGAGAAATTGCAGTACCTTCCCTTTCACGTGAAAATGAACTCCTTTCGTTACACTATCCTCACATACCAAATGACAGTATACTACGATTCTACAGTGAGTGACGGCTGCTATGATGGTCCTTAACTTTGAAACTTCTGCTGTATCACTAACTAGGATTGCGCTTTTTCAACCATTGGTGCTACTACAGGGCGTGTGTGCATGCAAGCACACACACACACCTTGGCCCTGGGGTTGAAGACGAGTCCGTTGTGCAGAGCACGCATGACCTGGCTGACCAGCTCCCTGCGGATGCCGTCTTCAAGAAGCTGCTTGGGGTCGATCTGGACGATGCCCACTAGTGTCTTCTTCATCATCAGGATGCCCTCGGTGAAAACCGAGATGGAGTGTGTCAACTTGGCCACCTGACCGAGAAAGACGAGAGAAAGGGCAGGTGTTGAAAACGGATATAGAAACTGCTCGTTCGTCCCGACCAGTTGCTATTGATAATTTCTGTGTTCACAGTTACCATTTATGGCCACTGCAATCAAGGCGGTAATTGGGGCTTGTTGCTTGGAATTTCCTATGCTCTATCACTCTTGTTTTGCTTTAGTTGGTTGTGATACTTTCACTTTGTCACAGGTAGAGCTTGAATATTTAGATGCATATCTTGCTCATGCAATGTGGTGGCACGCAAAGCGCGCGAAAAAAGAGCCCCTCGTAGTGCGATGTTGTGAGTGCGTGCCTGTCCAATGGGTTATTGTATGTTTCCTTGCAGTAAAGTCATCTGAAGTTTTGTGTCCATCCTACCTATGTGTCCTCCCTTGCGTCTCCGCCAAATTTTTTTTTCCGCTACTGAAATTGATGCCAGTATTACAGTTGAACCCCTTTGTAAGACACATGAATCGGGCAGCAATTCTTGTCTTTTATATGACATGTTGCTTATAAGCAGGGTACCAAGTATGCACTATCTTATGAACCCGCATTTCACTGTAGGCACTCTGGTGTCTCTTATACTCATTTGTCGCTTAAATAAGTGTCTTTTATAAATGGGTTCGACTGTACTACCAATACACAACCCCAGAAGCTGTGTATCAAATCTACAACCTTGTGCTGAGCAGCAGTATGGCTACTGAACCACACTGACAGGTGAGTAGCAGGACTCAACTTTAAGAGGCTGCCTACATTGAAACTTTGAACTCAAGACGATCGTGCTGTTTGATACTCCTGCATGTGCAGATACCAGGCTTTTGACTGCCCAACCGAGGCAAGTGCTTGCCTTGACCCATTCATATTAATGTGGCTTTAACCAAGGTATGTCGGAGTGCTAATATAAGCTGGCAGCACCACACGACACCACTATCAATATCGCGCGCTTAGTGGCTGCCCAAGCATTCTTTTGACACTTTGCCGATTCTTTAAGCATGACCCATGCCATAGATATAAAAGTTTGCAATGGGCATGATTGGACAGTGCAAACACTTCTTCCTTAATCTGCTATCTGGTTGCTCACACTCATGCATGCTCTACTGTTTTCATCTGAATACACCGCCAAATAAACATTGGGTGGGAGGTTCAGCAGTGCCCAACGCTCTGTACTACCTAGAGAGATGGCACTATGGCTGCACTATTATTTCAGTCCTTCTCCAATGCAAGGCCCTGGTTTACCAAGTGTACTATTCAATGTAAACAAATATTTAGAACACATGATCTGATGCGTATGCTCACTTAATAATAATAACTGTCGAGGTTTAATGTCCCAAAACCATGATACTATTATTAGAGATGCCGTAGAGCAGGGCTCCAGAAATTTCACCCCACCGGGGTTCTTAAACGTGCACTTAAACCTAAGCACAGTGGGCCTCTGCATGTTGCTTCTGTCGAAATGCAGCTACCACGGCTGGGATTTGAAACCTACTGATTTTCGCGTCAGCGGACAAGCTTTTTAAGCACCAGACCACTGCAGCAAGCGTGTACGCTCAGTCATAACTTCCACTGTAAGACGCCAGATATATACAAATTTGTGCGCATGTTGTGAAGTGACAATAGCGCTGGTTGGGGATGATGACATCAGCTTTGATTCTACGTCATGCTGGATCATTTACGGTTATGTCCTGTCATTATCACACGGGTGAAACAGTTGAAGCGTAACTGACCGAAAACGATAGCTTGGCTGTAAATGGTATTTCAGTACGTGTGTTTCAGAAAGCTCACCTCGTAGCGCTGGTCCAGCTGAGCATAGACTTTGAGCTGGTCCTTCATGAGGCGGGTGGGCACCTCCTTGATGGCCGTTGTCTGCAGCTCCACAATTCGGGCGAGGACGCCAAACATAGTCTCCGGAATGATGTGCAGCACCTTGCGGACGTAGTTGACCAGCTCGGTGGAGTAGTACTGGGACACCGACACCAGGTCCGGGCTGTTGGCCTGGTTGATTCGCAGAAGCGGCAAGTCCAGGGCAGTGGCCAGCTGCAAAAGAGGACAGTGCTAAAGCTCCATATGCCTAATATAAAATAAAATTAACTAGTACTGGGTGTTTTCATGACAAAACCAAGATGCCCTTCTAAGGCACACAAAGTCTGGGTACTAGGGATAACATTTGACCACCTAGGGCTCTTAAATGTGCTGCTCAATATGAGTAACACCGATGTTTTTGCATATTGTGCCTATCTAAATATGGCTACCGTGGCTACCCTCATGCTTAACATGCCCAGTCAGGATTACAACTCGCTTGTCTGTGCGACAGGTGTCAGGTCAAGGTACTAATTTGGCTTAGCTCTTCACTATGTTTACAGGAATTTGCTTCTGAAAATGCTATAAAGAGATGAAGACACAAACAACGTCTGTTTCTTTTGTTCCATCTATTTTAAAAGCATGCCCCCCTTTTTTTGTATCTTACTTCATCGAATAGGTGCACTTTTTTTCCCCTCCCAACGAAACAACGGGATCAGAACACAGCATACATAACAGTATGCTAAGTATGCAGTAGTGGCAGACTTCAGAGTGTGAGGGCTATGACATCCTGACAGCTGCACACACATGCTACATAAGCAACCTTGCAACTTTCGTTTTAGTATTAGTTCTCGTTCTATTAATTATCCATCAGGCATTACCTTTAGAAAGGTGGCCCGCAGTTTGATAACCATGGATGGGTCACTCTTGATTCCCTTCTGCATGAATGGTGTGTAACTGCAAATAGAAGGCAACCATGATTACCTTGTTTTTCTAGCCACTTAAAAATCCCATTAATTCTACATTAGAACTTTGTCCTCAATACTGTGAACGTTTATTAGTTCAGCTCAGGCTAACTTGATTTTAAGGTTTGACCAGATCTCCACTCCAAAGGCCCCGCTGAAGCCCACACATTCAGAAGGTCAAAACTTCCCCTACTTTTAAATCCTGAACTTTGCCTGACCTGATGATCCAAACTTCATTTTGTTTGACATGCACGCATAGACCACAATGGTGACCATAACAGCGACAAATTCTGTTATGGCAATGCTTATCATTTCCCACTGAATGCAAGAATTTCTGGCCTGGCCTGAGAAGGTGTTTATGGGGTGACGGTAGGTCACAACAAATACTATTTACAATGTTTACAGAGTTATAATGGGTGCATTTTTTTTTAGTCAAAATAATTACACTCAACTGCTTTTGCATCATAAGATAGTGACAGAAGAAGTTTGCACATAGCTTGATAAACACAATAAGACACTCCAAGTCTGTTTCACAGAGGCATGTTCGAGAGATAAGTTATTTCACATGATAAAACTACAACAATACAATGGCACTTCTTAGGTTCTGGTGAATAGGAATTAATGATAACATTCTTTAACGTAAGCCACCAATGTCCACTCATCGTGCTCGCCAGTCAACGTATCGAGAAAAACACCAACTAATCAGTAGTAAAATGTTACCTGCAGCCACTAGATTATGTTTACCATATGAAAAATGATTATGGTCCAGTGGAAAGTCACCAGCAAGGACCAACAGGCCCTTGTCCAATTGTGGAAGCCGTATATCAGTAAAATGTAAAACTAATGGCCTGCGAAGCCCGAACAGATGCAACTGATCTCTTAGGTGTACTTGCTTCTTGGTGCACATAAAGTCAATGTTCTGCCTAAAAAAGTGAATAAACAAGTAAAGGTTATGTAGGGCAGGGGTAGAAAATGTGCGCTTGACAGGGAGGCATCACCTGTCGATGATCTCCCAAGCGTAGGAGAGGTCGGCAATGACTTCGAGGGTGACGAGCACTTCTTCCTTAACGTTAATGATGCGGAGCATGCTGTGGAGGTACTGGCGAGTCTCGGTCAGAAACTGCTTCACCTGAAGGTTGCTCTCCAGCTCGTGGAATTGCTCAACCTGTGTACAATACAGGAAGTGTCACTGAGCTCCAAATTTTTATTCCATTACTTTTTTTTTCTTTTCAAAGTTCTAAAAGCACTGTTAACTATTTGGAGGATAGCCAAAGCAAAAGGAAGATATGAAGACAACCACATAGAAGGTAGAAAACAGTACAGATTAAAACAGACATGTTTCGATGTACCGGCATAACTGTAATGCTTGGCCTGTACAAACGAATTAGGGCAATGAAAAGCTGATCACATACACATCCAACTCACTACACTTCAGGCACACTCAGAGGTATGCACAAATAAAAATCAATGTACGTTGCAATCATTCAATGCACTTATGTGATACCTTTTGAAAAGCTTCAAGCACTTCTCACCACAAAGATGAAATTACAACAATGCAGCAGCGTTTTAAAACTGACATTTTAATCTTATGCCTATGCCCAGCATATTACCGAAATTAGATTATTAGGTTATACATGCAAAAACCAAGATATATTTAGCAGGTGCATCATAGTACGAGACTCAGATCAATCTTTACAACCAAGGTTTTTTTAACATATATTGAAATCTAAGTACACAGGTGTTTTGAATTTTAATCCTTATAAAAATGCAGCTGTGATGCCTTGACTGGCGCCCTCACGCTTGGAGTAGCTGTCACCAGAGCTACTATCACAGCTATTGCCCTAGCAGTGACCGTAGCCATTAAGCCACAGCCGCAAATATTATCCAGAGTATATAAAGCATATTAATCTAACGGTTATATATTTGGTCAGCATGCGTGCAGCACCTCTTCCAAGGCTTGGATAAGCTGGACGATTTTGCGGCCAGTGGCTGTCGTGTCTTCGTAACTGAGCGAATCAATTTGCTTGCTCATCTCCAAGAACCAGGCCTGCAGGTTAGCTGCAAGTCACAGACAAATGCAAGTCAAGTCACAATCTACACTTCAACATGATTAACAGCGGTAAGAAGCATTGGCTCATAAAGCCATAAACTGTGGCTTCGAAACATCTCACTTTGTCTACAATGACACAAAATCGCTTGTAAACTTGTGATGATGAAGCAAACAACTGAGACGAAGGAAAGACGAATGAAACTTAGTGTGCTTGAATTCACAGTTGTTCTGGAGTTATGTCGTCCATACGGTAATGAGCTACTTTAATGGACAAACTGTAAATGGTTTTGGATGGTGCTTGGGGCTCATGCTATACCAATTGTTTGAGTTGCTAAGATTTTTGATGTCACCAGCAAGCTAGCTTGGATTATAGGGTGGCTTTTCAGAAAAAGTGTTAGTCCTTTGTTAGGCTGCTAAAACAAAGAATAGCGCCTTAGCTGCAGAGCGTCCTTTTCAAGGAAAATAATAAAAATAATAATAACAATAATAATAATAATAACGATCACCACGATGATGATGATGATGATGATGATGATGAAACGTACTGTACTAGCACACATTGAAATGCAAGTGCCTGATCAGAATTTCAGACATTAACAAGTGTGATATGTGATCACACTATAGCTGAATTAGAATCAAAGATTAGTCCCAAGTGCATATTCTGGAGTCTGAAGTGAGCCACAGCTACAGATGAAGGTGGATCTGTAATTCGAACAATGCCGTTGGAGTAGTTTTGGAATCAATTGCACCTGAGCATTAGCTCGCACTAGCAACAGCCAAGTCACATCACTGAAGCACAAGGTAGGCTATATATAGGACTATTTTCCATAAGACATGTAGGTGACACCATCTTGAGCTGCCTAAGCCATTGTTTTCTTGTTTTGTATATTGCGACTGTGAATTATAAGGCCATGAAACATTGCATGCACCAACCCAACTGTTTTTCATGTGTATGCATCTATTGTAATACTCTTCATATAGTTGTTGCAGATGGAAAACACAAACTGCCCACATATGGCGGAACTCACACCCATTTGTAAAATAGTCTATATGACCTACGAGAAAACCTACTGAAGTGGCCCTTCAGACTCTGCGATAAAGTAAGCAACGCATAGAACACTGACCGTTCTTCACAACGCGGGTGAGGGGCTTGGTGCCCGAATAGACCTCGGACAGCTCCTTGAGGTGCTCCATGCTCTCCTTCTTCATCGAGTTCCACTTGTCCTGCTTCACAGACAGCAAGTGCTGGAACAACTGTGGAGCGAAGAACACATTTCTAGCTAGTTGGTTATTCAGACCGAAGCGAAACAGCGTGTACTGACGAGAACAAACAGACAGAAGGAAAGATACACACACAGGCACCGACTTACAACTGAAGTTTTATTGCTCATACAAAGCGAAAATAAACAGCGCGTGCCAACAACAACAACAAAAAAAAAACAAGAAGGGGGGCACAGCAAAAGAAGCAAGGCTTAATAGAACACTCCAAGCAGTTAACCAGTTAGCCAAGTGGAACCGCAATTATCTATCCACCATTAGGAAGCCTAGGTCTTCATCTAAAAGGGCTGTTGATAGGGTGCTGACGCAGCTGTCCTGTAGGTTCACAATACTTTTGGGCTTCTATCAATTTTTGGGTCATTTTATGTAGTTGTGATATAGTTAAGTACATTGCCAATTTTGTTGACTTCAATACATTGAGCTTCCATCGTTGAAAAGACTGTAAAGTATTAATCTCAAACACAGGTAAGCCTTTAAAATAACCTGGCTAATGCAGTGAACAGAGCAGGATATAATGAAGCATTTGCACACACTGAGGTGGATTTCGGGCAGTGATGAAGCAGATACTTAGGGCTTCCAAAGGGTGCGGTCTTTCCTGCTTCATGTTCACCGACATGCAAGTGGTTAGTATTGGCATACTACTGCTTATCAAAAGAGTTTATTATAAGCTATCTCGAACTAACATTAGTCGGAAGTAATTTCGGACCAGTCGCATATACAGACCTCCTTGAGTTTCAGCTCGAACTGGGCAGTGTGCAGTAGGAGCTGGAACACAGTGAGCGGCTGGTACTTGCTGTCCTGATGGACCTGGTCGCGCAGCTGGCGGCAACGCTTGTTCAGCTCCCCGCCGACAATGAAACCTGGACAATATTGTCACGTATTGCAAGAGAGTCACACAAACAGTTGTTTTATCTAAGGGCGAACTTGTGCCCAGAAAAATAGGTGAAACAAATGAGTCTGCTAAAACGTTCCACACGAATGTCTCTTTCAAACACCTCCCTGATAACCAGCAGATTAAGCCACTGTCACAAGCCCGAGCGTGAGGAGCATGTCTCGCGGCGCTGCAGAAAGCGCGTGCAAGCGTGCAACACTGTGGACACTTGCATAGCGGCTCGGTAGTTCTCCTGGTAGAAACCTCATTGAAAGCAGCTTCTGCGGCAATATTTCACGAGTTAAAAAGGTCGAAACGAAGAGCTAAACTGTGAGAAAGGCCAAAAAACACATTGTCGATACATCGAGTTCTTTCGTATCATGCTTCGCTGTGCAGCTTAGCAGTGAACGTGTTGCACTGCTAAGCTCGAAGACGCGAGTTTGATTTCCAACTAACTGTGAATACGACATGCAGGAACACATAAACACTCCACTTCGTCAAAATTAACCTGGAGTCCCCCACAACGGCGAGCTTCATATTCGTTGATTGATTGATTTGTGGGGTTTAACGTCCTAAAACCACCATTTGATTATGAGAGACGCCGTAGTGGAGGGCTCCGGAAATTTTGACCACCTGGGGTTCTTTAACGTGCACCCAAATCTGAGTACACGGGCCTACAACATTTCCGCCTCCATTGTGCTTCATATTCGTATACACTCAAACGTCAACATAACGAACCTTGATATAACAAAATATCGGTTATAAAGAAGTAAATGAGTAATAGTCTTGTAATAGATACAGTGCTAGGAATATACCTTTATAAAGAATTTTCGGTTATAAAGAGCCTATTTTTTCTTAAGATGCAACTTTGTGATAATGAGGTTTAAGTGTAGTGCTTTCAAGCACATTTTCAAACTCATTCTCGTGTTTGCTTAGCACATCCAGGGCAGCGACAATCTGAAACACACCAGGCAGGAATGTTGTGGGAATGATGTGTCAGAAAGTGATTCTAATACACAAGTGTTTCCGAACTGTTTGCAAGGTCCGGATGCTCAAATTGTTATACGCGGAAAAACATGCAAGTAAGGAATGTGTAGGTGGGGTTCTGATGTACCAATTCAGAGCCAATTCAGCATGCACAATAGCTTAGTCTGATAATTTAGGCAATATAAAATTTATTACAGCTGAGCTTTCACGGACCCTTTTCATAACTGGCAAGTGCACTTTTCTGCCCGGCATATTTTAACAGCTAATGGCAGCACCTGTTCTCCACGTTGTTGCACAAGCAAACTGAACTTGAACAGGCTATTTGAGCTAAGTGACAAGCCGCCATTAGTTGTTCAAGCCGCATAGCAGGAAAGCTAACTTTATGAACTTCGAAAAGGGTCTATTAGGAAACAATTACTGTGAAGAGCTGCTTCACAGAGATAGTAAAGTGTCTGCCGAGATGAAACTGCGCGTGCGCTCCGCGGTGAGTCCACACTCACCCTGAGAGAGGTTGACAGTGTGGAGCAGCATCCATCGGAGGGTGACGTTGCACTCACGCACAGTGTTGAGCAGCTTGGGGACGTTGTCGAGCACAAAGTCTTCCTCGAGCGCCCCTTCCTTGAGCAGCTGCTGCAGCCTCGGAATCAGCTTGGTGATGCGGTTATGGTACTTCTGAGCCTGGGAAGAAATTCGAAATTAACAGGACTAAGTACACTGAAGTCTTGACGATTCAGACAACCTAAAGACCACAAAAACAATTTGGCCGACAACTTAGTTATTATTTAATGAACGAATGGAGACAACTGAACTTTTTATTTTTGTAAAGTGCAACATTTCAGTCATTTGTTTATTTTTTTAAGTTCTATACTGTCATTATGCAGCTTTACTTTATGTTTCATTTCTTACCACATTTTCTACTACTTTTGTTTCCCTTGTGGCTTATTTCAACCAGAAATTTGACGTTTCACCCCACCACACATAATTACAGAGTGCCAGTTTTGCTACCTAGAATGACGTATGTCATAAAAAATTCACAGTTTCAGCCGCAAGGGCGAAGCAATGAATGCGATAGCAACAACTTGAAATGTAACACTGAGAACTGCTAGCAGATCCAGACATAAAGCCCGCTGATCACACACAAATGACGCATGAAAACAACACATAGCAAGACGAGAGCTAACTAACAACATTTACAGTTCGACTCTTAATGCGCTGTTCTAACAAAAACGTTGCACAAAACGTAATCACAGGTACAGATATGAGTGTGAACTAACGAGTGTCCCAGTAGTTACCTTGTTGCGTCTGCAAAGCGTGCTCTTTTTGCAAACGGGGTTTGATCAGCGATAAAAGTGAGCTTTGTGGCCCAGCCAACTAATGCAATCATTCCGGTGAAAGGCCAAGGCACACGATTTTTCCCACCGAAAAATAAGCACGCACGCACAAGCACCTACCACCCCCCCCCCCCACAACCCCCATCTGTGGGGCAAAGTACGCGTGGGAGATAAGCGCTCGTTGGCGCATCGCGACGAGCTGGGTGCCGAACACAGGGGTGGCTTTTTTTCTTTCTTGAGTTTTCATATATATGGTATAGATATGTATACATATACGGTGCATGACCGTGGTGGCGAAGGCATAAACCAGCGGAGACTGTCCATATAATTGCTATCGCAATAAAAAAAAGAAAGCATAGCATTTTACAGCGTTCGAGGGCTTCTCAACACATCCACATCCAATGTGGCATTCATTATTATGAACTAATAAAGATTGATTTATTCACTGAGTGAATGATTTGATTGACTGACTGACCGAGTGATTGAGTACAGCATGCATGCTGTATTACGCAAGCCTTTCCACTCCGCATAGAAGTACCTATGGTCTCGGTGTAGAGAACTGTATAGCAGGAACTATGCAGCCATTCAGGCTATTGTACTGGATTCTGATAAACCTAAGGCTCACACATAGAGGAGGGCAACCATGATACCGTGACAGATTCCTGAACATAACACAAAGGTCATGCAGATATTCAGAGGTTAATCATGCACTTGTAGGATTTCTATGCTAAACATAATTTTGGGGAAGCATAAAGATGTATGGATGTTTTAATGAAGCATGATGGACAACTACCACATTCCCCTACCTGGTCCTTAACGTTTGCAGTGTCCAGAGTATTAAGCAGGGCTTGCCTCGCCGCCCTGTAAGGCTCCCAGGCATCCACCAGGTTCACCGTCATGCCCATGTAAATGCTGATCACCTGGGAGGCAAACACAATTGCGAGTGTTTTTTAGCTATTCTGGCATGCCTTGCTGGCACAAATGAAAACTAGCAAGTGCTGTAGAGGCTTTTTCAGCTGTTTCTACAGTGTATTAATGTTATACTTTGAAGATGGGATTGTCAGTATGTGAAATATAGAATACATACCGATACCAAAGCAATCAGATCTCTTTTTGTTAAGAGCAGTACTTTTTTTTCTTTTCTTTAATTACACATCTGGCCATCAGTTTGGACTTTAGAGTGTAGATAATGGTAACATAATATCTGAAATAATTAACGATAGATATCTAAACTAACCAGTGACAGCTTTGTTTTTATTCAATCAGCATAATCATCCAACACACTTTGAGTAGAGATAATTTCACACAAATGAAACCACAGGCATCAGTGTCTGTGCTACACGATCATTTTACATGCTAAACTACGATAGTTACCAAATGTAGAATCTCATTAATTGAAATGTGAGCTCAATTCTGTTGTATGGCCACTGCTATAAACAATTGCTCGAAATGACCACATCATGTCGCTATAAATCTGGTCCGCCAAATGTAATACTGACTCTGACGAAAGTCTACGAGTCAAAATTACACTGATGTGGCTCAGAGTGAAGGGGGTGCAAAGAAAAAAATGTGCATGACTTAGCCCTAGATGCTTACATTTTGGTCAGTGGTGTCTGTACATATTTAACTCATTACATGTCATAAACACTTGCCTATGGCTGCTGACACGAGATAAGACACGTACCCAGTTGTCAGGAAAATACTTGTCGACAATTTCCCGCATCTTGGCCTGCTGGTTGTGCAGGATCTCGGGAGCAAAGTACAGCACCACGTACAACATGGCCGCCTGCGTTGCCAGTGCCATGCTCCGATGCTCCTGGCAGTGGGTAGGCCGAGATCTGTCGACATTGACATCAGGGAGAAATGCTGTTTCGACGACCACCCCTTAAATGCTAAAAAAAAAAAAAACACACAACTTGTCCCCATGCATGGGCTTGTGTCGCCACCTTACTGACAGATAGCAATAATATGCAACTCATACCAATACGCGAATTCTTTACAGACTTACCAAACTAACCAGGTCTGTTGGAGAACAAGGCGGTCGCAAGTGTTTCAGAACACTGACGTCCCAAAGTGACTGGTCACGTGTAGCCTTGAATGACCGCTTTTGATCGAAAAGTGACCGTTCTACGATTGCGTGACTGCAAAGATGAGCTCTGTGCGACTGATCAAACATCACTTTCAAACCAAAAGCGACCCTCTCTGGCTAGTTGCGACTAGGTCGCTTTGCGACTTCAGCGCGCTAGAACAGTTACGACCACTTCGGTCGTGCGAATTTGAAAGCTGCATGTGTGAATGAGCCCCTGAGTATTGCAGCTACTTGGGCATTCAGTCCTGGGCCCAAAAAAGAGCTAACTCCAGATGCCCCAATGAAATGCAATCATAATGCACTGCAACACAGAAATACTCATACTACAGCAATCAAGTCGAGTAGAGGAAAGTCCAAGTGCACCAGCGTGTCATAACAGCTAAAGTAGTACATGCTTTGAAATTCTCAAATGCTGTTCTGTGGTAGCCTCAGCTGTGTGGCTGAAAGGTTCACCATTTCACCAGTCATTTACAGGTTGGTTGAGGGTTTAAATCCTTGAAAGACAATATTTTTTTCCTTACACTACGAGCACCTCTAGATTTTGAGACAATGGCTACTGCAAATTATGGCAGATGTCAAGACGACTAACCATACTGCCACACGGGTGACTGTAAGTTTGGTTATTACTAAATCGGGTTAAAACAGTTGCATTACAGGCCAAACAACTGTTAAAACACTGAGATTGACCACCGACCAAGCTTGGCATTCTCAGTTTTGGAAGAAGACGTTTCGCAAACATGCAAAGTGGCAAGACGGCTCACAACTTTAATGCGGTTCGAGCCCATCAAACTCTCACTTATTGCAGTTGTAGTTGCACATCTAGAAAATATGATTTTTTTAGGATAGTGACACACTTTGGCCGAAAAACAATTCAAAATGAAACCTGTACATGAGTGAGCGAATTTGACAGAGTGTCGTGACTTCAACCATGACCACCACAATAGCCCACGTAAATCCCATTAGCACTACTCTTCATCAGAGGTCGGCAAACTCACTAATGAGTCGACTCACTCAGAGTCGGATCAAGCTGTGAGTCTGCGTGAGTCTGCGTGAGTCCTGGTGAGCATCCATCTTGGTGAGTCTGACTCCCGAGTGAGTCCGGTCGAGTGATATGTAGGTGAGTCTGGGTCTAAGTGAGCCCTAAGTGCAACATATGTTTTTTGAGTGAGTCTGAGTGAGCTCAACCTTTTATTGCACACACGTGATCCTATAAGCATTACTATCGGCCTCATATCGACTTAAGTTTTCACTAGGGGTGTGCCAAGATACGAAAGTTTCAAATATTCGGCGAATATTGCACTTGTAATATTCGTATTCGATTCGATAACTACATATTTTAAAATTTAAGATATTCGAACTAACTTGAATATTTCTCGAATATTTCGATGTTCATGAATATTTGTTCGTAGGTTTGTGCAATTGTTTGAATGCTTCGAATACTGAAACAAATATTAGGGTATTCAAATTCGGTTCGGTTCGAATATAAATTAGTGAAAATTTCGAAGTATTCGCAAGGAACGAATAAATGCATGTTAATCCGAATGTATCGTCTGTAAAGGTGGTTTCACTGCAGTGTAGGAATGCTCAACCGTGAAAGCACCTATCCAAAAGAAATCTACCCTGTCGCGAAGCCTCCATTCAAATTTAAAGGGCCCCGCAACACTTTTTTATAAATATTGTCAGAAAACACTGCCGATCAGTAGTCCAGGCTACCGAGGACACGCAAGTCAAATATTATAGCGCAGCACGCGGCGTGCGATTCACAATAAATTCTCAGTCAGCTAAAAATTGCTCTCTTCTCTCGGCAAATGACTCCACAAGCTCAGAAAGCACATGTCACATATTTTCTTTTCTCGTGCGATCCCTCCTTGTTTAGCTTCCAGTGCTTTCGTCGGGATAAGAAGAGAGAATGCACTTGCAGTGCGCGAGAAATCTTTGCAACTCTGCATGTATTGGACAGATTCTAAAATATTTGCAGCGGTGAATTCATGAGGCAATAAATAAGCTTCTTCAGTGAACCCATTTCATGGCTACTTGAAAAAGTGTCACACGACCCCTTTAAGTAAAAATACTACTATTAAATCAATTTATTTTTTAAGCTTAAAAGCTAGTTATGATGGCTTACATGCTCTAAGTATAATAAATCTTAAAATGTTAAGTATTTTAAGGGTTATGACTCGCATCCTGCTGAAAGTAAAATCTTGGACTTCTTTTCGAACGAAAAAAAAAAAGAAATTACATAGAGGCCCTACTTCATTTAAAAAAAATTGTGCCGGTGACTTTCGAAATAACTAGACTTGTGCTAACGGCCGCTTCAAATTATCCGCTCAGACTTGCATTACAAAACGGGAGACCACAAAAATATTTTGAATTAAGAGGGATGTTGAAATAACCGAGTTCGAATTATTGAAGCTTTATTGTGTGTTATTATCCAGCCCCGCTTCATTCTGCGCTGCTTACGGTGTAAAAGGAGTGGCACAGTGAGAAGCGGCGCTGCCGCCGAGGCTGCCAGTGGACTCGGTAAAGTCGTGGTGCACACGGTCGAGTCGTGTGCGCCACGACTCGACCTTTGCTCGTAATTAGGCTGGCTGAGGGTGACAACGATGCAAGAGAAAATGAGCCCACAACAGCCGTTGCGGTGAAGTAAAGTGCAGGTACCTGGTTGTAGACGTCGTCTGACCTCAGCCGCCCCAGCACCATGCTGATGTAGGTCTCGTTCAGGGTCACCCGTCGAAAGTAATCTTCTGGGTAGTTGGCAGGCCGCTTGGCACCAGTAGCAGACGAAAAACCCGTGCTCCGCAGAAGCTTGCAAACGTCGTCAAAGTTGGACTCGTCACTCGTACGTTGCGCACTGCAATCGTATGAGTATAACGGACGAAAAACAGCGATGGACATAGTGGCAGAAAACTGAATGCTGCATTGCTGGTTTCAGAAGTAATTAAAAAAGAGAACAAAATAGCTATCTGAAAAGACAATATACATTCAAGCCTCATGGTCTATAGGTAGCATGCAATCATAAAAACAGCCAGTTTTGCTGATTGAAAGGTTTGCCGAAAAAACAAAACAAAAAACTAAAGACAACACAAATGATAGATTTCAAGTCCCCCTTTTTTTTAGTTTCTCTTGTGATCACTTCTTCCAATTCCTAGCTTACCAACAATAAAACATTATCCACTCCATCAGCTTTCTCATGGTACACTACAATTAGAATTCAATGTCTAGTCAAGTTACAGATTACAGTGAGTGCAGTAAGTTCTAGGTCAGAAAGAAAAAAGAAGGATAATCATGGCAATTGTCCTAGATGGATCAGTAGACTAAAGCTGGAAAAACTGTAGGTTATTGATATTATATAGACGGATCCGCAAAGACACGTGAAAACAGACTTGCCTGTAGCGGTAGTAAGCAACGAGCATGCGTTCCCGGACAATGCCTTCGATTTTCTGGTCGACCACGAGAAGTATGACACCAGCAGAGGAACAGGGCCTCACACTGCAATGACATTACCAGCCCTTCAGTAAGATGTGTATATCCGTGATAAACCATGTCAAATACTGACAATGAAAAAAATTACAACAAATCTACCAGATGGTGTGCTATATGAGACAAGAAGTGAGAGATCGATATGACAATTAAGACATTTATAATATACAAATAGACACACGAGCACTGTGAATAATTTAAAAAAAAATGTCTGCATGAAGTACTTTTTACTTTGATACCCGTAGTGTTGACACGCCATGATATCATGACATGCAAGCCTGCTCCATTCTAGTGACCTATGCAGCTTCCACATGAATAATGCAGCGAGACAAGAGTGCACGTACCAGTGTTGAGGTATTTCACAATTTTTTAGTGAACACCACCACAACATACCTTACTTCTCCTACATGAGCTACGAAAGTGGCTTTCCCATGTGTTATGTGCTGTCATTGATGCCATGTCCAGTGCTTTGAAATGACTTCAGTAGCAAGAAACTAAAACGTGCATCATAGGTGTTCATCAGTGTTAGCCCTTGCTGAGCATCCTTCCTTATTGAGTAAAATGTGTAGGGTAGGATTTCCGCGACTTCGGATACCATGTGTCTACAAATTTCAAAGAACAGCAAAGGCCATAGACTCAACAAGAATCGTCCGTAGAAGCATTTTGTTTTGCAGGAAAGTGTATTTTATGGAGATAACCAATGCAGCCTCACACTGTTCACCACAATGGCAGCTTAAATGGGCCCTGAAACACTTTTTGAGCATGGTCAGAAAACGATACCGATCGGTAGTATAAGCTTCCGACAACACGCGAGCCAAATATTATAGCGCAGCACGCAGCCTGGAATTCACAATAAATTATCAAAGTCAGCTACAAATAGCTTTCTCTTCTCTCGAAAAATCACAGAATTAAGCCCAGTAAGCCCATCTATCAGCCATTGTCTGATTAGAACATGGGGCGCTTGGTTGTTACAGAGGTCACTGCAAAAGGCCGTCACTTGTCCACGTGGGCGCGCATGATAGTATTGAAAAAGCCGCGTATTTGAAGAAAGAAAAATGCTCAAGGTCACGAGGCATGAGTGACATTTTTTGTTTGCCCTTCCCGTCTTTCCCTGCTCAGCTTTCAGCGCTTTCATCAGGACGAGAGAACAGAGAATGTGATTGCAGCGTGTGACAAATCTTTGTAACTCTGCTTGTACTAAACAAATTCTTAAAATTTTTGCAGCGTTCGATTTGTGAGGTAATGGGCTTTTCCAGTGAATAAATTCCATGGTTACTCAAAAAAGTGTTTCAGGGCTCCTTTAGGTAGAATTTGAAGTTGTACTTTGGCAACACATGCCATCTGTTAGGTAGTCAACTACAGAGTGCCGTATTAACTGCAATTGGGCAATGTCAACTGTTCACTCACCATAAGTTGCTTGCCGTCGTCATTGACGAGCACCGACTCCAGGGACTGCTGAATGAAGATTCCTTCGTCCAGGTCTTCCAGAAAGCTGGAAATTGGCATAACAGTGAATGACACATTAAATAGAACATGTCTACAGACATAACAGTACGAATATATAATGAACGATAATGTGAGTACTAAAGCATAGCAGTAGAAAGACTTTTATAAATTAATTTGCCTTTTGGTTTGAAGTAGGCAACAGCACAGTTTGCATAATGGCTAATGTCTTCCGCATGCATGCTAGCTTTATGCATGCACAAGGCTCTGGTGCTTCCTAGTGACCTTGCAGCAGAGGCCCAATGGTGCAAATACTTCAAAGCTCGCATAATGAATGAAAGATTCCTCGTGCATTCCAATTAACACTACTATTAAGCTGCTTAAGATGAAGCTATGTGCTGTGCTGGTACACTGATACCAACATCACTAGGGCCAGTTTGATCTAGTTATTTAAATGCTGCAAAATAAGTGAGCTTCTTTTAGTTTTTACCATGGCTTATAAATTCTACAACATTTTCGCTGGTAGTACCAGTATTGAGCACCAACACAGTACCCATGTGCCTTCCAGGGACCTGTGCAATGGGAATAGGGAGTACCCATGCCTAAAGCAGTGACAATGATATGAGACGCTTGCTTTGAAGCTTACCGTATTTGTCAACAGTGTATTACGTCAATGGCAGATGTGAAGTGATTATAAATTCGACGACTGGCCATTGAGAAAAAGCTTAGTCTGAGCATAAAGTTCATTTTTTTGTCGTTATTTCAGGTTATATTTATGGTGTGGCTTTACAATGGCAAGCCGAAAACATTGGAAAAGCTTGACTGATATGCGAGGTTTAACGTCCGAATACCACTAGATGATTATGACAGGCGCCGTAGTGGAGGACTCCGAAAATTTCGACCCACTTGAGATTCCTTGAGGGGGCAGACTGCTCTTTGGGACCAAAAAGTGACGAAAAAAATCATTTTTTAAAATTGACATATTTGGTATCTGCAAATATTTTGCTATCTGTCTGCAAATTTTTACACCCAAGGAAGTGGTAATTTTTTTGTGATGTTATTCTAACTGTCCAGAATCTTGGTGCTGTTAACTTGCAGAACCTGCAAAAAAATGGGGAACCAACTTCGAGGCCTCTTTATAATTTGCCGGCACCTGTGTTGGAAGCTCTACTACGAATTTATGAGCACTTTTATGAGGATTGAAAAACATGCACACCATGATTGTTGCTTTTTGAAGAAGCCGTGTGTTTTCAGTTTTTTCCATTTTTCTCAAAAAAGTAAATTTACAACTGTTCACTTTTGAGGGCTCAATATCTCTGCAGCTAGGGCAGGTACAAGAAAAATTCTTTTTGCAATGGAAACCTGTATGTGTGTAGGGTGCAAGTATGGGAACAGAATTTAGAGAACAAGCCTTTTTAATTGATTACTCATCAAAATTTTAACACAATTCCAACTGCTTTTGAAAATGAATAGTTCGTTTTGCTGTAAAATAATAAGAAAGGCTTAAAAACAAAAAACTCTTGCATTATTTCAATCTATAGTCATTAGCTATATTAGGATATTTTATATATCACTTTTAATTAAGCCCTTTTTTTCTTTTGGTGGCCTTAACCAACAGGGGGTAACTTAAGTTATCTCAGGAATAAGATGAGTTATAGAAAAACTAATTAAACATTCGAAATCAGCAGAAAAAACTGCATAATTTTGTGCAGTTTGGTCAAGATCACTGAAGGAAATAAACAAGAAATGTCTAAGAGCAGTCTGCCCCCTTAATGTGCACCCAAATCTGAGCACACGGGCCTACAGCATTTTCGCCTCTACCGAAAGTGCAGTCGCCGCAGCCGGGATTCGATCCGACGACCTATGGGTCAGCAGACGAGTACCTTATCCACTAGACCACTGCGACGGGGCCATTAGGAAAATCTGTTGACATCATTCACTTGTTCCAATACCATTCTGTTGAAATGGTGGAGTGAAGTGCTGTGATGTTTTGCACTCAGTAGGGATAGCAATGACAATACCGCACAAAACCTCACCGATTCAGGTCAATGGTATACTTGTGGATACTCTCGAATGCCAGGTAGAACCTCGTGAGGATATCGATGTAGTTTTCGCGCAACTCTTCGTCCCGATCCTGCAGTTGCTATGAAAAAAAAAAAAAAAGATTTCCACTAATACTTCTCACTTTTTCTGGACAAACTATTTTCAAAAAGAACCTGATCATTCATCTTTAATGTACAAGAAGTCGCCAACAGAGCTTTGTTTGATGGTTGTACACCTGCTGAGGTGTGAGCTTTAAATAAAATTTTCGAAGTCGATCCCAACACCCAGGACAATGACAGGGGAGATACACTGCACAGCTTTCATAAAACATTGCTTTTGACACTCACTTTCAGCTGCATATAAAAATGAACGTTTTTTGATATAGTAAATTTTTTGTTAGTTGAAGTATGTAAGCAGCAATATACCTAGCGCAGCAAACACTGACAAATAAGACAGTTTTTGATTCCCAGTGACCTTCTCAGCTACATTGCTGTTCAAGAATTAGTCCCCTATGGTAAGCACAAACTGCGTGTAAGAATGTAGCCCTGATGGTTCATTCGCTGTTAAACGACTTCTAATGAGACGTGTGGAGACCAATGAGCAATAATTTTCTTTTGTGGACAGAACTCATGTTCAATAAAATTTGGTATAATGTCCATAAATTTCTAACCTTCACAAAAACTTCAAGGGAGTTGGAATATGATTATACTTCTGCATGCTACTTAGATGCAATACATTTGACAATTTCCAAGTCATTTATTGAACTGGCAAGAAAATATGTGGTTTTTGCAACTTCCAATTAAGTTTCCTTCAAGCCCATCCTAGTTTGCGATGTATATGATGGTGAGAACTAGCCTACGAATGAAACAAAAACACTTGACACACTTATAATTAGCAAAGCAGCTATAGAATGGTGAAATGAGCATTAATAAAATCTTTAGATGGCGAAGTGTAACACATGCTAGATACAAGTTGCTTCTTTGTTTCTTATGAAGCTTTAATAGGAAAGAAGAATTGGCCCCGTATCTGCATGTTACACTGCAAATGTCGTCGAAAGACGATAGTCTTGCGTCTGGAGAGAGTGAACAAAACATTTATTTGATGTTGTGCACGATAAAATTGGTGAATGGTATTCTGGAGGCGCTGCCTTAGAGTGCCTCGAGCGTGCAGCGTAGGTGAATGAGTACATTAAGTGACGTCACACGTGAGACATGAGTGCCATCTGGCAGTTTTCTTGGAAAACGTTGCGCGTTCGAGACGGGCGTGCGCGCCCGTCTCAGAGGTGATAAGGTGTAGAACGCAAGGCGATGGGTAGGTGCCACCACCGTGTAGTCTTAGCAAAGCGTTGGAAACACTCGCCTTTTTGTGCAAGCATTGCATGGTCAGCGCAGCGTGATAAACGCTACGGTCCTTTGAATAACTTATGTATGCCTTTTCTTGTAAGAGACACACATACAGAATATTGACGTATTGTTATGGTGCCTCAGATATGCGCAATAATTGCTTTTTAATTGACAATCGCACAAGTATGAATGCTGAATCTTGAGCATTATTGGTGGGCGCTGCGGATGGGGTTGGCCGTTTGGAGTATCATTTGGCCACTTTGGTGCCGTTTAGAATACCGTTAATGTCGGACAAACAGACAAATGTACAGACAGACAGACAAATGTACAGACAGACAGACCAAAATTTATGCATGGAAAGTCCCCAAGAAAGACTATCGTTTTTAAAAATGCTTACTGTGGAAGAAAGACAAGAGGTTGGCTTATGCTTGAAAGACTGGTCATTACATGAAAACAAGTCATTTAAGAATCAGTTGACTCGGCCTCATATGGACGCTAACTGCAAGTTTTTCTTCGTTTCCATATGACAAAGCAAACCATAAAAGTGGCTACATCTCAGCAGTGAGGGAACGTATTCTTACATCATTTGCCTCTATCTTGTTCTCGAATTGGTCGATGACCTTAAAGTAGCTGTAGTCAAGGAGGATGTCCCCGTACTCGGCCACGTCTTTGCGGTTGTCGAGCTTGAATATAGATGGGACCACATCCGAGAGCCTCAGAAGTTCGGCCACGATGGCATTGCCCCTAGAGACGAGGTGCAGCAGCGTCTGGCCGCAGGCGTTATTCTCGGCTAGGAAGTCCATGGTACCAAGCCAACTGCAACGTTGAGGAAACAGTGTTTGAATAACATATCCATTTCATGTTTTCAGCAGCTATACTCGGTTTCACACATCATATGCAATGCTCTGGAGGCTGTGCTACAAGCTTGCTCAGCAAAATGTGCGAATCCATGCGTCTCACGCTAAGCTTTTGTCATTGTGTGTCGGTTGTCGTGATCAGCTGTGAATAAAACACTAAAAAATGAAACAAAAGGATGCTAAGCACTGCTGAACAACGTATTGAACCCATATGGAAGGGTTTTTCAATTTCTTAGCAGAAAGCACCTTCGTTCATTATGCATCCTGAAGAAAGAAATCACATTACAAGTGGTAAAGATATTACACTCTTCTTGGTGCGCACGCATACACTGCAAAATGTCTCGTTAGCCTCCACAGCATTACACTTTATGTATGAAATGGAGTAGAAGAAGTCCATGGCACCAACTCAACTGTAGCAATACAAGAACAGTGTTTGAATTAACACAACATTATCATAGAGAAGAGTTTCATATTTCTAGTAGCTATCAAGTTTATGGGACCAAGTCAACTGCACCGTAGCAAAGACAGTTTTCAAATGAATGCAGCCTTTCGTACGGTGCCATAGAGACAAGTTTAACATTTTGCTCAACTGGGAAAATCTATGGTGAAAAGTCAACTGCAGCCTTCTGTAAAGACTGTGCTTGAATGAACACATTTGACAGGGCATACCATTAGAGGAGGTTTTGTGTTTCTAGTTATGCAGTCCATGGGATCTCTAGTCAACTGCACCATTGCAATGATGGAGTTTGAATGAACACGCAGTTTTTCATCTCGCGTCTTAAAAATGGGTATCATGTTCTAGGATATATAACACCTATGTTGCCCCGAGCACTGCACAATTGAAAAGATGGCATATCAAACATTGCAGCATTATACATAACATGGGTGTCTCCCTTCGTGACATGTCATGAGATTGGTTTCTATTTTAGCTTCGAAGCAATAATCAATAGGTGCAAGGTTTTTCTAGGCGATTCCCTGTAACCACTTTTCAAACCGCGCGATCAGGAAAATCTTCCGTGTTCCCAACAACGTCTCAAAACTGCAAATATAAGGCTCGGCTTGACTAGCTAACGCACTGCATGATATAAGGGTGTGCATTTTCGATGACGATTAAAACCGATCGAGATAGAATTCTCGATTGCTAGTGCTCCCTAATGCAAATTGGGACACCGCAACCAATCGCAAAGCCGATCGCGAGTGAATGCGTCCGGATGACCGGTTCGATACACTTGGATGCAAAGTAATATGCGCGCACGCTGTCAACTACACTTTTTCTGATATTACCTAGTTTGATTGCCAGCAAGTGGTACGTCGCGATCTCCCGAAGTTAAGAACGCGGCGCCCCAAATGCGATATAAAACGCAATTAATGTTTCAAATACCATCAAACGTACATGTACGAGGGATGAAACCGTCTTTCCACGGATATGAACTTTTCTGCCACACAGAATAGGCAATCAATCCATGCAGGTGCGTTACAAAATAACTCTGGGTGCGTTGCAACTCAGCGTCATATCTGACACGAATTTGTGCCTAAGTATCACGAAGATTCATTGTAAAAATTAAGCCGAGAAGGCGAAGCTTTAACACGACGACGAATCATAACACTCCGCCCCCTTGGCACTTGGGGACATGTGTGCATGCGGTTTCGACAGCTTGGAGAAGACACACGGTGCTGGCGTTACACGTGGTGATAATACGGCCTTGTCCGGACCCTTCAGAATGCTATGCATGATTCAAGCACTGTACTGTGGTAATTACATCGCAACTACAAGTTTTCAAGCACGGATGCACATGGCGAACCAAAACTTGCCTCTTCTTCAATGGGTTCGAGAAAAGTCAAGTTAACATTTCTCCGGAATTCTCGCCCAACCGATGTGTCTTGAATGCAAACAGAACGTTCTAACGTGCGCTAGAATTGCAGTATGTTTCAAAGGTATGACGAGAGTTTGTTAAAACAGCTGTACCGTTAAACCCCTACCCAACCTTCACACCAGCCAACACGGGCAAACGGCGATGTTTGCAGACAACTGGCGCCATCTATGCAAACGAAGTAAAAAGGTGTAAACTGGTAGATGTTCTGTGATGTGGCTGCGCAAAACTGAGATGCTTTTGCGTACACGCTATAGCAAATTTCGTTCAACAAGTCAAACAAAAGATATCAGTCGTTATAAAAGTAATCTTGCCTTAAGCATATAAATCAACTGTGATACATAAATCTTAACAAATATGAGTAGTTATTCAACAAATTGCCAGTTTTGTGCATCTGCAGCCAGCGCATGTAGTGTGGCTACTTGTAGTAGCATGCCTTCGAAAACTCGTTAACGTCAGCTTTGCGCAGAGGCGGTGTCGTACCCAATGAAGTGTAAACTGAGGGGCGACTATTGCTAGTTGAAAACTTTTCCCAATACCCCGCCGGGACGACGTGAAATACCGTCGGCCATGGCAATTTTTGGCAGGCCCTACGGGGCTTCTCTTACGAAACCAAAAATCAGAATCTGGTGGTTAGTGGCAACATCACAGAAAACGTGCACACACCCACCACTCAACACATGTACATTACTATAGCTACCGCTGTAAGACTGAAAATGCGTGGTTCAACTCATAGTTTCCCAAAATTAACTAGAGGGCACTCTGGCGCTGCTATTGTTCGGCTTGGTGGCGCTAGCCACCGCCCGATCTAAAGGGTACAGCCATATCCATCCATCCGTTCAGCGACCATGGGGATGGGTAGTACCACAGTCCCTTAATACCGTTCTGGTCACGAAACTTTTCCGTCACTCTATGGGAGAGCTTGATAAGGTGCCAAGAGCGGCCGCTACGCGGCGCAAGCCGTCCTAGGGGGGCCATCGCCCCGCTGCGCCCGGCGGCGCGCACTGGCCGCGGCGGCATCCCGAAGGCGTTGTGGGGTGGCAGCTCGCGGTTTCTGCATCAGCGAAACGCGAACTTCATGTGCCAGTGCACCGTGCTCAAGGTGGACGGCATGAAAATCTGAATGAACAATGCCTAAGACGTGCTGTGTGACGGGTTGCAGCTCCGGTTACCGAAGCAACAAAGAAAAGGCGTCGCTCTTCTGTTTCCCAAGTAGCGCCGAACTCCGAGAGAAATGGAAGCGAGCTATACCACGGTTGGAAGCTGGCGGTTTCAGCTTCGAAAGTAAGAACGTTCGGATGTGCGAAAAGCATTTTGACGCTAGCGACGTTGTGAGAACCGACGAGCACATCGTGAACGGGGTGGTCGTGTCGCTTCAGCGAGAGAGACCGAAGCTTCGCACGAACGCCGTTCCAAGAATTTTTGACGGGCTTTCTGACAGAATTTTTGACTTTCTCCCCATTACATGCACCATATGTGAATCTCCAATTCATAAGTACACACCTGACTACTAGGCGGCGTATCATTAGCACCAAATTTAAGATTTATTGCATGCCTTAAATCATAACCGCCCCCCCCCCTCCCACCCAAAAAATAAAAACAAATGTGTGATGAGGTACCTCGGTAGTGGCAGAGGCGGCCAAGCGGCTAGCACTTGCATCAAAAGGAACTTCCAGATTAGGCTGCTGTACTTCCGTTTCCGGAGAAATCATGGGTTGTCGGCTGGTAAATAATAATGCCCTAAACAGTAAACACAAGGAAACGTCAAGCGGCGGGTGTCCCGTGTAAACTGCGTGGAAAGAAGTGATCAATCAAATGTTGGGCACGTTTAGAGCGGTCGCGAAAGCCCTTGGCATCGAAAGTCCCCGCGTCAAAAAAGCGATCGGCGCTCACAAACATGTGTCCAATACAACTGCGCATTTGGGTATAAACTCAATTGAAAGGTCTGGAATAAAACTTCTGGCTCAACCATTCAGTTCATTTGAATACTTGGGTAGTAGCGCGCGAGAGGCGAGCCGGATATAAACCAATGTGATTGCTCATGTACTACCAAGTCGTGTTTCATTTTGTTCTCCTTCCTCCCCCTATTAGCGGTCCTACCAGAATATACAGCTCACCTACCGCATAAACATAATCGCCCTTTGGCCGGGCGCAAATACAAACATGTTGTCGAGCAGATCAAGCAGTAGCTGCTCGCATCAAGGGCATGGATCATAAGCATCGTCTTTCAACACTTGCGAGCTATAGCTCGCAAGTACCGCTTCGAGGCATCGTAAGTGTGCATATAATTGGGCTATGAGACAATTATTGACACAACGCGTTATCGCGCGGTGTGAGAACACTTTTAATGCGCTGCTGTTTATAAGGTGGGTCCGCACTTCTAAGTAAACTAAGCGTGCATTCCAAAGTAAACAGCTCTCATTCGTCGTTGACACTGGATCCCGTTTCAACTTATTCATCTGGTGGCATTGATGCGTTCAGAGACGTTTAAAAAAAGGTAACAGGAAGAACAGCACGCACATAATCGCGTCGAAACGTCGGCCGCAGTGCGCATACAAGCCCAGCAGTGGCGGCGGCTTGTGGCCCCCATACGACGGGTGGCGCCTCTAGCGACAGATTTTGTCCCTATATCAACCTTCGGGCGGAGTTTCGTGACCAGAAAAGCATTGAAGGACTCTGGTAGTACCAACGCCCTCCTCTAAAAAGATGCCTGCCGCATGAGAAAGAAAACAGTTGCCACACCCTTTCTCTTCATTTTAAAATGTTCTCGGTTGCTAGCGTCACCTGTGGCGAACGGTGCAACAACGCAACATTTTGCATAGCCTCCGAAATAGTGGTGCACAGTTACAGGTCTCAAATAACTCTCGACTGACGCGCCCCTATGGGTTGCAGATGAAAAACACTTAGCTGGTACCGCCCGCCCACAGAACACCTACCAGTAAGGATAGTGTTGGTCACGAGCGCCACTGCGCGGAGCTTGTTTAAAACTGAAGGCAGGCCAACTTCGCTGGGAGCGCGAGCCATAACTCAAGCATCTTTCCAGAGGAGGCGTTGGTAGTACACGCACTTGCCTAGTCTTCGTACTTGC